AAATGATAGCAGAGATCAGGTGATCCCTCTGGGAATTGGGGTTTTTGTCCAAGTAGTTTAGTTGAGTATAGAACTGCTGCCCATTTTGCCCCCCGTCCTTTTGTCCAAGTAGTTGAGTATAGGCTGCCGCCCTTTTTGCCCAGGTACTCGTCTAGATAACACCAATGTAGGGGGGCGGAGGCGAGCACGCCCTCGCGCGTTGTTCTGCGTACCCCCGTAGTTATAGACTGGGCTCGCTTTTTCCTTCCAATACGAACATAGAACACCCCCGCCGGAGGGCGACACCAGAGATGATAGTTTCATATGCTGGAAATACCTTTGATGAGCCACACGCAATAGAGGACAGTAGCAGAGAAATAAATACTCCAAAACTGAGTAACTGGCGGTGAAAATACTGTGTAGCACGTGACCTGTAACTAGTGGTGTTAGCCGACACGAAACATCTCAACCCCCCTCAGCATCAGCAACTCGCTCGCATGTTAACTAGCCGCTGCAGCCAGAGTTTTTAAGGCCGCGTTCCGCTGCATCTCCTTCTTGCTCCTGGAAATACCACGTAGCCGTCATTCGAATGGCATCGGTAGGGCGTGGTTAGCGTTCTTCCAAGGCCATCCCAGACTGGTTGGTTGATTATTGATGACGTCGAGCAGTCCGTTGCACCTCTCTGCACAAGGTTGTGCCCCGAAGAACAGGGACTCCAAATGGTCCTTGGAACACAGTCTCCAGCCCTCTTTTTTTTTTTTTTTTTTTCACTGATTGCAGATATTCTGAATCCAGTCTCTCAGCGGAGTGACTGACTCTCCTGTCCCGCCTTGACCGCTCAAGATGGCCTCACTCACCTGCACTCATTCATTTCTACCCAAGTTTTTATCAGGGGTCCAGCGCCATTGAGTGCCCATCGTAGCTGAGGTCAGTTTATGTTCTGCCACGACAGCGAGTTAACTGGTTGCCCTGCTTCCGAGCCGGTCCCGCTCTTGTATCAACTGCCCTCTCCGGATGCACCAAGAGTGGATGCAGGTAACCGTTGTCTCGGGCACACGATGTTTGCATATCCTACAGTTTGGAGCGCCCGTGTAAGCCAGCTACCAAATAAATAGTCTAGCTGGGCATAACAACCATCACGCATGCTGTTCCTTTATGAAAAACGTCGTTGCGCTAGCCAAAGAAGAGGCAACTTGTCCTCGTTGTGATATATTGTTTATTGACAACAAAGGCAGCTTATGGTTCTCAAACCCTTGCTCATTCTATCTTTGTAGAAGTTGTTTTAGATTGATTTTTTTTTTTAAAAAAAAAAAAAAAATTTATTTTCTTCCTTCCCTTCCCTGATAGCGGGAAAATAAGGAAGTTTTGTATTTTATGAACAGGAATATCGGTTTTGATTCTTATTTTACATTTATTTGTTGCATTTAAGATCGGGATGGCAGCAGTTCCTGTTCCGGATTTCCATAGGTACGTTGAAGACATGTATGTGTAGTACACATGCACACTGCAGATGGAGGCTTCTGGCACCCCTTCGAATCCATTTATACGCACTTCTCAGTGTCATTTATGTCTCAGCTACACGCGCTCAAGCGGGTTTTAACAAGACGATCCACACTGCAATGACAGACTTCCCGCTGACCCATCACTTTTCTCCATTATTGGACACAACAGCATTGTTCTTTCGCCCTCCTTCACGTTCCTCGTTGGGCCGGAACACACAAAACTTACCATCCAGTCTGGTCTTGCCAAACATGTCTCTCAGCGGCTCGATGAATTGATGAACAATGGTCACACGCGCGAGTCACGACATCGCATCGCGGTCCTGGAGGAGGAAGATGTCGAGACCTTCGTCGGGTTCTGCGAGTATGCGTACACCGGTGACTACACTGTTCCAAATCCCAAAGCAACTTTGATTGGACGTGGGGGAAGCGAAGGGGCTGCAGGGTTGGCTTCACCATTAGCTACCCCTACTCGTCCCCCTGCGCCCTCTCCGCCAGCCACTCCGCAGCCGGGTGAGGAGCTGCAGATAACTGCAGGAGACGGAGGTGAGGAACGTGAAGGGGCAGCAGAAGGAGGAGAGGAAAAGGTGGAGGAAGAACAAGATGATGATGTAAATCAAGAGTCTAGCAAAGGCAAAAGGGTGAAAGGAGGGAAGAAGAAGCAGAAAGGAGGGGCTGCAAAGGGTGCTCAGGGTCTCGACGAAGTTCCAGCAGCAAATCTGACCCCACCAAGAACACCTCCACCAATTGCAGAATTAGCACAACAAACACCACCAGCAGCAGCAGCAGCAGCAGCAGCAGCAAGAGCAGTAGATCCCACCAATCTTGACGATACAGCAGCGCCAAATCCTTGTATACCCCCCTCAGAAGCCGTCTCTGCCGCGCCCGACTGGTTCAACTTCGAAGCGACCCCTAAGCCTGAAATGCCCAAACTCGACTCTGCCTCCCAAAGATCCTTCATTTCCCCTAAATCCCACGGCCTGGGTCTCTGGGGCGAAATTCGCCTCCCTACAATACATCCACCACCAATCTGCGTCCGGTGGCATGGCCCTTCCCTCCCCTCTCTCCCGCAACACACCAGGCTACGGCATAGCCGTTTCTGGCACTGAACCCATCCCCTACCTCCTTTTCCACGCCAAGATATATGTCTTCGCTACCCGCTTCCAAATCCCAACCCTCGCCCAACTTACCCTTCAGAAACTGCATCGCGACCTAATATCCTTCCCGCTCTCCGCAACGACGGACAATCTAGGCCCTTCTAGTGCTGCAGCAGTCATCCAGCTATTGCACTTCGCTTTTACCAGGACAACACGTGATGACCCCGTCTTCACGCTGACGGGCCCGAATCCGACAGCACACAGGCAGAATGAGCTGCGAAAACTGGTCACGCATTATGCTGCATGTAAAGTGCGGGAACTGGTGAGCTACGAGCCGGTGGCGCCTTCGTTGACTGGTATGGAATCGGTGGATACATCGCATTTGGGCTTTAGGGATTTGCTGGATTCGCTGGGAGAGTTGGCGTCAGATTTGGTGTACAGGATGGTCGATTAAAATTTCATGACTTTGTCACTCTTAACTTCTGGCTCAGCGAGTATCTGGGTTTGTGTGCGCATTGTGGATTTTCACTCTTAACTTTTTAGTTTCCTTTGAATTTCTGTTTTTTTGCGGGAATAATCGTTATCTAGAGGGGGGCTGGTGGAGTTCTTGGAACTCGCTTATTCATGTGCGGCATTTTCATCTATATATTTTGACCAATTTTGCTGCTTACGTCGCTTATCTACCAGTGTTACGAATTTCCTATCCCCGTACCTACCATATTACTTGCCTCTCCTACTCATCTCATCCCTCAATTTTATTAGCATCGTTGGGCATGTTCGGTTCTCACCCCTCCTTTGTCATGGCTCCAGCTTTTGATACATTTATCATCATCGGCGTCGCCATTCATTCCTACAATATTAAACCTTCTTCTGCTGGGTCTGTTTCCCATTCGTTTTTTGATCCGCTTTCCCCTTATTCTCACTTCATTTATATCGAATATGCTCGGTTCACGTTACTTTATCTAGGTGGCATTATCTCAATTCATTCCATTTAATTTTCACATGCCAAAATGTTGCCATTTCCACCTGTGGTCCGCAGAATCAGATTTTCCGTAAGGTCGAAAGCCAGTGCGTAGTTAACGCTTAAGGAAACGCAAAAGCAAAGCAAATAAAAAACGCGGAAGATTAGGTAGAGTAGATGTTTTGGGAGCGGTTCTGGATTTGATTGTCCGCCTCGTTTTTGAAGAAATGAGTCGAAGGAGGCGTTATCGTTATTCTTGAGAGCAAGAAGCAGGGCCCCCCAGGACGATGCTCTTCTATGCCCGTACGGCACCCATCGGCCATTTCTGAGAAGTCAAAAAGATGTGATCAGTTTTTGCGAATCTAGACCCAATAGCTGCCAATCGAAAGGTAGCCAGGTCATTTCGATAGCCTCAAGTGCAGAACTCGTTATGAGCCCCCCATTTCATATGCTTAAGGCGCGAAAATAAAAAGCTAATGCCTCAAACATTCTTAAACTAACCATAATTAGTGAGATGGAGGTATCTTACATCACTTCAGAATATACATTTGGCTGCTGGCCAAATCTCATAGATTTGAAAACAATCTGTTGGAAAGTAGACGTCGCCATTTACAGATAATTGGAGCGACGTATACCACAAGAAGTGAAACGAAATAAGAAACTTGGATGGTGCAGGAAATAGTATAAAACAGACATAATTTATATATCCCGCAGGCGAAACTGTGCAGGACAAAAAGAAAGGTATTGTAGCCAGCCAGACAAGTTGAAACGAATCACTAACCCAAAAAGTAAGTGACTCCACTGCGAGAAAACTAAAAAGGAGAATCTGTAAAAGAGATTAACAAAAGTCTCTCAACTTCAAAACTACATATCTAGCTGCGCTTCATCTGTATTCCAAAAAAAAAAAAAAAAAAAAAAGAAAGAAAGAAAGAAAGAAAGAAAAATTATATAAGGGGGAATACAAAGAGAAAAACACTCAAAAAGCTAAAATAGGTTAAACGTAGATGACACGAGAAGATAAAAGAGCGGAAACGCACATGAGGAGGCATGCACGGAACCAGGAGACTTACAAACAACGCGAGAGCTAAGTATAAATAATGTACCAATGATGATGATGCAGGCCAAAGAAACAGAAGAACAAAAGGAGGGGGGCGGGGAAAGGGAAAGAGGGAAAACAAGGCATTCCAATGCGAAAAGCATATGTCAACCTAATTAAGTTATCTTCTAAGAATTATGCGAAGAAGAGTACGGTATATATATGAAAAGTGGAGCGCAAAAAGAAACAGGAGACCAGTTTAACTAGCAAACAAATTTGGTTCATAAGGAATGATGGTTAACGGTGGATATTGAATGAATGGAACAGTGAACAGACGCTAGTGATTATCCTCCATCGGCCAGACAGAAGTGAAGATTTTGAAAACACAAACATAGCATTATATATATTGGAGGCCCTGGACTCTGGAGTTAAAATCCAAACGGATTGGACGGCGCTAGAAAAAGAAAACAAAAATTTTGCAAATTAGCAAAAACCAAATCATAATGAATCATACCATATATCTTATGGATACGACACAACAAATGAAAATCTGATATCAACTTACTAGCTTGCGAGAGATTCGCCTTGAGCCCTGTCGGCTGTGGCGTCAGCTTCTTCGCATCCTTTTGCACGCCGAAACGAACAGGGGGTGGCGGTCCAGTCTTTTGCGGTTGCAGCGGTGTAATAGTGGGCTGTTGCGGGAAGGGAGGAATGGAGGGCGGTGAAGGAGTAAAATTGGTATTGCTACCATACCCGTTCACGCCAGTACGCTGTGGCTGTATTGGCGGGGGGAGAGTGGCATTGATCCCAGTCTGCAGAGGAAGCTGTTGTGGTGGCTGCTGTTGAAAACCTGCCAATCCAGTTTGCTGGGGCGCAAGTTGCGACTGGAATCCTTGTTGCTGGGGTCTGTTCATAAACGGTTGAGGAGATTGGAAGCCAAATTGCTGCTGCTGCTGCTGCTGCTGTTGTTGTTGTTGTTGAGGTGGCATTAGCCCGATCTGTTGAGAGGGCATTTGATTTCCGAACGGCCCGATGCCAGTTTGTTGGGGTTGTAATTGCTGTTGCTGGCTGAATTGAGCTTGGAACCGTTGCTGATTAAGTTCTGCAAGGCTATAACCAGGAGGAGCAATGCTCGGACCAGATGCTGGAACTCCCGTCAGCTGGGGCTGCAAAGGAGGTGGGCCAAAAGCGCTGTTTGGTGGCAGGCGTTGAGGTGCTGAGAGGGGCCGGTCTGGCGGGGGAGGAAGAAGGGATGATCCTTGATTTGCCATGGCTGGCGGTTGTGGCCGTTGCCTTGGGGGCATTGGCTGTTGCTGTGGAACATAGCCGGTAATTTGGGCTTGTTGCTGCTGTGGCACGGGTAGCTGAGCAAAGAAAGTCGGGTTTGCACCAGTTTGCTGTGGCTGCTGTGGCTGTTGAATTTGAGGAGGGGGTGGGGTAATCGGAAGCTGAGAAGGTTGTGGTTGAGGGGGTGGGGGTGGATTTGCCTTTGTTGGTTGTAGGGGAGTAGAGAGAAGAGATAAGTCTGCCATTGCCCCTACAGGAGGTGCTGGTTGAGGTTGTATTGCAGGAGTTGCCGTTGTGGGAGCAGTAGTAGCCGGGGTAGTTGTTGGTGCAGCAGAGGTAGAGGGCTGTTTGGGATGTTTAATCTCCCATGCACTGTCTTCAAATCCTTGGATACCCTTATCCGCCGACGGACTGGTAGCCTGGGAGCCTCTTGCAGGCAATCCATCTTTTCCAACGTCACTTTTAGCTTCGAATGCCTTGGGATCCACAACATCGCTAGTCTGGACAGGTGGAGCAGGCCGTCCCTTGCGAGTATTATTCCGGAGAGTTCCCCTGGGACCGGAAAAGAGCCCGCCCGCCCCTTCCTCGCCGTTGCCTATGACCTCTTCTCCTCCGAAACTGACCACTTTGGATTTGCCAGCCCGATTAAAAAGGTTGTCAAGATATTTCATGACTCGCAAAATATCACCCTCCTTCAAACCTAGGGTTCTCAGTGTCTCCATCGTAATATCAGGTAATATACTCTCGTCCATAGAATCTTTGGTGAAATTCTGTGCATAACGTTCGCATTGATGGGGCCCGACTCCAGCCTTCAAGAAAAAGTCAAACCAGTCATAATCGGATGGCTTTACACTTGCACCAACTTTTCCGGTGTCGCGAAGGCGGCTTCGTCGTCGAATGTCGGAAAGCGGCTTGTCCTCGTCAAGCGATTGGCCAGTGGCTCTCTCCACGTATTCAATGTCTTCGACAGACATCTTCGATACCGGGACGGCGATTTTCACGCCATTCTGCTTATGAAGGTGGATTTTACCATCCGCAAGACCGATAAATTCCGCAACGACAGTGAAAGCACCAGATCTATCAGTCCACTTCCGCGTTTTCGTGGGATCAGGTTCTAAAATATTGCCTTACATTATGAGCATCATTCTAAGCAGAAGGTAAAGAACGATGCGTGGAGGAAAGCGAAAAATGACTTACTTGGTTTCAACTTGCTATCACGTTTCTGCCGCTGTGAACTATTGTCATTATTGCTTTCTCTGGGAAACAAACTACTACCTCTCTCCGGAAGTTCGATGCCTGGGCCTACCTCTCCGCTGCGCGAGTCACTAGAAATATGACTCTTTGACTTCCGTGCCGATTCCATCGTCAGCCGTGATTCCTCAAGTCGGTTCTGCTCAATAGAGGAAAGTCCTGCGTTAGTGCCTTTCCTGCTCGGTTCATCTGCCGTCATCGTTCCGGTGAGCTCAACGTAGCTGCTGGGAACGACCCCTTCTTTGCCGTTTTTCAAGCGCCTAACCATCCACCACTCGTCTGATTTGGTGTCATCCAGTATGATAACTTCATCGCCCACAGCAACGGTGACTTCATCATCTCCCTGAGCCATAAAATCATATAATACCTGACCCTTTTTCCGAGCACCTCCAACACCGGCCGCAATTACTTCTCTTAGGCCTTCGGCTTTGTATCCCCCTGCTATTTCACCTAGCGCGGAAACAATTTCGATCGCTGTATCCTTCGCCCCGGCATGGAAATCAACGCTCTTGCTAGGCCGGATAAGGTCCATAAATACGTGTTTTCCTTCGATAGAATAATGTGTTAACTTATCAGCAGTCCACTCCTGATGGGGTCCATCTACCGATTTCTCCGGAGATATAAAAATGGTTCCGGTATTGATATTTATTCCCAGCGTTGTGGGCATCTTCTTCCGTTTTCCCATTACGGAAACCATTTCACTAATGTTATATAGACGGTACCCAGATGGAGAAACCACAGACTGATGATCAGAATGAAACTCTCCAGATCTATAGGGCGGGGATGACTGGATGCCAGGAGATGCATCCTCCATATGCGAAGAATATCGCGAACGACGCGGTGGAGATAGTTCACGTGGAGAAGGAAGCTGCACGGGTGTGGATATTTGACCTGATGGAGGACGTCGTGGAAGGGCGGGTGGTGGGACAGAATCTTCTCCGTCAGATTCTTCTGGGGTATACATTGGCTGACGGTGTGGTTGCGGAGGGTGAGATACGGCCAGAGAAGGCCTAATGGAATGTGGTTGCTCAGAAGATATTGACGGCTGCGCTTTGTGGAGGATTCCAGCTATAGCAGCAGCCGGACCTGCATCGACGCTGGAAGGGGATCCCGGGGTTGGCACTCCCTCAGACTCAGTGTCAGCCGATCGCGCAGGGAGTGAAGGAGGAGCGGGAGCAGCAGGAGAGGCTTTGTCGTCCGTAAGATCTTCCGTTATCTCAATATAATTGGCCGGTGCAAAGCCGAAGTCATTGTTAATGCCTACAAGGGTCCAGTCCGGGTCTGAGGCATCGTAGACAAGCAGTTCAACTTCCTCCGCAAAGGATACCTCCTCATCAGTTTGGCGTGCATAATCGTAAAGGGATTTGGCTTTGTGAGTCGGCCGTGCCTATAGTAAATAACATGGTTAGCTCATTTAATATCCTCGACATTCATCTCATCGCTCATCCTGATGGATATCCGTTTTAAGTAGGGTGAGAGGTGAATATCCCACTCCCAACCATTTTAAAACAAGAAGGCCCCCAAAAACCAATAGAGCACGGGGTGAAAATCCATCATTTACCTCTTCAACATAATTGTTTGGAACCAAACCAACCGGTTCCTCCTCATCTTCCTCCGCCGCCTTCTTCTTCGCCTTCCACCAATCGTCCTCTGAATTCTTGTCTAGCACATACAACAAATCCCCTTCGTTGATCTCCAGTTCATTTTCCGCCTGTGGTGTATAATCATACACCGCAGTATAGATCCCCACGAATCCCATGATGTCTTTTCTGGAACTCCACTATCACCTATCCCTTAGGGATATATCCTTATCTGAGTGTCAAGTTCGGTTCAACGGGCAAATCCTATTCCGCTGTGCAAGAACTGAAATTACCCAGCCGGTTCAATCGGCCAGAAGAATTAATAATTCTGTTTGGTTTTGCCGCAGTTGAAGGGGGAAGATTTAAAGGGGGTTTGGTCTGGTGATCTGCGGGTTCGTAGAAAACAGGGTTGCCAAATCGGTCCGTCACAGCCGGGGGGAGGACGTGGGATAATCAACAGAGCGCCGGAAAAGTTGTCGTCAGGAAGCCGAAGAGCAAATATAGAGCAAATAAATAAATTAAAATAAAGGAGAAAAGACACCACTCTCGAAGTAGTTATCCAAACTTGGCAAACATTCAAAGTGGAGAGAATGAGGAGGTTCTGAATAGCAGCGCCTGCGTCAGCTGTCAAATTAAAAGGGGAGACAGACGTGACAGGGGTTGGAACGTAGCAGTCGACAAGCGGGACGCTATTATTCAGGTGAAGAGAGGGAGGCTGGTAGAGGCTGGTAGAGGCTGAGTTCTTGCGAAGATATATGTTACGTCGTTGATGGCTCAAGTGGTTGAAGTAAGAATAGGTTGGAGTCGACGGTTGGTTGTTTGGCTGGCGATGCCAAGAAAGGACCCTGAGGAAGGGCGGGTGAAGGTAGAAGGTGTACGCATCTGATACGCACTATACGGGCAGGGTTTTGGTGCCTTGAAACGCATGTTTACGATACGATACGACTAATCTGCCCATCCAAACGTCTCGAACACACCTGTTCTTAATTACTCCGTCCTGAGAAGTTATATATGTGAGGTCATGAAATATATAGGAAATATATAGTGAATATCATATGGATTGCTTCCATGGGTAAATAATATACGAGGCTGAGATATAGCTACAGAATTTCACAAAAAGAAAGACCGCTGCGTGAAATTGAATTTGGTCAAGGGAAAAAGAAAAGGCAAGTTATCTATCTAAGTATAGATATTGTGAAGATATCATAATAATAAAAAGGCCACCGGATGCCACACGCCCAACCAGGAAGGAATTAAAGAAGCCAAAAAAATAAAAAATAAAATAAAAATAAAATAAAATAAAAAGAGAGTTAAATCACAGTTCATCTTTATACGTCTCATCACTGCCTTCCTCCTCATTGCCTTGATTCCGCTTCTCCGCATCATCCTTTGACTTCATCTCCTTGCCCGCCCCTTTCTTCTCCGCCGCCTCCTCATTTTCATCAGACCCAGTCTCAATCACACCACGCAGCATCGATCTCCCATTTGCCTCGATAACCTCCAATTTCCAATTCTTGCCCTCCGCAAGTTCTTCCAGCTGCTTCTTCAACGTCTCAATCTTATCCACGTCAAGGTTGAACTTCTTAAGCTCCTCCTTCGACAGCCTGTGAATCTCCCCGGCCTCGCGTTTAGCCACAATTTCAACTCTCTCCTCCCCGGCAGACGCAACTTTACCCTTCTCAATCCGCTTCCCCTCCCGCCCAACAAGCTTCATCGCTCCAACTTGTATATCTCCAACAACTTGCAATTTATCCCCTAGGCGCTTCTGCACCTCTATAAGATATTCCTCACTCTCTTGAAAAGCCTTTGTCTCCTCAAAATCATCAACACCGTCCGATTCAATAATCTCCTTGCACACGATCGGATTCGGATCGTGTTCCCTCGGTGGCTGGAATGCGACATCGTTACACAGGCGAGGGGTATAAATGATCATCAGGTATGTGCAGGTTGAAACTTCCTTGATCCAGCCAATATGATCCGTTGACTGCGGGTGGCAGTGGAACTGGATCTCGATCTTACGGTCCCTGCCAGTCAAGTCGCAGACGGTGCCATCTTCCAGATGCTGCACTAGATATCGCGAGTCGCCCTTGGTCTGTAGCTCCGCCACCTCAGTCGTAGGCTTCTTGTCACCTGACGACGACTGGCTACCCTTGGCATCACGATCACTGTTACCACCCTTCTCACTCCGGAATCTCCCTAGGACGTAGGAATTCGTGGTGGGATCCTCAGCAGGCGGATAAACGGGGACTCCATTCCCCGGCGGGAGAGCATGAAACTGCCTCACCTGATCCATGTAGCAGAAGGAATATGACCACCACCCCGCAACGTAGTACATGCACGACCCCTTCATTTCACTTAGTAATTCCAGCCCGCGATCAGCGGCTCGTGCGAGTTCCTTCTCCTGTTCTGCTGGGGAAGTGCCGGCCTCCTTTGTCTCGTTGATCGTCACCACTTTAGGTACCGTACAAACGTATCGCATCCCATCCAGAACCATCTCCTCGTAGCTCTCAACCTTCTCATCAAGGACTGGTGGGGGTGCATGTTGGTCTTCTTTTGTCCCATCTCTTAATGGTACCTGATGCCGGGACCTGTCCGAGACTATGGAGGAGTCGGCAGGTGATGGGGCGGATATTGAGGAAGTGGCAGTATTAAACTTGGGGGATTGTTGAGGTGCTAACCGTTCTTGAGCCTCTGAAGAAAGGATATATTCGTAAGGAAAAACAACCTCGAACTAGATTGTCAAAAGCGTTGTGTGTTAGTCAATATGTTATATATATATATATATAAACTTCTGCTCGTTTCGAATCAACCAAGAGAACGGGAGCATGTCTCACCTGTGGAAACGCCAGGACATCTTCATAAACATTGAAAGGCTTCCGTCCACACAGGCTCAACGTTGCATGTGCCAGGACGGTCGAAAGCGACAGGAGGGGATGGCCCCGCATAATTTCCGCTTACTCCCCCTAATTTTTATTTTTACTTTTTTATTTTGAATGCGCGTGTGTTCTCAATAGAATTGAAATGTCGAATCGCTGTCGTCCTATAGCCAATTCCTCCGGTTGTCAATAAATATGAGCAGACAGACGATAAGCTATGGTCCGTCAAAATAGACTTATATAACAAGACAGCTTGCGACTGATTTGGAGATTCGAGGTCCCTCGAGTTCACGGGTGGCGCATAATCGTAGATGTCATAACGTTCGTCAGGAAAGATATCTATCTTCGTCATCTCCCCCCGCATCGGGCTTGGTTTTGATGTTTCCTCGGTTCTTGTAGGTATGTTTGTTCTCGGCTGCCGCGTGGTCGCGGTTGGGAGGTTGGCATCTTCCATCATGTTCCGTTTTGGGTCTAGCGTGAGCTTCCAGGGTTACAGAGTATAGAATGCTGAGTGCGCTGGGACTTTTGAATTCAACAACTTTCCTCTTTATATTTTGAAATTTAGGTACTTGAGGTATATTCTCTGCGGAATGGGAGAATCTCAGTTCATACCTCATTAGATCATTGACAGCTGAAAAATAAAAAATAGCTTAAGGCAAATACATACATACATGCATATAAATATATATATATATATATACAGATGCAGATATGCTCTGAGTATTACAGAGATGGAATGCGAAACACAAAACAATTTCAATCAATCTCAAACGAGCTCCTAGCCCATCCTTTTCCCAATTTCGCTTTCCCACCCATTCGCTCTCTCAAATCCATTGGCATGAGTCTGATAATCCAGCATCGCCTGATATACCTGCTCCTGGCTATTCAACACAAATGGTCCATATTGCACAACCTTCTGATCAAGAGGTTGGCCAGCAATCAGCATAAACCGCGAGTCCTCTTTCGCTTCCACTGCATTCGATGCATCCACAAAATCTCCAGCTTTGTCGAACACAACATTATGGAACGGACCAACAGTTTTGGCGGGTGACCGGTCACCGAGTGAAGAAGCCGGAGTCGTATTAGATTCGCTGGCAGTGCCAAAGTGCGTAGTTCCGGCCAAAGTGTATGCAAATGCATTCCAACCTTGCGGAAGGGGTTGAGAAACCTTCCCCCCGGGATGAATCGTGATGTCAAATATCCAAACGGGAGTGTAGGCTAGATCGCGCACCGAATCGACTCCGTGCGATTGTCCGGATATAACCTTAACCGTGACTTTGCCCTCATCGACGTCTGCCACTGGTATCTCTGACGCGCGAAGATCGCGGTATCGCGGCTCACACATCTTCAGCTTCTCGGGTAGATCAACCCACAGCTGCATGCCGACGTTGGGGCTTCCGTCAGGGTTCTCGTGGGGCATTTCCGCATGCATTATTCCGCGGCCGGCAGTCATGAATTGGAGGTCACCCGGTCCAATCGTGCCCTTGTGTCCGGCAAAGTCTTCATGATCGACCCCTCCCGACAGCAGGTATGTGATTGTCTCCTGTCCGCGGTGTGGGTGGTCGGGGAATCCAGCACCCTTTCCGATCGTGAAGTGGTCAAGCATGAGGAAGGGACTAAAATTCCGCAGTTTCGCGGTGCCGATTGATCTGCGAACGCGCGCCCCTGCGCCCTCTGCTTGCTCAATGGCAGCAAATGCCATACGGATGGCGCGTGGGACAGACATGTCGGATAAAGAGTGAAGGGTGATGGACTCTATGGAAGATATTGCATCTGGAATGGTGTTTCGAATGGAAGGAGTAGAGGTGCTGTTTTGCATCAAGGAAGACGACAGGAATGAGAGGTTAATATGACTGTAGGTCAAGTTTTTGATGTTGTCAAAAAAAGTAGAAATAGAACGATTACTGCGATGAAAATTAGAAGAGAGGGAAGTTGCTTCATGGGCCTGCCCCGATGTTTATATAGTTTCCCTCTGAAAACCTTCGCGAAGCTTTCTGATAATTCTCAATGGTGCTAGAAGCATCTTTTGGAAACCTATTTCCAACAGGATACTCCATACTTTTCTTGCTGAACGGGGTTAAGATCTCGGTCTTCCACCAGCTTTCCGAGGGTTTCATTATTGCGCTTGCTCATTGCTTACCCAATCCTCAGTCAGCAAACCCATGTCATAGCCTTGGCGCCAAGCTGCGTCACATCCCGGCCTCTTTCGGCCCCAAGCTGCAAGAACTACGGCGTATCAATTTTCCGGCCCCAACAGTTCCCGTGACCGACTTGTCCCTTTTGGGAGACCCCGTTCCTGAATCCCCGTTACATCTTTGCATGGATCCTTTTATATATTAATAATATAAAGACAGGTTTGGTGTTTTTCGAGGTCACCTAAAACTCATACATTATTGTGTCTCTCACCCCCCTCCTCAGTACATGTCCCCTAAATAAGGATATCACCAGATGTCCACGGCTTGAAATTGGATGGAGATGTTGGTACGCTGTGTGCGGACTCGACTTGTCTGCGCCGATCTATATCTGAACAAAATTTGGAATCGAATCAAATCGAATGAACTCCATTCAAATGATTGAATCAGCTAAATGATACTTATTAACTTGGAATCCATGCTTCAAACAGTTCGAGTATTATTCTCGAAACAGGGACAATCCTCTACCTAACGCGCTAATAGCAGCTGGTATTTCCAGTATGCTGGCGCGGCACAGAGACAAGGGACGCCTTACCATAAATGGTTTACCGTTTAATTCCTGGAAGGGAAAAGGACACCTCATTAAACTTTAAGGTTTAACGCTTGAACCAACTTAGGACGATAGTTTTACAAATGTTTCAGCGTTGCACTGAAAGGTGGAGTAGGTGGTTTCAATGAATAATTAATAGATACTAAGTAAAAAGGCGTTTCTTTTCTTTGCTTTGTAGATAGGGAGATTATATATGCAGTCCGACATCAAGATCAGCAACGGCTAAAATAGAACAGAAATCTTTTGATTGTACATACAGTGAAGGTTACTTTAGATAAGAAATGTATCACACACACACACAGAGAGAGAGAGAGAGAGATTGGGGGGGGAGGGGAGAGAGAGAGAGAGAGAGAGAGAGAGAGAGAGAGGCCCTCTTAATTTACCATAGGAGAACAGCCAGGGAGAAAGAAGAAAAGACCAAAAATAAAAACCAAGAGTGTTTTCCTTCTCCCAAACGGTCACCATGCACTCCATTTTACTTCGCAAAATGCAACTCATACGACAACCACTGCCTCGCCTGAATGCCAGCAACATCCAGACCTGGTCGTCCATACGTAAACGGCGCAAAGAAATAGAACCCATAGATCACCGCGCTCATAATAGCAATAACAGCCGCCCATGTAGCCATCACACTCTGCCGGCCCAGTCGTGACTTGAGTCTATTTACCTGTCGACCTGACAGGGCCTTTTTGGCGCTTGACACCGCGGTCGAGGCTGAGTTGGTGCTCGCGGCGTCATCATTGTTAGTTGCTGGATCGATGTTGAAGACAAATTCGATTAGGGCACCGGCAACGAGGGCGGAGGCAACGTGGGCGGGTAGGTAGTGGTGTAGGAAGCGTTGGCGGCCCATGAGGTAGAAGGGGAAGTAGTGTGCGGCCCAGCACAGAAAGAAGAAGCCTGTGCTGTTGTAGAGGCGGGAGCGGGTGCCGGGTCCCCAGACTAGTACGATAAGGAAGGAAAAGGGTGTTAGCAAAGAACAACAATCTTTAAAATATAGGCGGGCAAAAATGATGATATTCTTACTTTCTTCCAGAGCGTCAATGCCTCTTCGGAGAGACAGTTGGTCGGCACCAATGATACCTACAAACACCGCAAGGAGACTGCTGGCAAACCACCAGCCGATGGGATTGCCAAGGAAGTATATTTGTTCACGAGTAGCGTTCTTGGTCCAGAAGCTTACTCCGCGGAGAAGGAAGGGCCATTGGAACGGCTCGCTGGCATAGGGATGGCTGTTAGTTAGGGCGTTGTTGTGGAAGAACATTGCCCTCTGAAGCTCGAGGTACTTTACGGTAAAAGGAAGTTGTTTGATAACGCGAGGTTCCTGCTTTCGCCTGTCGCTTTCCGGGCTTAGCGATGGAATATCCTCGACAAACCATAGATTGGTTGACTGTTGGATGTTTTTGTTTCCGTTTATTTCGGCCTGCCTGAAAGCCCATTCCGGTAAGGGGTTGGAATGAGTCCACATGGCAACTTTCGTAGGCACATGGACAAGTTTGAAAAGACTAGACATTGTTTTGAATTCCTGGCCAGGTTTTGCTTTCTCGATCCTGATCTCAAACAAGGTATCATTGTGGCGATCGCCATCCGCCAATTCCCGCGAGACGGTGGTGAATTCTTGGTTCGTCGGGAAATACGGGGAAGCCACGTCGTGAGTCAGAAGAATAGTATCCGTTCGAAGATGATGAAGCTGGACAATGTCACCATGTTTAACGCGATGTCCAAGTCGGTCGTTGGCATCAAATGGAGCTGCAGGAAGGATCTCCCAATGATTATTGGTATCATTGTAAGGGTAACCAGTAACTTGTTGACCTTGGCTGGAAATGCGACCGTCCTCATAACGCAGGGGGTAATGTTCGTTATGGCTGTGCAGATATGTCTTGGTACCCTTGTGTCGGAGGGTGATATGGTCATAGTAGTCAATTCCAACCGATTTCAAAGTCATCACATTGTCGCCGAGAGTCTGCTGGAACTCAGGGCTCATAAAGTCATCGCCTGGGCCAGACCTGTTAAGAATCACAAAGTGAACCTGGAACCAGAACAGATAAAAGAAAAACGGCAAAATGATCAGCGCAGCTGTCCGAGCGGCAAAGTGTTTGGTGAATTCGACCAGAGACAGAGAACCTCCACGGCGGTTCACATCAAGCAAATCCCACAGATCTATCAAGACAGCGGCCCCAACAGTCAAAAAGGTAAAGGCACCAACGTATTTAGTTGAAATCACACAGCTCAACGAGATTCCGGTCAGCAGCAGCCATTTCCACCACTTACGGCCAAATGGCTCATGTCTCAATTTGTAGAATTTGATGTAACAGAGGATGCTCAGTGCCATTGTCAGAACTAGCGTCGCATCTAGCAGAATGAGCCTATCCTCCCCAACATGCGCATTGTCGAACAAGACCAGCCCTGCAGATAGAACGCAGGCTGGCAGGGAGTAGCCGGACTCCCACATGATTAGGAAAACCACGGGGATCGTTAGAGAGCCTTGAATAGCTGGCATGGCCCGAAGAGCGACATACGGGACCCTATTTTCTATGTACGACTCTCCAATGTTCTCGAAGAGGTAATGCCCATCGTATCCCACCAGCCAGCCCATGAGAGCAAACAGGAGCTTCCCAAATGGCGGGTGGACATCGAAGAAATAGGTGCGTCGAAGGTAGTATGAGGCAAACTATTCAATGGCAGCAGCATAAGTCAACGGTAGTATAACGGTAGATCATCCAAAACTGTTCTGGGGGAAAAGGGGGGCAATCGCACAAGGACTCAAAGCAGGCATAGTACTAACCTTTCCAAAGTGTACCTCATCAAACACAACTTCATTGGGGTAGCTTAGGTTCGCAAAGCGCGTTGAAAATGCCAGCAGCGTCAGGACCACCATGGCGATTCTGTAGTGCCATTGTGCAGGTGTAGAAGCGGGCATTTTTGCCGGATTCGTGGACGGCGGGCTGCTTGCTCGCTGTTCCTCTTTGACGCCTGCGGGTTTCTTTCCCGCTCGCTGCCGGAGGCTCGGGGGAGCAGAAGTCATGGTTACGGCAGAAAGACCAAGTTCGAAAACGAAGAGGGGCAATGGGGAAGGTTAGTAGAATATAGAGCTGGACGAACAGACAGACACGTCAGCCTTTTACTGGCAACAGAGGGGGATAGTAGACAAGCCGAGAGTAAAACGATGAATTGGACGACTTACGAAACACGGGCAAATATCAATTAAATTGGCATGGTAAAAGAGCGTCGAGAAGAGGATTGGAAAATTACTCGGTTTCAAAGGGGCAGGTTCTGGCGTGATTGTGTTGGATAAGAGAATGAAATAAATATATCAAGGGTTCCTTAGACACTAATTAATGTTTAGGTGGTTTCGCTCCAGCTGTTTGGGTTTGACTGGTAGGAGTAACCTGAAGCAGCCTAGCGAAAATCACGGACTGAACCTTGGAAGCAGAGCAATGTTTCGGGGGGGAACCCAAATACTTAGATGAAGTAATGAATGGTTATGCTGAGTATCCAATGCTGCATATGGATGTATGAGGTGTATATAATGTATTCTACATGTAAATATACATACATACATACATACATACATACATACATCTCCATGATATCCAATTACATGCACTGTAAGATGGCAGTATATATGAAAAATGCACATAAAACAAAAACATGCTATCCGCCATGAAAATGCTCAAGATATAACAGAACTGCCAGGAGTATACATGCCTAAACGCCTCGGCCATCATCATCTTCATCAGCGTCATCATCATCCATCAAACTAAGACAGTCCAACTCCCTCCTCACAAGAGCGTCAAATTCCGCCTTCGACAACCCTGTAGCCCTCGCCAGCCTAAAAAGACTCTTGATATTCGACGAGATATGGTGCTTCACTCCCATCTCTGAGACAGACTGGTACTCCGCCGTCTTCTCGAGCTTGCTGACAGTCTCTGAATCGCCAGAGGACGCCGACGAGGGCCTCGGGTGGTTTAAGGGTAGGCGAGAGTCCATGGAATGGTTGCCGTTTTGGTAGAGCGGGGCTGCGCTGCGTTGTTCAGCTAGAAGCTCCTCTGATTGCCGTTGAAAGATAGAACCAAATGCGTTGCCGCTCAAGGTCGACTCCCCGATCCCACTCCGGTTGACAGAAGGGTCGTCATTGTCCAAAGCAGGTTGTACTTCGTTGTATCTGGCAAAGTACGAATTCGAAGCGGTGTGCTCGGGGCCAATGCCGTTATATCGAGCCTGGTTTGGTGCGGGAGATCGCTTTGCTGGTGTCCTGCCAGGCGTATTGTCATATTGCGCCCAGTAGTCATCATCGTCCTCCTCTCCCTCCTCGGGCTCCACTAGCTGGGGTTGGGTAGATTTGGACACGCCATTATACACTTTATCTCTTTCATGCGACGCTGCCTTCAGCATGTTCAGCCGTTTGTATTCATTTGCCTCTTCGACTGTTTCTGACCAGGTAGCCGCCTCCTCACATAGACTATGGCCTGGCAGGACTTCTGCAACCTTCCAACATGGTCCGTCCCCCTCTTGATCCGCGGAACACCATACGTAAAGCACTATAAGATCGTATTCATCGATCAGGAGTTTCGATCGAAGGGTCTCCGAGTCTAGGCGCTTATACGTGATCCGGACGTCATCGGAGATTTCGATCTCTCCAGAAACAGGGTGAACTTCGAACGTGGTGGCATCAACAATTTTTTGAACCTCTACTGCTTTACTAGAATCCCAACATAACAGTTGTAGCCATGAATCTGAAGAAGGCTGTGGACTAGAGCTCAGGATCTGTACGCGTTGGCGAAGAATTGGTGAAAGCAACGAGAGCAAAGCAGGAGGAGGTTTGGGGGAGGTACAGGCGGCAGCAAGACAGGCGAGGAGAGGAGGGATGAGAATTCGAGGATCTGGGGGTGGAATGTATTCGACCATTTTAAGCTTGATGCGGATAATAGGGTTCGGTTGGCGGTATTAAATGATTTAATGACTAAGACAAAATGAAGGATGATTTGGTAATTTAACGCTGGTTTGATCAAGAGTGTGTGTTCTGCTTTCTCAGGAAATTAGCCCCTTGCGGTTCCAAAGTCGCGAAGGCAGAAGAGGAAAACTGAGCAGTCAAAGAGTATTAAGTATTATATGGATTAAAAGAACCATACCTACATGAAGAAAGCAGAGGAGAACAGAGAAGTCTAATTATTCCGATCTTTCCCTTGCGATTAAATATTATTGTATTGTTGAAACCCGCTTGAGGGGGGGGCAAGTATATAAATAATATTTAAGGAAGAGGAGACGAGCAGGCCAAGCCCAAGCTCCATTTGCCCGGACCGCGAAGCAAACCCAGTGCGGGTAGCAAAAAAGACTCGACAGGAGCGGCGTGGAGCTGTAGGCGGTCACACTGTCACTGAAGGGGGGGGGCTTGCTGGTCAGGCGCGGCGTTTACTAGTCAGAGTGACTTGTTAAAGCCAATAATAACAATAACCGGTCCTCGTGTCCAGCCACTCGAAAGCTGACGGTGACCACGCGACAAAAGGGAGGAGGTTTTTAGCAGGCTGCGGAAGCTATTTCATAGAGCTACAAGTGGCCTCGCTGACCTTTATTGAAGCTTGCACAGAGGGCATATTGTTGTTTTCACTTAGTATCTAGATACCTGGGCAATGAAATAAGTCCCAATTTGTAGATTTTGAAGCTTTTGGGGGCTGTGGAGTTTGCCGAAAGTATAGCCCCTGACTAATACAGCGCGTATTGCTTGGATTTCCTCTTCCCCGGCCTTCATCGAAAGGAATATATAACGATATTATATATTGAGAACATTGATTTATACATCATGTGACAGCTCATCAAAAATTTTGTGACTACACATACATGAGCTGGTTATGGTTCTACAGAGGAACCTGGTGTTGAGAATGCGCGTCCTTACAAACATAGGAAACCCCCAGAGGGAGGTTGCTAACGAGTGGCTAGTTCCAACAAACTTGCATTATTGCAGTTGTATAACTTCCGTACTCCGTACATGAATATCTAGCCCAGAAATGGTGGCAATTTTATATGTGGGGTAGGTTCCACGGCTAGTTTAACTGCTGGTGCCGAAGGTACCAACCAGCAGGGCCAGAAACAACAAACAACGTACAGAGTACCCGATAATTTAAATTGTCTCTTCAGATTTGAGGTACCCGAACCCAACGGCCCTTGATTTCCCACGCCAAAGTGCCACCCAGCAGCCCGCCTCAACCAAGGGATTCACTTATTTTCAACATATTAGTTCAATTCTGCAGTTGCTTTTCTGCTTTATACATATTTATTGTCTTATGATATTTCTTTTTATTGTTTAATATACTTATATATTTTTTTTAAATATTTTTAATATAAATTTCAAATATTTTATTTTTACAAGTTATATTAAAATTAAATATTTTAATAGCTACTAAAAATATTAATTATTTATATTATAATTTAGTAAAAAATTTATTAATATATTTAAATATAATATATTTAAATATAATATATATTATTAATTTATCTTTAATTATAATTTTATAATTGTAATAGAAATTATTTAAAAACTTAACTAATATTATTATAAAATAATTATGATAAAAGTTGTCTAAATTATAAATATTAAAAATCTCATATTCGCTTTTTAAATTCTAGAAATATAACTTATACTTTGAATTAATTTAAGATATGTTCTATATCAACTTCTAAATATTCCTGTTTACTTTTTAAATCATCTGACTATATAAGTAAAAAATCATTCTTATTAAACTTTTGTAGCTTTTGAATATATGTAGTTTTTTCTTCTTTCTTAGAAAGATCACTAATAGTAATATCTATTAATGAACTTAAATTTTTTTTTTTTTTTCAAAGAGCAAAACTTATTATGATTTATATTTTTCATATTTAAGCTTAGTAGTAGATCTTTAATCATTGCATATATTCTATTTAACTAAGAAGATAAGTGTTACAGTGCTGCTACTTGTAATATGAATTAAGATTGATTTGCTCTGCTCTAAAAAATTGCTCTTCTTCAATTCTCAAGTGCCTCTTTATATCCAGTTGCTCATTCATTTCATATTCTAATCATCATTTTAGTATTCTTGTCACAGCTACCTAGTTAGGTTGATGAATTGAAACTTTTTTTTTCTTGTTTATCATCTTGACTTTAGACTGAGCTATGACAGTTAATACTAAACTTCTTTTTCTCAAAAAGCTCTGGGGATTGAGTAGACAGGCCTTAATGTTCACATCTATGTCCATGTCCATGTCTGAATAACCTTCTCAGTGGTTGTGACGGTGCTGAATACTCAGAACTGTGATTAATTTTTTATTCTTCTTTATTGTTCTTATCTTCATTATCCAGCTTTCTGTTTAACCTCGGCCATTCCGGCCGGTCGCAATTGAAATACTCGCATTCGCCTGTCTGGGGTCTTCATAAATTGACAACGATGTTCCTGTTCCTGTTAACGATCACTTTTTCTCCGCCTTTTCGAGAGCATCAATTCCCGCTTGCACATTTTGCAGATGGCTGAAAAATGCCCCTTTTCGCCCTGGGAGCGCTGGGTACAAGTCCCGGCAAAGGCCAAGGAGTCGGGGAGAGTATTTCTACTGTCGAGGCTGAAAATGAAACTTTAAACAGAGCTCAAGAGAAGCAAGTGGAGCGCAGACTGCGTCTGAAGGTAGATATTCGACTATGTACCATTGCTGGAATCATATGCAGTTTCAACCTGCTAGATTCCGGCATCATTTCCTCAGGCTCGGTAACTAGCATGACGACCGATCTCTCGCTGGAGGGAACTCGGTACTCAGTAGCTATCTCTATTTTCACCCTCTCAAGTGTTGTCTTTCAAGCGTCCATCCACAGTCGCAGTCCGCTTCATTAGCCCCCGCATATGGTTCTCTCTGATCACTATGTTCTTTGGCCTGATTACTATGTGCACGACTTTTATACAAAGTTGGAGACAGATGATTGTCCTCCGGATCCTTTTGGGCATTTCCAATGTCTGGGGTCTGTCCGGGTCTGACGTATCTGATCAGTAGCTGGTATACATGGGAAGAGCAGCAGCTCCGTTTTGCTTTTCTGCAGGCTGGAGAGGTTCTAGTTCTGGCATCTGGGGACATTATGATTTTCGGCTTAAATCATCTTGATGGCCAAGCTGGGCTTGAGGGGTGACGGTGGATGTTCCTGGTCAACGGCCTTATTACCATTTTTGTGGGCATCACCACATCCTGGTGGATGATTGATTTCCCTGAAAATGCGCACCGAAGCTTCCGCTTCTTTACTGAGTCGGAAGCGGAGAGAGTAACAGGGAGGATCCAGAAAGACAGAAAAGACGCACTCCCGGTGCCATTTTCCGTGTCCAAGATCCAGGCTCATTTTCTCGATTTCAAACTGTACAGATTCAGTTTTCTCTTCTTCCTCTTGAACCTGGTGTCAACCTCCCTATCATACTTTCTGCCAATCATCCGGGCATGGGCTTTGATGCAAACAAGTCCATTCTACTTTCTGCACCTGTGAGTTTAACCAACCTAAGCTCAACCTAACTCCGCCATATGTACAGTGATACCCACTATAACTCAACCCAACCAGAAAGAGGCCTGGCATTTAACTGGCCCTGCTCATCCAGCCATACTACTACGCCGTCATCCCCGTCCTCCTCACCTCCTTACTGGGGGACAAACTGCGCCTCCGCGGACCCCTCATCTTCTTTAACTCCCTCAGCTTTATTGCCGGCTTCCTAATACTTGGCTTCCCAACTTCCAAGCAAGTCACTGTCCGCTCAATAGGCACATTCCTCTCCACGGGTGCGTATGTTTCCAACTGGGCTGCCCTGAACGCTTACCTGGCGAACAACATCGTTGGCCAGTGGAAACGGGCCACCGTTGCGGCTTCAGTGACTGCCTCTAAAGGTCTCGGGGGCATTGCGGACAGTTTTATTGTGAGATCTAGCGAGGCGCTGACGTATGAGACGGCGGTTTGGGTTCTATTGTGTAAGTGAAAATCTAATTAAATTTGGAATTCGCGATTATGATTCATTTTCATTGAGGAAATTATGAGCGTTTGATGTTCCTTTTTGGGTTTATCTGGAAATACGGACTAACCTAAGGGTTGAAATTATTTAGCTCCCATGCGCTGATGATTGCAATTGTCCTCGTTGTTCTCAACGTACTTTTACGTTATGAATCAACGACAAAGGGCAAACGAGAAAATAATTGAGGGGGTGGTATGTTCCTTTTCTCCACTGCTTTGTTCGAGGTCATCATGCTAACATCTCCTGCTCGTAGGTTGGGTTTCGTTATACTTATTAATAAATATCCTGGCTATTAACATCTCTTTTGTGTTTATATATATTCAGTTAAAATCAAGGCTGGGTGCTGGGAAACAGTTTGTACGAATTTCCTTTGGTCCTCTATTAGCTTTGAGATGGGTCCGGACTTTATAAAGATATATTAGTATATATATGTATTAATGAGGAATTGGCTGAGGAGGATAGGTCGTTATGCCGTAGTTTATGTTTATGATCATGGAATGAGATCATAGATATCTAGAATTTAAGCTATCCTATTTGAAAAGGGAAAAACATGAAAATGATTTGGGTATTTTGTAGATCTTGGTTGGGGATCGCATGAGACACCATTGGAACAAAAATAAAATTGACGTTAGGAAAGCATACATAAATTGACAAGAGTCTGAAAAGAAAAACACCGGAATAACTGTGGTGATCCTGATCTGATGTAGTGAAGAGAAGTGAAATAAAGAAATGAGATCGAACATGAAATAACAGGGAAAGAAGTACATAGGTTATATGTCTGTTGAACAAAAGATATCAGATTCCCTAGACGGAGGAGACAAAGCCAAGATTTAAAGATATAAAGAAAGAAAGAAAATAAAATCCCCTTCCGTTCAATCCCTCCCCTGCTCCAACTTCCCCACGAGCCTCTTCATACCCGACCACTGCTCAACAGGCACTTCATCAGGACCTCCACTCAAATCCTTCCCAACCTCAAACACCGTCAAAACCCCGTCAAGCCCACCCGTCGCCAGGCGACGGCCATCCCTCTCCTCCCATGCAACTTTATTCAAACTCTGCTCAATAACTGCATTGCGTGCCTTCGTCGGCGCCTCGCGTGCCGCATACACCTCCGTGTCTGTGCACAGGTCCCACACCTCAACGAACCCAGCGCCATCAACCAGGGCAAAGACGCCAGGTCGATGCGGGGACCATCGCGCGTCGTAAACGACATCTTCACGATTCAGGTCCAGGACGGGCGAGACCACTTGGGCCGGGCTTGTGGCTGACGTCCCTGATGTATTGGTTACAGCGGGTGGGCGTACGCGCCAGAGTTTCACGCTCCAGTCCAGACTAGAACTGAGCATTAGGTCGCCTAGGTCAACTGCTCCGCATGCTGGGTGAAAGGCTGTGGACATGACCGGGGCGGCATGCCCGCGGTATGAGAGACGGTGGTCCGTTCCTGCTTTGGCGCCTGCACGGTCATAGCGGTGACAGGGGTAAATGGCGCCCTCTTCTGTGCCGACGAGGAAGAAGGTTGGGTCTGATTGGGGAAATGTCATAGTGGTTGGGGCGAGGTCTTCTGTTTTGGACGGAGGCGGGGTGGTGAGTTCGAGGTATTCTTGGGGTTGGGAGAGCATGTCGACGGTCCAGGCACAAACGACCCCGTCTGTCGAAGCGGTGATGATGTTGTGGGCGTTTTGGGTGCCGACGATGGAGATGTTGTAGACCGGGTGGGTGTGGCCAGATCCTGTTAGTGGGGTTTTTTGGACGGGGGCGCCGCCTCCTGCGCGAGATGATCTGATGTCCCATAATAGGACTTGACCGGAGTACGAGCCGCCTACAATGAGGTTTGGGTGGAAGGGGGAGAATTTCGCAGTTAGGATGTCTGACATGGAATGAAAGACGTATTCTGGTCTTGAATGGAGATGGAGATTCCATACTTGGACTATACCATTGGGATCGTGCGGAGCGGTAACGTTATTCGTGTAGGAAGCCAGGACCAATTCTGGGAACTGTAGGTGAAGTTATTTCAGTTCTAGTCAATCTAGACAGCTTGAGATGTCATATGAGGTAGACTCACCTTTGGAGAAAAGTTGATATCACTTATCACTCGTTTCTTGCTCCATCGCTCATCGTAGAATTGAACCAACTCCTCAATTCCTCTCCGTTTACTACCACCATACTCATTCTCACCACCATCGGTTGCACCAACCCCACCCAATGCATAATCTGTAAGGACGTCATATTCCTCATCCAATGCTCTTTCGATGACTTTGCTGGACTTCTCCACGAAATCTAAGAAATCGTTCGACGAGGTAACAGCATTGAGCTCGTCATTTGTAAGGGTCCGCAAGGGATATCTCATTCCTGCTGATTGTGGTGCAGCATTATCCTCAACCGCTTTTTTCGTGGATTGTATCTCTTCTTCAATCTCTTTCCGTAGCCTCTCCCGTATCTCCTCGTCACGCTCAGGTTGTTGTCTCCGGCTCAACCGCTTACTTGCACGGGAAGTTGTTGGAGAACCAGCACCCTCTAGATCAGATTGGCTATCTGTTGACTGACTTCTTGGCTCTGTCCATGAATCTGTTTGTACACCTTTGCTGTATGTGACGATCTCGGGTTTAGGGGGGACGGGTTCTGGGGTGGACAGATCGGAAGGGAATGGAGTGGTTTGAGTTGCAATTGATAGAAGCACGGGCCTCGATGGAGGCGTTGCAGATTCGATATTCTCACCACTAAGTTGGCTTGCACTGAGGACTGAATTGGGACGACTTCCTCGACCCCTGGGCGATTCTACCCCGTCCTTGAAAGCTGCTGATGAAGGTCGATCGACCAGCCGTGAAATAAAACTATCGAGCTCTGCTCTGCTATCTGAGCGGCTGGGAGTGGGAGCTAGAACCTATGATATGTACTTGATGTCAGTATAGAGAAAATATTACGAGGTGAAACATTCAAGGAGCGAGGTCACCTCCGATCCTTCAATACTCTGTCTGTTCTGTGAGAACTCCTTTTGTCGCAATTCCCGCTGACGCTTGAGCTCTGCAAGCTTAGCCTTCTTGGCCAGAATCTCATCTTTCCGCTGCTGCATTGCGATGTAGCTGTACCCTGATACCGTTAGTGACCAGGTTTAATACTCATAAGTTCTTCGCGCTGTTGTGAATATATCTATTTACTTTATTTACTTGTGTTCGATATCGCGGGTTGGATGAGTGGTCTGTTCCTTACATAAGCAGCTCGGACAGGTAGAAAAATCCCGAACTTCTTCAACTCCAACCAACGCCGGCTTTGAATATCTATCAAACAACGGTTTTGAATCTCTATCAACAGCCCTTGCTGGAAGCCATTGACCGCCCGCAACTCTCCTGCACACTTCAGAGGTTGACGCTCTAGCGGTCACAGTACTTACCTTTCTCATTCCTGTCCTAATTAAACACCCCTTTATTGTTGGGCTTCATATCACACCGTCATGGCGACTTCGCAAGGTGTCAACGTGAGCGCCCAGTTTCCCCGAAAACTTCCTCATCCCTCTATCCGATGGATCGTACGATAAGGTCAAGATCCACCTGAGTACTGATAACGAAATGTTTTCTGTTTTATTTTTCTTCAGGTACTACGCTACTCCGCCCTTTTTGCCGGCGTTCTCTACGGTTTCTACCACCAGTCAACCGTTAAATCGCAAGCCAAGCAGGCCCAGATAGATCGAGAATATAGCCGCAAGCAGTCATTGATCGAGCAAGCTAAGGCAGAGTACGCGAAGAAGAACGCACCTCCAGGAATTAAATCTACGAGCCAAGGAGGTATGTTTAACGCGATCGATACGGAATGTTATGGATGTCGGGAATGATCGTTTTACTTCTGTAGTGCTCATAATTCCGTGGAAGAATGCTGATGGATTGTTACAATTCCTTATTTCAGTCATAACGGATCCGGAAGATAAGAGATTCGATCTCGAAGCTTTTATAAACATGAAAGCTGCCGAAATGGCGAAATAAACGATTTAAGCGGCTGTGAGGATGGATCGGTGTGGGCCATTCAAAGAGATTGGTGGAATTACTGATTCAGCAGGGCTCGATGGCGCAAAAAAAAAAAAAAAAAAAAAAAAAAAAAAAAAAAAAACTCAAACTGCTCTCGAAAGGTCGGTCCCTTGCACCCAAATGAGGACGCTATGCATATCCGAGTGCAGTGTTGGAGAATATCCATTTTGTACTATTTATCTATCGTGCAACAAAGTTCCATTTTCCTTGCGTACAGAAACAGTTATAAAAGAAGTCACCATTGGTTCCATTTTTCATCGTGTACATATATCCTAGAGGGCAATCTTTAAGATTCTGGCTGGTTTCGAGAATCTACATTTCTCAACTTCATCTGTTCCATTTAACTTCCTGGCAAAAAGCATCTCGGCATCATGTCCGTTTGGCAATTGGTTTCATTAAATTGTGTCTCAACATACATTTTGCGATGTGGGGTTGCAGATAAATCAACCCGGCGTAACAGTGAGTCGTAGATTCATATTTCGTTTCTCGTTGCAGTTGTATGAGCCTTACGGCCAACAGGGTCCAATTTTAGTCGCCATGGCTCCTCTGTTGTGCCACCAATCGGCTTATCATAGTATCGTTTGAAACAGTCTCTTTCGGTATTTCAGTTATCACCTTCGGAATGAATAACTTTGATTCCGCGTTCCATTCCCAACCTTTCCCTGTAAGCCTGTCAACCAGTTTGGGGCATGCGCCATCAGGGGAATCACTCATTGTATCGTCTCCTAAGGAGTCGAGGCCGAGATAGTGTGCAGCAGTTGATGGCCGGATCGATCCGAAGGCAAAACTAATCTCATCGAACGTTTTATTGTGGAAGTAGCCTGCGTGGAATTGTTAATTTGGAAAAGTGGAATAGCTGATATCTTCCATATACGTACGGTGATACTGCTGAACTAAAGATTTATTCATGGGCTCTGGCCATGGGGTCTGTCGTAGAAGGGAGTATATTTTATCGTAGTTCTTATTCCAAACTGCTCGCACAAGTGATATGACGCTCTGCAGTATAGGATCCACTTTGACAAGAGACTCAGGTAGCCTCCTCAGCAGCATACGTGTTTCATAGCTACAGATGAGCAGTTAGTCAAGAGCGAGGGAGAAAGGCGGACTTGTTTTGGGTGAATAGCGAACATTTGATCCTCCAGGAGAAGAGCGAAAATGTATGAGGAGTAGTAAATGCGGAGAGGCTCCGCGTCGCTAGCTGTATGAGTAATGCTACACGCTAGACTGACTTCACCTTCAAGCTCCATAAGCTTATCCAAAAGGACAGCTGCTGAGGGAGCTGTTAGGAGCATCAAGTCCATATCTGCCATGGAGAACATCCTGAAGGTCGGCGATGGAGCTTGAGAGGCAGAAGTTGAGAAAGAGAATAGAAACGCTTGCAAATTAAGCACTCTAAATCCACAGCAGGAAATCGAACGTTGAAACACACACACACACACCCACACAAAAAAAAAAAAAAAAAAAAAAAGGGAGCAGAATGTAGCGAGTGTAGAGGAACTATCAGAAACATAAGATGATGATGGGATTCGTATAAGTTAATGGAACGGGTTTATATAAAAATGGCGGACCACCTGTCTGCTTAAGGTTCCCGCAGAGCCTCAGCCGGAAGCATGATGCCAAGCCCCGAGAGACCACCTTGCGGAGCTTCCAATCGACTCTGAGGACTCGACGGCGACGACGACGTCGACAACAACAACAACAACTGCTGCTGCTACTGCTACAGTGAGTGAAGACGACACATTGTACCCGTTCTCCATAATATTGTGTCTCCTTGCTATCTAGGCCGGTATGGCCACCCCTACTATTGAACGCTTCCTGGAAGGTTCCACCTCAAAAACTACTCGAGGTCTGCTCCGGGTTATCATTCTTGTGCTAATAGCCGCCGCCGCCATCGCCAGTCGACTCTTCAGCGTAATAAGTAAGATAGCAGTCTTTCCACTTGTTATTGTCATATAGGCCTTGGAATTAAATAACCAATGATACTAATGAATGTGAAATGCAGGATTCGAGTCTATAATACACGAGTGTATGTACGGTCTCTCGCTGACGCTAATCTCCGCCCCAGCTCCCTACTCCTACATCTAGACTCTCTCTCCCCGATTGCGATCTCCAATCAACTTTATTAAAACTACCCCATATGCTGACAAAACGCCTGATCTGTAGTTGACCCGTGGTTCAATTTCAGAGCAACTAAATATCTTGTAGAGCATGGCTTCTACAGCTTTTGGGATTGGTTCGACGATCGTAAGGCACTTCTCCAACCAGGACCTTATATCTGAGAGCTATCAATACGTTAGAAATGATAGAAATCTAAAACTGTGTATGTTCTTGTAATTAGGAACATGGCACCCTCTGGGTCGTGTCACTGGTGGCACTTTATACCCAGGCCTGATGGTAACCAGCGGCGTCATCTACCATATCCTCCGGTTGCTTTCCATACCAGTCGACATCCGAAACATCTGTGTGCTTCTTGCCCCTGCATTCTCTGCCTTGACTGCCGTGGCGATGTATCTCCTAACTTGTGAAATGTCCCCGTCACCATCCGCTGGGCTCCTCGCCGCTGCTTTCATGGGAATTGTCCCAGGCTATATCTCCAGGTCCGTCGCTGGGAGCTACGATAACGAAGCTATTGCTATCTTCCTTCTCGTTTTCACCTTCTTCCTCTGGATCAAGGCCGTGAAGAACGGATCGATTTTGTGGGGTGTGCTGACCGCGTTGTTTTATGGTTACATGGTTTCAGCCTGGGGTGGATATGTGTTCATCACCAATTTGATTCCCCTGCACATTTTTGTTCTTATATGCATGGGCCGCTACAGCTCCCGCATTTATATCAGCTATACCACCTGGTATGCGTTGGGAACATTAGCCAGCATGCAAATTCCATTTGTTGGGTTCCTTCCTATTCGAAGTAGTGATCATATGTCAGCATTAGGTGTGTTCCCGTCACCTTGTTGAAACATCCTTCACTGGGAACTAACCTCGTCCAGGAATCTTTGGTCTTATCCAAGTCGTTGCTTTTGTCGAGTTCATTCGTTCCCAGGTACCAGGGAAACATTTCCAAACTCTTCTAACGGGTTTGGTATTGCTTATCTTTAGCGTCGCTTTCGTGGGTCTTGTTGTTCTCACCGTTTCGGGAGTTATTGCTCCCTGGAGTGGCCGGTTCTACTCGCTTTGGGATACTGGTTATGCTAAAATTCACATTCCAATCATTGCGTCCGTTTCCGAGCATCAGCCAACAGCTTGGCCCGCGTTCTTCTTCGACCTTAGCATGCTAATTTGGCTCTTCCCAGCTGGTGTTTACATGTGCTTCGTCCAACTAAAAGACGAGCACGTCTTTGTTATTATCTATTCTGTCCTCGCCAGCTATTTCGCCGGAGTAATGGTGCGATTGATGCTTACTCTGACTCCCATTGTCTGCGTTGCATCTGCAATAATTTTGTCCTACATTCTCGATACCTATCTTCTCATCTCTCCCTCAAAACCAAAGGACAACAAATCATCTCAAGCTGGTCTCCGATCTGTACAGAAAGAGGATGTCAGGATCTACTCAAAGCTTTCGAAATTAGTTTTATCCGGCTCCATTGTTGTCTATCTGCTCTTATTTGTGGGACAATGCACCTGGGTAACGTCAAATGCATACTCCTCTCCGTCAGTTGTCCTAGCAAGCAAAATGCCAGACGGAAGCCTACACATCATTGATGACTACCGCGAAGCCTACTACTGGCTACGCGAAAACACCCCAGAAAATGCCAAGGTTATGGCGTGGTGGGATTACGGTTATCAAATTGGTGGCATGGCTGATCGCCCAACACTCGTTGACAACAACACCTGGAATAATACCCACATTGCAACCGTCGGCAAAGCAATGAGCTCGCGTGAGGAAGTCGCTTATCCCATCCTTCGACAACATGATGTTGACTATGTCTTGGTCGTCTTTGGCGGATTACTGGGATACTCTGGAGACGATCTCAATAAGTTCCTGTGGATGGTCCGGATAGCTGAAGGAATCTGGCCTGATGAAGTCAAGGAACGTGACTTCTTCACTGACCAGGGTGAATACCGTGTAGACGGTGAAGCCACGCCAACCATGCAAAACAGTCTTATGTAAGTGTTTCTCCTCTTCCTTGCCTCGATAATTGACTGCTGCATATACTCGGCTTAAACATCCACTCACTAACCGTAATATTTAGGTACAAAATGTCCTACTACAACTTCAGCACTCTTTTCCCAGGTGGTCAAGCAGTCGATCGCACCCGCGGCGTGCGCCTCCCAGCGCAAGGTCCCCAACTAACTACACTCGAGGAAGCATTCACCAGCAAGAATTGGATTATCAGAATCTATAAGGTTAAGGATCTTGATAACGTTGGACGAGATCATAACCGTGCCGTCGCCTTCGACAAGGGGCGCAAAAAGAAGAAGGCACTTAAGAATAGGGGGCCAAGGGTTCTGAGAACCGAATAGATATTCTTGACCGTTATGTTCCTCCCTCCTTCTTTCTCTTTATGTCGAATTTGTTCTTCTGTTTTGTCGTTTATAGTTAACTTTTTCCGTTTTGTAGAATGTATTTTTTTTAAATTTTTATTTTATTTTTTATTTTCTTATTCTCGCTTTTTCGATTATTCTAAGTTTAAAAAGTCCTAAGATAAAAGGGGGTTTCTTTCTGATTTTCGCTTTTATTTCGGCACGATCTCAACCGGGTTTAAAGGAAAAGCATGAGGCCCAGATTGAAATCATAGATTAACTTTGAACAACAGGCACACAGGACTGGAAAGGGTTCTCTTCTATCTTGTATTTTCCCCTGACCATTTCAAGCTTGATCAATGCTTCCATTTACTGCATTGCACATGTACGATTCTTTTCTTTTTCTTTTCTTTTTCTTGTTTTTTTTCATGGAGTTTTCCATAACCCACCCATCTTGTTTATTGGTCCTTTTATCACTTTTTCACCACAGCTCCATTCTTGTTCGTCGAATTAGTTCTAGAGAGAGAAAATATCTTAGAAAGGGCGAGATTTGATAGTTTATTGTCAAGATGGTGATGACTATGACACCATGACCCTGCAGCGGCCTATTTCCCCACCACACCAGCTGTCTACTCGCCGAGCATTCCAGAATTCCTTTCAACAGCTCCTGACGGGACATTTACTTCCGGCGATACGAGCATCTGCACAACCTAGGAGCCTAGACCAATCAAAACATTCGCTGACTGTGTCCCATAGCGTGGATTGTGGACATAGTGGCACAGCACCCCTTGAGCATTCCAAGGGACAAACTAAAGATGGAATACGAGAAGTCTATATAAGGCCTCGACCAGGGATGTTGCGGAGACCACCACAAGGTGGATGATAAAGGGCCTCCATGCAACTTAAACTCTGAGGCAGATGAAATAAATACATCGAGTGAGAATACACGGCAGAAACTGAAATGAATCCTAAAATAATATCACAATACAACCATCCATCCAGATTTCAAGAGAGAAGAAGACGGCACGCTGCTTTTTAATGATAATTGCTGAGTTCCGTCCAAAGCCATTCATTTTGCTCATTGACAACGATCTTATGGTTTTTAAGAAAATTTTTGAAAAAAAGGGTTATCTATGAAGAAAATGAGCGCGATCGCTGGTGAGTAGCCTACAGGAAATCTTCTGTTCTACGTCTATTTATATTGCCATACCTGGTTATTATCCATTTATCTTGTCCAGGCATGGTTATAAGCCAGGCAGGGTCGTTTGTCGTGCTATTTGCCACTCTTCTGGAATCCCAATTCGTGCAATTACTTAACATCGTAGCTCACTGGTTGCAGAACCCTACGTGCTCGCTCCGTGTCATATGCAGGATATGAAACCGATATCCTCAGGGCCAATACCACAACCTCATGAGAGACCATCACCACCGGCACCCCAAACAAACAGTGGCAGGCGTATCGTAAACCCGCAAACTTGCACCACGCACGAAAAATACGACGTGTCCCTATTCGACATAGTCTTGGTGCATCCAATTCAATCCACATTCATTACATTTGATAGCGTCCCAACTCCTCCCTCGACAGAACCGGCTCGCACGGAATTCATCAACAACCATTTCATCCAGCAGATCAACTGGTATCCTTGGACATGCGACGTAATGTCTAAAGACATGACGGATACCACGATAAGAGATCCGGGGGTGGAAATGAACATGTGCTCACGCTATGTGGAAGCCGAAGCCATCATCACCCCGTTATATCGCAATGCGCAGAAGCAGCTGGGCTTCATGCACCCCATAACCATCTACCACATGAACAATCTCGGGGTGGCTTTGGGTGGCCAGGGCAAATATCGGGAATCCGAATCAATCCTCAATGACACTGTCGGAATGAAATTTCAGGAGTTGGACTCGTCACATCTGAGTACCCTAGGCAGTATGATGAACATCGTACTCGCCTATAAGTGTCAGGGCAATTGGCAGAGGGCTGAGGAAGTGCTGACTCAGATGATAAATATCAGAGTGAATGACCAGGGAGTCCCAGATCCTGACTTTTTGGATTGGAATGATCACTTGGGCGTCATTCTGGCAATTCAGCAGAAGTACGATGAGGCCGAGAAGGTGCTTATGCGCTGTTATGAGGTGCGGCAGAGGCTTGGACGTGATCCGTATATCTTTTGCACGCAATATACGCTGGAATGGGTTCAGAAGAAGAAGAAGGGAGCATCCGCACAGGAAAAGAAGTCCGCATGAGCAACGTTCACATCTCTACATAATTTCCTAGTTTCTCTAAAGTCTTTGTGTTTTATAATCTAACGAGTTCCTTCGATATATACTCACTCAATGAACCAACTTGTTCTGTACTTTTTTCAGTCAATTCGACAACCTGCTTTTATTCGAAAGTTGTAGTGTTTTCTTGTGCACTCCAGATAAAAGTCTTGAATGATGGTTTCAACCCGTATGTCTCAAACTCTCTTACCACAACAATCGGCACCATGGAGAGTGAAAAACGATGTGAAACAAATTTTAGAAAAGGTTCCATTAACATCACAAGCCTCCCCCAACTAAGTTGGACAACCTTCATATAACTCCTTGTTTGAGTTGACAAAGGTGCTCGACAGATAAGGTTATTGTGTTATTTTCTTGCAAGTGATTCAAAGCTCTATGGTCCCATCTCTGTATAAGCCTCTGCATGGGTCTATTACTAGTAATACACAAACCAACCACTCTGCTCAAACAAGATATCCGAAAAAAGAAAGGGGGAAGTACAAGTGGTTAAACAAGAAGAGGAACAAACAAGCCATCGCAAAGGAGAGCAATCATATCATTCAGCGACAGAAGCATTTTGAGAAGGGACGGGAGTGCTTGTCATTGACGGTGTGACCGAATCGCCGGTGCCTTTCACATACTGTTGTTGATGGATATGGGCGTCGTTCGATGCTGAATTAGAAATCGATTCAGGAAAAGCTTTAATGCCATGGTTTTGAATATTGACAATGCCCCCTGCATCTGGCTCTGATTTTATCCCGTTAGATGGATTCAGGGGAACGTTTCCACTTTGCTCAGCACCTGGAGGAGCAGTGGATGTGGAGTTTGTAGATGTGGATTTAGGTTTTGATACAGGCTCCTCTGGTTTTGGAATGACATGTGGTCGCCACTTGAGGAGAAGTTTTGCAATCAGAGGGCGGGCTTCTTCGACTATCCGATTGGAAATAGGAATTAGATACATTATGCCGATTTAATGGGACTAAAAACCCACGAAAACAAAGGAAAGTCGGATTGACAAGGAACTGTGCTTACTTTTTCCGTACAGGTCTTGGAGAGCATCTAAGCAAAGATCCCTTGCAGGAGGCCGTACGAGGACGAGGTAGCTATCACTGCATTAGCATTGAATAATTCATATGTGGCGAGGATTTGCTTACTAAAGTGCCTGAACACATAGAGTAACGCGTTCAGGGTCATTTGCCAAACTCTTTGTTTTCTTCACGAGCTCGAGACTCAGTTCGGGTATCTCACTTAAAAATCTAATGAGCACCTTGTCTCTCGCGTCTAAATAAGGTAGTATTCCTTCCAGTAGCCTCATGACCCATTTTTCATAGTGCCTCGGGACTATCGTGTCATCAATATCACCATTATTCTCTGATGAACAGTGCTTTAATTGTATTCGGTCATTATACCACTCCTCATTCATCCAAGAAATAGCAACGTTGATTCGAACCCGGAAATCTTCAAGAACGTATCGGTAAAGCATCTCCCTGATGCCATCAGCCATGCTCATGCGCTGCTTCGAGTGCGACTGTCGGCCGCTTTCGGTTTTAACAATATTGTCTGCTTCGTCCACATCTAAACCAGCCGACGCACGAGTTGCCAATCGAGTAAGCAAGATTAACCAAGAGTCCCGATCGAATGTGCTTGCAGCCAATCTCCCGAAGCCTGGCTTCTGAGAACCCTTGAATGATTTTGACGGTTGCTCCAAGGTGGAAATCATTCCGAAAACTCTTTCAATTGCGCCCTTGCCAATTTCAGTGGCCTCTTCTCCTGATAATGGTGGAGGCTGAGGGAGTACAAATGGACCTAGAGCAACGAGTTCCGGTGCATTCTCGTCAATTTTAGACGCGTCAGGTCCCTCTAATGCCTGTGAATCGGTAGGTATATCCATTGGTTGGTATTCTGGTTCATAATCATCATCATCTTCTTCGGCAGCTGGCTGAGCGGCAGCCTGAGAAGCTTGATGGTCGAAAATTTGCTTCTTGGATAATGTGAGGTATCGAGATCGAACAGCCTAAGTATCGTGAAGATAAGAATATATTCTTACTTTTAGGTTAAGAAACAAGACAGCGTAAGGGGGCGTAACGTACCCCAACAGCTTGATCCAACGCCTCAGGATCCACGCGACTCAACACAGGAATAGTGATATTGACAATTAGGTCTGCTGCTAGCTGCTTGACGTCAAACGACGTCAATCCTGCATCGTCTGTCAATGTGAAAAGCTGTGAGAAACTATTAGGGCCGGGGGGGAGAGGCGGAATCTTTAGCTGAGGCGGCGTATCGACTCCAAGTCTTGCACGCTTTGCACTATCGACAAGATCGGTTGGCTCAGTTGGTAGCGGCCTTTTCTTCGATGTTTCGTCGAAGATATCATTTCGGGATTGCGCTAAACGATCTAAATACTGCTGTATACGCCCAGCCAAAGGATGGTTGGTGTTCCTGAAGCAACGATCAGAGACGTTGGAGCCAACTAACACAGCAGTAACTACACACCTTTTCATTATATTGAGGAGCAATGCCCTCGTGGTCCGTTCCACGGACTTGATATTTACTCGAATGGTGGGACTCATTGGTGCATTTGCTTGTTTAAGAGGGTTGAAGTTAAGAATCGCATTTACAATCTTATTTGAAATTGACTGGCGGGTGCGTATCAGGACCGGAAGGCAATTTAGAGTCGCATTCACCAAGATAGGATCACTATGTTCGTTAATAATATGTATATACTTTGCCTTACTGCCAACGCAGAGGGATACGAATACATATACACACCTAGAATTTTCATAGAAAACGTTAAGAAGTCTATCTAACAATCCGGATGCCTCAGCTTCGAGATTAGGTAGCGGTACGAGAGGGTGATTTCTCGGCACAAGCGATAGAGAGATTTCATTTTTCTCAGGGAGCTGTAGATATGTTTAGTATTTCCCAAACATCAACGGTATCAATCCGTGAATACATACCCTTGGATCTGATATGACACCTGCTGTTTGGACTTGCACCACCTTCTGGACGAATTTGATACAGCAAACCTTGATGTTATTGGGAGCAGTATCCCATCGTTTTAGAATATTTTGCTTGATTGCTGTCATTTTCTCCCATAACGCATCCTCCGTGGGGTTATCGACGCTAGTGAGAACACCGATCACATCAGAACCCGTTCTACTCAATATCAACACAAGATTACTGCTTCGATGGCTAATGTCGGCCATCTAGGTTATCCCGCAATTATCTGTATGTCCTCAATTCCGGCGTGTGAAGGGATTAAAGGGGTTGGGGAGCCCGGAGTTTGACATACATAGTTCTAAATATCAACGGGTAAATACTCGCAGCAGTTTGAATAATGCCTCTTACAACACTGGCATCCTCATCCGGATTCTTCAACAGATCCCACAAGGTCTGTATCACCTGTGTACTCAACTTCTCTTTCGGTCGTTGGGCCAGCGCGGGACTCGCAAACGTTTCTGCTAGGAATTCGGCACCCCATCTTCGTAGTTCCAGCCGTGCCTTTGCACCTATTATTGGAAGTATACCCTGAACGATTTGCGGATACAAAGCAGCATCGCCAAGAACGACATTCCTCGCAGTGTCCAGCTGGGTCATCTGCTCCACGAGGTTGTCGAGTGGCAGGGCCATGATAGCTCTGGAGCCTGCCAGAGGGCACAGATCACAGGGAGTAAGATAGAGGGCCTCGTCGAATACTAATTCTGGTCGTAGAGGACTAATACTATTACTTTAGCCAGATGTATCTGGGGGAGGTGGGGGGGGGGATATTTATAGATGTAGATGTAGGATCCTTGGGTGATAGAAGATGCGGATTAGACTTGCTGTAAGGACGGAATTCGAAGGACAAGCCGAAGGAGCGGACCAGGGAGGCTCTCTGTTCACATCGAGTAAAGGATGGCAATTAAAAAGAAAAAATATGGATGAATGCTACATGGAGAAAAGGAAATGAATAGCTAGCTAGGCAGTCTTATTTGTTAAACTGATGGGTGTGAAGGAGCAATATCTGATGCTTCTCTGGGCTGGCTCCGATCAAAAGTAGCGAAGTGAAGCTCAGAGACGACAGACACTCTAGCCTGTTTAGGATTGGTGTGAGCTGTTAATTTAGCCGCAGTAAGCGCCTACGCACCAAGTACCATATGTTGGACTTAATGAGACTTTGGGGAAGAGCCCTCGGTAGGGAGAATGAAAACAATCCGGATTAATAGAAGAAAAATAAATCAACATTTATCGATTATTTTATCAAGGTACCAATGGCAATATCTTTTACCAAACTTTTCTCATCTCAAGTTAAGCGCAAAGATGAATTCAGGCGCTTATATTATCACGTGATGCAAGCTTTTCTCTTGATGTCAGTGAATCGATTCTAGGAGCACATTATTTGCATTTTCAATATTTGAATGAGCATATATCCACAATAAAAGTCAATATTCCAATCTCCCGCCTTGGAAAAATACAATCGTAGCTGTCATGGCGATGTGCGTTTCCCTCCCACCTCAACCTTTCAAAGCTTAACCGCAGTCATTCGTCCATCATGAACTCCCAATATAGCTGACACCTTGCCCATTCCATAGTTTCAAATCCTCATACTACGATAAAGATTACAGAGCGGGGGCTGCTCTTCTTCGAGCCCGTCGACCGTATTTGTTTAAAAACGCTGCTACTGGAATCGCGCTTTTTGCCTTCTGTATTGGTGTTTGTAAGCTCAACCCCTCCGTCCTCCCACCGTACCATCTTGACTTTCTCTAATTATTATGGGACTATAGATGCTTTCACGATAAATGCTGTTGGGCAAGATGATTTCTCCGACGTAATAGTCCCAGAGAAGAAGATGGTCGACGCAGAACCAGCTCCGGCAGTGAAATAAATTTTTATGCATTTGTTCCATCTATTACAAAGGCCGTCATCCATTCAACCCTACACACCAATCTTTACCTACCCGGAGTTTACGGACTGCTGAATTCTTATCCCCCCGATCTCCTTTTCGATATCTTGGCGTTAAGGGTGGTGATTCTGATTTGCGGGAAAAGGACCAAACTTTGAAGTTGATACTGTGACTTATGAGAAAAGGGTTCGGAATTAAGAATGTGATTGGGGGAAAGGCCTCGATTATAGCAATCGGATAAGGGTGACGATATGAAAAGTGTATCAAGGTCTTTGCGGAACTCCCTTTGGACCGAATAGAGGAGGATTTGTCCATTCCTTGCTTATACCTATCTACCCAATAATTGATGCTTTGTCCGCTTCCGTATTCTCTTCTCCGCTCTTCCTTCAGTCTTAACCAACGGTTGCTTATTTATTGTATAAATATTCTGTTTCTTGTATATTTCTTCTAAATTCCTCTCATATTCATATATGTACATGTCCATGCTTAATTTTCATCCTTACCCAATCATCCACATCGGCTTACATATGCTTCCTCAAATAATTCATTCTTAAACCGCGAAGGACTTTGTGCTCTATGCCATACATTCCCACTCCTCCGTGCTCTAACTCACCACGTGTCACTCTCTGCTACCCATGGACTGCGAAATGCGTACCAAATGAAACCTTTACTTCCTGAACTTGCGTATATGAAATATAGTTATGCAAAATACGAATGACGGCCTGATTGCTATGTAGTATTATTCAAAAGTACTATGAGTAGGGAGTGGGGAATCGATAGCTCGTGGCTCGAATTCTCTCAAATGTGACGAGATAGTAGAAGAGCGTAGCCTACTCCATGGTGACATCAAACTTCTTATGTCTGACAAGCCAAAAAGTGCAAATAGTATAAATATGGGAGGATCCGTTTTCTCAAAACGCCTTTCATAGTTAATTCTTTCAGTCCCATAAATCCATCAGAGGCCAGCAATCTGTGTGGCTCTGATACGAAGGCTTGGTGAGTGAGAAAACCCCGCCTCCATTCTCTGAAGCATCCAAAAGCTAACAGATACAATCCCACACTCATAGATTACTCTGCATATCATCCCCTCGAATCCACCGGTCTGCGCAACAACTCGACCTTGCCCAGTCGTCATGGAAATCTTGTTGAACACGGTTATCAATGTTGTGCTCTTTAGCAGCTTCATAGCGGTCCTTGCATCCCCTCTCAACTTTGCAAGTAAGTAAAAGGGCATTCATACATGGAACAATCATGCACGCTGCTTCTTTCCCGGCAATCCGAAACACCAACAACTATCCTGCCCAAGCTTCAACTGAACTGGAACGACAGATAATCAACTCGCCAAACGCGACTGCGATGACAGAGTTTTCTGTCCAAGTTCTTTGGCGGAGTCTTGGTGTGTCTCATGGGATACAGGATTTGCCATGTGCCAACAAAAACACGGGGCCAATCCGTCGTTAAATCTGAACCGCTGTAGATCTTGCGTTGAGAGCAACTGTGCGACGACAAGCTGTAATGAGGTTCTGTCAGTCCAACGAAGAGCTACCTTTGAGGGATGAACAGGATGGGGGAAATGATGCAAAATTGCAGATGTTCTTGTGTACCTTGGGACTGAAATGGAGATGCGTGTGCACCCCTGGAGCTACTAAGGAGAACGTATAACGGTATCCGTACATCGAGTTTGCCAGTTGTTATCTGCTCAGTTTCATATGTTAGTACCTCCAAATCATTCATTGGTGTCTTCTCCTTATGATACCTTTTCAAACATTGATTCGGTCTGTACATGCCGTTGCCATTCCTCATCCCAGCAACTCATTACAAGAAGGTTTCTACCGGATTTGTTGCATGGAATCGAAGTTGACCTTTTTTTTTTTTTTTTTTTTTTTTTTTTTTTAAGAGGGGAGCCTAGACTGACCAAAAACCGAACCCTGCATATCACTACCATGGGATTCCCGCGTCACCTAGACACGTCTGGCACTTACCATGGTCGCACATATCCGGTTCATTGGCTACTAAATAGCTTGTGACAACCTTGTGTCAACAATCGCTCTTCAACGTCTTGCACTCAACGTGCTCCACAACCTGCATGTTGTTCAAAACAACAGTCGGGCGTCCCATCAGCGATGGACGGTGTGGGAACTGAGACAATATTGGACTTTGATCATTGGAGCTAGTCGACAAGATACAGTTCATGGAAGTTCATATGGATCTCTCGTTGAAAGTGGAGTCACTGATCAAAGTTAGGTCATTGAGGCTGTTGAATTTAAGTTAAGGTTTGATTAAGATCTAGTTAACCCTAACCTTATTTCCACTTATCGATATATCGAGGCTCTTTTTAGATAGGGGGGATTGGGTTTAGTGGATATGTTGAGGACCATATAGTCTGTCATACTTCGTTTACACTACGGGCAGCTTTGCGGTTCTAGGGCATTTTAATGCATTCAATGATACATGACCAGTTATATGTAGTGCATTTGGCAACATCACCGTGCTCGTCAGACAGAACGTATAGATCGAAGTCCGTTGTCACGGTGCTGCATGCAAGTAGCCATTTTACAGAAGTATCGTACAATGCTTATGTTCGGTAAGCCAAGTCCCTACCCATACGCTGCGGGAAGGCTGTGAGTTACAAACCCCGCAAAGCTGGCTGTCCGGAACCAAGAAGGTGCACGCATGAGTTGTCAAATTCCATCGCATGGCTACAGAGCTCGTAATTTAGAGTACATACAGTAAGGCCAGCAAGTTTGCCGGCTAGTTTTTCGGGTTACTACCCCATGTATGTCATTTCCCGAAAAGAGCCGGGCTATCAGTTGGATTCTCGACTATTTTGTGATAGGCACATAATGTCTTAATTTTCGAGCTGGCGGCTAAAATTTGTATTATCATATAAATAGGAGCTCCCAACCTTTTAGGACCTACCGTGTCTGAGGATTTGTTATACAGTTTACCGTCTAGTTAGTAGCTGATGTTTCTCTGGGCAGACGATCAGAAAAAGCTGTGGAATTTTGCCTTGGTCTGTGTTCTGGAACACTAGATAACTAGAACATAAGTCAGTATTAGAAACTTTCTAAAATTAGTGATTTCATGCTAACATACACCGGATACCTTCTACAGGACTACATCCTCCCATCCCCCTTCCGGCTTCCAAATTTCCAAACCCCGCCCCCGCCTCCGCCCCCGCCTCCGCCCCCTTTCCCTCCTTCTAGTTTGTCACTCACCTGTACCCATAATCGCCATGAGACTCTCGTTAGACAACATCCTCATCGCCATCCTCTCATATAACTACACAGCACTAGCAATGCCACTTAAAGTAGGTGGGTAACATCGGTCCAAGCCAATTGAATCTGGGCTGTCTCAGTGCCTCTCTAATTCATGTTCCGTGAACAGAGCCATACTCCAAATGCGGACAATATTTCTGTCCTGGCATCGGGGGAACAGAGTGTTCAGCAACGTGGAGCCTCGGATACGCGCTCTGCAATCTCAAATATCCGAACGTGGGTTCTGGGCGGAGTTTTTGCAGGCGATGCGTTGAGACGAATTGCGAGATGGAGGGATGTGATAAAATATGAGGGATGAATAATGCTGAACGAAAAATAAAGGAAAATAAAGAAAAAGAAAAAGAAAAAGAAAAAGAAGAGAGAGAGAGAGAGTTAAAATAAAATGGTGAAAAAGTGTAAAGGGTCAATTCCTAGTGTTGGTACAGATCCAAGATGTAGCAAGCAAGCAATTAAGAAGCAAATGATACATCCTTTCTCGAAAACGATAAAAGCATCGTACATATGCCCCGGCCCCTTTCCTAGGATTATTAATGTAAGCACCTGTCTGTTTAAGAATCTGGTGACTGGGTTTACCATCAATATATAAGGAAGAACTGATCATGTTGATCTGGTCAGAAGACATATTCCTTAAATCATACCAAACCGGCAAGCGACCTCTCTGCGTCGAATATAGCCATTGTCGAGAGAACACCAGGTATGATGCATCGCAGAGCCATTTTCTTTTCAGAAATTCTCACTTTGTACGCTCCATTGCACCAAGCACACATCCGATTATATGTCGATGTATCCGCTTATCTCTTTGAGGATCCATTGCAGGAAAGGCTATCGTCAGCACGAGGACAAAGATGGGCCGCTGTCAATATCCTTAACTGCAAACGGGTGCCTAGTTTGATAGCATGACTGCATAGCTCATCAGATCCTCAACGACCAGAAGAGCGGTATGCAACCAGAATATCTCCTTCAGCGTTGTGAAGTCGCTGCATGTGACATGCGGAACACCACGATCTGTAAGTACGAGTGTATCTAGAGACCTTAGTCTCCTCCTATATATTCGCATCTCTCTAATTCTCGTCAAAATCCTTGCCCCATCTGCGCTGTCCAGGTAATGAATAATAAGTGAATGAATGCATTCAAATGATCCATCGCTCACTAATACATTGTATAATGCTCGATCTTCCATCGCTGAAGCCTGCACATCAAAACTGAGAGATATGGACCTTTCATTTCTTGTTCTGCCAACTTGGTGAATGGTTTCATTGAACCTGTGGAAGGCATGCAAGGACCATTGGCCCCTTCAAACAATCAGATCCTCCCTGGTAGTCATGACTCTCTTCAAGATCATGAACAAATCAAATTCGTTCAAACTGGCGCTGACCAAAGAGGGCTAAGGGTTGCTGCTGTCTTTCTCACCTCTGCATTAAGTCTCCAGTTCGGTAGGGAGCACATGGGCAGAAGCGTTGGGAACGTGGAGAACCGCCATAAAGAAAGCAAGGAAATGAAAAAAAGAAATTATCTCTGGGGCTGTCCAGCAGGCTTCAGCTTTCAAGCTAGGTACCTATAGTCTCTAAGATGACAGAATGGCAAGCTTGATTGTTGCAGAGTTTGCATGCTACGAGAACGACTAATATAAGAATAAGAGAGGTAACTAAACAACCCCGCATTCAACGACAACTCGGCTAGATTTTATCCATAAGCGAAGCGCCTTTGGAGGATAATGAGCCTGAGTCGAACTCGTATTGTCTACTAGCATCAAACACTCCTCACCAGCGACTTGTGTTGCTCGCTGTGTAACTAACTATAAATTGGTGTATTAGATTTGGGACCTTTCTTTAACTCGTCTGAGATCGGTTGGGTGCCAAATTGTCAAGTTAACAAGGGAGCAGGCCATAATACACAACTACTATAAGTGGACAAGATAGTTAACTTTCCCTCTAGTTATTTAACTAAAATCGTGCATACTCATGGAGCGTCAATTAACTAACTAGTTACATGCTGGAATCTAGAATCGGATGGTAATCCATCCTCTGAAACTCTGAACAATGGGCTTCCCGATCTGCAATGGTGTCGATCACTGTCAGAACTGTAACTATCACCAAGAAGTTATCTCCAACCGCTAACATGAAGACTCTCCTTAATGCAACGCAGCAAAACCCATTTGTGCCAAGTCAACCAGCAGCCGCGCCCGAACTGTACGAAAGGTCAAGTATGGCTTTGATATTTGCGATCTCTATTAGTTATTTCCCGCGGCGGCGAGATGTTGCTCGTTGTGCGGATTGCGTGACGAGTAACTCTACGGCTGTAGGGCGTAGGCAGTGGTTTGGGTTGGTGGGACGTTTTATGGGTTGGATTCATTGCCTGAGAGGAGGGGGCGCGGGTTTGCATGCAGTGGAATGCGGTGGGATGAGGTGGGAAATTTGGAGTTGGGGTATCTGAACTTTTTGCGCCTGGGGTTGATTTTTGAAGCCGACGGCAACATGGGTTGATGTCTACCAACACAACACATCCCTAAGTATACTGGTGGTTATCTAGATAATAGTTACGATAGAGGAACAAGGCAAACTTTGTGTCATTGTCGAGAAATTTTCATATATTTCATTCTGCCCATAGATATGAAGATGTTTTGATATGGAGAACAAACACAACAAAAATAAGTCGTGGTATATAAAACAAGGGACGGGAGAAGGCATAGATGCAAAGAAGAATAACATATATAAGGGTAAATGAAAATACAAATATAACAATTGAGTCGCAAGGATAGAATAGACGACAAACGATTATGGAGGGTATGAGCATATAGTAGGGTAAGCAGGCACAGAGGGAACCAGAAACAACCTCCTGATCTCTCGGAGAGGAGTGGGAAAGGGGTGTTTAAACAAGCAAAGGTTACTTTCAGGATCCCCCCCCACAATAAATAAATAAATAAATAAATAAATATGAACGGAGGTGAGAGACAAAAGGTGCAACAAATGACGAGTGAATGATGCATCAACATCAAATCCTTAAGCCCCGCTGCTCTGTGCTTTCTCACAAAACAAGGAAAAGAAGAGATGGGAACAAAAGAAAAAGCAGGAAGCCGCAAGATCCCAATCCTCCATCGTAAATTCATCCCCGAAACCCAATTCCCATGACATGCAAAACAAGAGAGAGAAAAGCAAAGTAGACAATAGTTACGCCAGGAAAGAAAAACAACAGCGAGATAACAAAAACACCTTCCGTTTCCTTTCCATGGAATACAAGGTAGATACCCAAAAAAAAGTTAAATAAATAAATAAATAAATAAATAAATAAATAAATAAATAAATAAACCAAGGACTTATGAAATAATTACTTGGGTGATTAAGAAGAGCATCTCTTCCAATCAAAAGGGATTTTGTGTGTGCTTCATTCGCTGATTATAATGAGAGGAGCCAAATTAGAACTTTCCATTTACACTATTCCCACTGCTTTTCACCGGGCCCCCATCCGACTTCTCCCAGACCCACCCGCCATGATTCCCGCAGCAGTTTGATGCAGTGAGTTTAAAGGGGACGTCCGCTGCCGCGCAGCAGCTGCTGATGAGGAACCGAGAAGCTCCTGATTCGCGGTTGGCAGTTGCGGAGAAGGCTCGCCTCTAGACGGTGGCCCTGAGAGGCCAAGTCGCGCTGGAGCCGGTGCGGGCGAATGCGCATCCTTGCTGGTATTATTGTTGGTATGATTATTAGCAGTAGTAATATCCCTGGTAATAGAGTTCGGCGGCAGAGGCCCCTCTGTTGATGATGTATGATGGATGGGCGATCGTTGGCCGGAGACATTTCGCGACTGCGGTTGACATGGATTACTTGATTTCCGCACGTCTAATGGGGATGAGGTTAGTGATCGTAATCCCTGGTTTTGCTCCGCGTCATCGGCTTCGGGAGGCCGGCCGAAGGGGGATTCGTTGGCCGCGACGTATCTCCTGTTATTTTGTGGTCGATTTCGATCTTGCTCAGGGAACTGTGGCGTGTTTGCGGCTGATGAATTGGGTGCGGAGGGGTGGTCTGGGATTGTCGAAGCGGATCCGTTGGGCATGTTGAGATCTACAATTCGCTGCTGAGCAACAGGGGTAGTGTATGGATTCTCTGCCCTGTGTTGCTCGTTTAGCCTAGCCCGCTGGAGCTGCTGAAGGTATTGCTCATGGCTGGAATGTTGTGGGTTTGCCCAGGGTGTCTGTTCCAGGAATTCCGCCGCTGCGCCTGGCCGTGGTGGCTGTGCTGATGGCGTAGCCGTGAATGTGCTTCGCGGGCGGGAGGGACGGGGAAAACTGCGAGCATTTATAGAACGAGTATCAATCTGTGCAGAGAAATTTTCAGCATGTCTGAAATATTTGTCTCATCTCAAATATATTATTTAGAAACATACACCCATCTTTGCCAAGTCTTCATCAGCTTCATTCCGCCGTGCGGGCTGGATTATCGGGGCAGCTGGGAACCCAACATATTTGGCCACACCCGAGAGAATAGACACCTCTTTGTTATACGCAGCTTGTTGGGAGATTTGTTGCGAACGGCGAATGGGGAAGGGAATAGAGAAATCGGGGCTAGTCCCAGCAGTTTGGAATCTGTCTTGCTGAATGCGGTAGTGGAGACCCGAAGCCTCCTCAAGGTATTTTTCACGGACATCCCGGGCTCGTTGGAAATAGGAGCTGTTTGTTTGGCAGCGCTCCGCCTGGCTTTTGTTGAATAGTGAAGACAATCTATACTTGAAAAGTGTTCTCTCGTATTTGATTTTATCATCTCGATAATTTTCGATGATACTGAGTTGGCGTAGGTATTCGGGGTGGGTGGTGTTTTCTTCACTGAGTTGTGATAACTCGTTATTGAGGTTCGCTATTCTCTCGTCGTATATTCTGGAAGGAATTACACACAAAGACATTAGAGCTCATGAATACAAGTCAAGGGCGGATTGACACCTTACCTATCACGCAACGTTGCGAATTGTCGTTCAAGGGAATATAGCAAGTCCATGGCAATGGTTTTCTTCATAACTATAGTCATTGTGAGTGGCATGATCCATTGAGAGCAAGGGTAAGGATCGGGCGCAAGATATGGGAAAGCAGAAGACTTACTCTCTTCTTCTGCTTTGGAAACGACTTCCGTGTCCTCTGCCTCCTCTACCACTTCAGCTTGTTCTTCCTCTTCTGCAGGCTGCTCATCAGCCAAGCCATTGGCATCTTGTTCACCACCTCCAGATGGAGGAACGCTATCCGTCTCCCCTTCTTCCTGAAGCTGTCTGATATTTTTACCCTTTCGTTTGCCTTTCTTCCCCCGTTTACCTCTGGAAACCGGAACTCGCGCATCGACGCTCTGGGCTTCGTCTGCGGCGGGGGTCTCATCGGGGGAAGTTTCGCTGTCTTTCTGTAGGGTTTCACCTCCCTCGAGAGTCGAAGACAGGTCTGGTCGGCCCACGATAACGGAGCCACGACGCTTGCGTAGAGGCTCTTCCTCGCTTTGCTCAGCACCAGTATCCTCATCCAACGCACGACGTTTCCTTTTTTTGCTAATTGCTTCTAGGGAAGTGCTCAGCAATTCGGATCCAGTGGTAGCGACATCGACTGGAGTTGGAATGCCGTTGCTGCCAACTTTTCGTCGTGGCTTGCTAGGAGAGTTTTCAGTTTCGTCACCTTCATCATCAGAAAGCTCGTCATATGTCGTTGATTGTGCTAGTTTGCTGGGACTAGCTTCGAAGATGCCTGCGTTCAATTCAATGTTGGTACGGTTTCGGGGGCGGTTTGGGGACTCTTCGATGCGCTCTGTTTCGGCTTCTGAGTCGATTTCGCTAGCCAGTTTCTCGAGCTTGGGGGATTCACTACCCAAATGGTCGTGATCTAAGGCGTCATCGAGTTCACTCAGGCTACTAGACCGGGCATCGTCGACCACAGAATCATGGACGTCGCGACCATTGACACCGCCGTTGGAGATGGACGCCAGTGGTGATTGGGGAGTAGCCGATTCCGCCGGCTCTGTAGACTCCATCTAGGATTTCTGGAAGTATAATAATGCACGTTGATCAACGTAAGGAAGGAGGGAAGAGCAAATCTAAAGAGGTCGGATTGGGGGTTTCGATAGACGATTATGGTGGGAGGTCGATTGGGAGTATTTTTCCGAGAGCTGTGAAAAAGAGCGCCCCAGAGAATAAGGTTAGCAATTATTTCACAGTTATACAAATATCATATGAAGATCTACCACTGTCGGAAGACGGTGGCCATTGTAGACGGAGTTTGGATGGTTTGTGGAGTGCTGTTTGCGATGTGAAAAGTTTTCTTTTCTTTTCTTTTCTTTTCTTCTTTTTCTTCTTTTTTTTAAAAAAAAAAAATTTAAAAATAAAATAAAAATAAAAAATTTTATTAAAAAAAACCCTGCTATCCAGCAAAAAACCTCAATGCTAAAAGCGAGGAGCAGAAGAGCAGAAGGGAGAAGTGAGAACTGCGGCCACCGAATATCTCCAGGCCAATCTTCGTATGTTCCAGCAAGCTCCGGTTACCTCTATCATCTCCTCCACGCTTTGAATGTAGGTGATATTTCAACAGAAAGTGGTTGAACATACCAGGTGGGGGATGCGCTCGAAGCGCAGCAATGGTGGAGCAGCAGTGGCTTGCGGGCGACTATCGTAGCAAGACTCGAAAGCTGGAGAGGCACAACGAATCGCACTTGAGCATGAAAGTGTAGTAGATGTTATTCAGCGACGTTTTGACGGGTAGATGAGAAGGGGAGAGAATGAGGGAAGGGTGAGAGATCTGTTCGCAAAGGCCTGGAAGGTGAAGCGGTGCGTGAGTTTGCGTGAGTTGGGACGGCAAGAAAGTGGAGCAGAGTGAAAGCGCAGAGGCTGGTGAAGCAGTGAATACCACCAGGACACAGCTAAAGTAGGGGGGATGGCATGAAGAGGGGCTGAGTGTATCTCAAGGGTGAATTCGATGGCGGGAGGTTGAGAAGTTGGAGAGGTTGAGAGAGCGAGAGACGAGAGACCGTTGCAGACAGTGAGGGAAAGCGTTGGCCGGGTATGGGAGCTGTATGGGAGCCGTATGATGATGATTTGTTTCTTGTCCGTTAACTGTATTTTACGCTTGTCGTTCTTTCGGAGTGGTGTCCTGGCCGCAGTTCTGCCATCTTGGAATGTGGGACGTGGAAGGGACCGGTATTGTCACGCCCTTGGGTGCGGTGCGTACCAGGAATTACAAAACTTACAATACACCGCAAAACTAATGTCGATCGTTTCTTCAAGTGACCTTTTTCAAGTCATCTGGCGTCATGCAAACAGGCCAAACATGCCACTTTGGTTGTTTAGGGCTGGCTAGGAGCTTGCTTGATGCTGACAACAAGCGGTTCCCATTCCTTCCTCCCTGCCAATCAGAGCTGCTCTTTGGCTTACCGCCTTTGCCAAGCGGGCCCGCAGCATGACTAATGCAAATTTTTCCGCTTGAAGTGCTTAGTTGACCCCCCTTAGGTAACCAGCCTATCGTTAGTACCCTCTACATATGCAAATGTATACGCAGAACGATGCATCGACTGATATATCATTGCCTTGGTCTCTGTATAGCCAATCTCCCACAGGAATTTCGTTATAATGGCCGTGTGACTCTGCACTTTTCCCCGATCTGGGGATTTTCTACCGTCCAATGGGCATCCTCAATCTTCGGTTGCGAAACCCTGGAGAATATTCCTGGGTATCAGGAGTAAGACCCCATGTCTACTGGAAACAAACATAGCTATACGTAGGAGTTATTTTTGATCTGCATGTTATTTATATATGCTTGTCGGAGCTCCACAGCGTTCACTGTAATAGAACCTAATTACCTTGGTGGGCTTTCTCCAGTGCCCTGATGGTACGACTAGTTACAATATTGGGGGGAGGGGGGGGAAATAGGTCACGTGACCGAAGTGTCCAACAGATGGAGAGGTACAGAGCACAAGACCGTTGACATCTTGGATATTATTAGGCTATGCGATGCGTGCTATTCAGGAATACCTTTCTCCTGTATGTGTGTGCCCTCCACCTTCCTCAGTTTCCTGATCCTGCGCTGCTTATATCTTTCTTCCCCCGCTTCGTCGACATACCATTCTCTACATACATACAAGTGAAGCTCAACCACCCTGGGGATTGCCATATATATTCTTCAGTTATCATTTATATTTATCCTTAAAGACCTGGCACCCAGTTTCGTCAACCGAGCATCTTTTTCATTTTCCGTGTAGAAGATGCTAGTTTTTATGAAGCTCAAACTGATATGATGCCCAGCACTCTCAATCCTTACGGTTTCAGCTACTATACTAATTCTATAGTTAGCTTATAGTTATAGACATGTAATATTGCGATTCCAAAGGGAAACGAAACCCCTTCAACTTCCGACAGCTCCCCTCTGCAATATACCATATTGAACTTCGAGCTGCCAAATGTATGCAGTCCAGGAATGTACCTGTCTTTCCCTGTAAAGCCACCCGACTCCATTTCTATAATATATCACATGACCTTCCACCTCGGCTTACTCATCTTGAGATCAACGCCAAGAAGTTTTTCAGAAAAGTTCCATAGCGATATTCCACATCAAGCTTTGGCCGCAACATACCACATAGACAGCGGTTCGCATTCATAACGCATTCCTCTTCCTCCCGTAAAAGCAATGGGGAAGAAACAGAAGTCACAGTCCAAAAGTGCTGCTGGGATAGCAGGGGAAAATGTGACCAGCACATTCCTCTCCAATAGATCAAAAGCTCCAACACTCCCATTCTTAAACGGTGAGAATAATGTGACAGCCATTGATCCCATGCTCGTTTCGCTGTTCGAGAAAAGCGTGAGTGATCTGATGCATCTTTTTTCTTTATTTTTAATGTTTCTGCAGCTATAAAATGGTTGATTTCTGCCATTGAGTCCGCTTCTCTGCTTGTATAGAATGGATTGCAGCTGATATCTCTAACAAATTCATTTACATGTAGGCTGGACCTGTGACAGCTCCGCAGTTCACTAGCGCTAATCTGCGTGCGGCAACTGTAGAAGACACCCGGAGATGTGGGAAGAAGGGCGGAAAAGAGCCTGACTTCGAGCAGGATGCTGCAGATGCAACTTCATCTGATGAGGAGGACCAAACGGCAGGGAGATTCTCGCTGGAGAGCGGTGATGAGGGGATGGAGGATGTCAATAATGCGAAATTAGTTCAAAGAAATGGTCGGAAACGAAAACGTGCTGGCGCGGATGATTTAGAGGGCGCATATATGCAACGCATTGTGAAGGAGGAAGCCAAGGAAGAAGAGAAAAGACGGATTGAAAAACCGAAACGGCGAAAATTTGAGACCGCGGTTGAAAATGATAGCGAGCCGTCAGCCTCTGAAAGCGACGAGGAAAAGAATTCTGAGTCGGAATCAGATGGCATAAGCAGCCCTCCCCCTGTCCACGAATCCCTCACGGACACCGTCGGCTCGGCCGTCCTTGACAAAACCGCCCGCACTGTCTTTCTCTCCAACGTCTCCACAGAGGCCATCAAATCCAAAACCGCAAAAAAGGCCCTCCTCAAACACCTCTCCTCCTTCTTCCCTTCCCTCCCCGACTCGACCACCCCTCACAAAATCGAATCAATCCGCTTTCGCTCCACCGCCTTCTCCACCAACGCAATGCCCAAACGCGCCGCATATGCCAAGCGTGAGCTCATGGATTCCACCACCCGCAGCACAAATGCATACGTAGTCTACACCACTACCGCAGCTGCTCGACGAGCACCTAAGGCCCTCAACGGCAGTTTCGTCCTGGACAGACATCTGCGCGTAGACAGCGTCGCCCACCCGTCCCCCATAGATTACAAGCGGTGCATCTTTGTCGGAAACCTCGGCTTCGTTGACGAGGAGACTCCCACGGACGAAAAGGTTGAGCAACAGACAAAGAAAAAGAATACACAACCTGCAGACGTCGAGGAGGGCCTCTGGCGCACCTTTAACGAGCATACACGCTCAGCTATTGCGAAATTATCTAAATCACCTGCTAAATCTAAGGGTTCTGATGCTTCTAATACTAATAATCCGGCCATCGGTACTGTGGAATCCGTCCGCGTCATCCGTGACCCGGCCACGCGGATTGGGAAGGGCATCGCGTACGTCCAATTCCACGATGAGAATGCCGTGGAGGCTGCGTTGTTGTTGGACGGGCAGAAATTCCCGCCAATGCTCCCACGGAAGCTGCGCGTCACTCGTGCGAAGAGGGTTGTGAAGAAAGCGGGTGGTAGTGCGGGAAATATGAATAACAATGGCAGGAATGCTAAGAATAGTAAAGATGCTAATAAGACTGCTTTGGGGCCGCGGCGGGGTGGAGACAAGCAGGCTAGTTCCCAGGGGTGCGCGACGGGATTGTTGGGGAAGGGCGAGGCGTGGAAGGTGCAGAATTCACGCACGTCGGATGAGAGGGATGGGAAAAGTGAAGGGTGTGGATCGAATTCGTTTATTTTTGAGGGATATCGAGCCACTGCGGATAAGCCTGCGTTTAAGGTTAAGACGAAGAGTCGTGGGGTGAAGAGTCGCGGTGGGAAGTCGAAGACGAGGAGTACGAGGCGCGCGGCGGTGTTTAGGGCTGGAGGTGGGAAGAGGAAGGGGGATGGACAGTGGAGGAAGAAGTGAGAAGGGTGTTGATAAAATTTGATAGATCAGGGAACCCTTGACAAGATGTGATACCCGCGTATCGTGCATGACGGTAGATGGGTATGTTAGGGCCCTTGACGATTTATGTTTTAGTTCACATTGGAATATATGTGCACGGATTAATTGATGCCGCTGATTAAAATTAAGTATTTAAGAGAGAATACATATTCAGATATGAGATGGTGAATCCTATTACTTGTCTGGTATTTGTGTTAGGGAATCAATGCGGTGGAGAATCAACCGGATATACAAAATAATCTTTATGTGGACGGAGATATATGCTCAACCACGGGAGGATCCCCCAACCCTTCAGCAGCAGCGGGGTAGTCTATTCAACGAAAGAAACTTGCTCTGGCCATTGAGTGTGTCATCTGGGACTGTGGAATTACGAACAAAGAGATCAAGAGCCAGAAAACGTACATCCCAGATCGGACGAGCAGCGGATGTACAATATTCATGCACCGACCATCTATCAAAATCCAGCACTTTTAAATCCGCTGGAAGTTTACAGTGATTTCCTGTCCACAACGCATTTGGAAAGAGTTTCCTGGTTCTCCAGTTGAAGCTAGCTTGGAGGAGCTGTTTAAGTGGTGCATTGGGCTAATCGCTCACTGCCTTCAGACAGGCTGCTCTGGTCTATGAGGAGGGGCCGACGAGGAACAGTTTTACGCGATTTGCAAACAGGTAGCGTCTGCCGTGACTGTGCATCCGGAATTTGTGACCTTTACTGCAGCTGTTAGCAGACCACGAGCATTTTCACCGTTCTGACGTGTGGATTGCGTCGCGCTTGGGAGAAGATACTGGAGCGGGAAGGGCTTTTGAAGACCGTGCAAGTCATTGGTGGACCTGCAGATAAGGGAGCGTTGGCGATTCGCTTAAGGGAAGTTCACTGTATGTACCTATGGGTGTTTTGGAAGTAGACCGGTAGACTTGGAGATGTTGAGAACGGCAGACCAAGTCATTGTTGTCGTTGGCAAGGAATGTGGTAACTAAGAGTATTGGACAAGGCATAACTACGTTACAGAAACAACGTTAAGGCACACCAGGCTCTGCTACACAGCCACGCAACACCAACAAGAGGGTTGTCGGAACAAGCATTCGTCAATTTCTTTTTTCGTCGCTATACGTTTAACAGCCTAACCGGGAAGTCCGCTGCGCAACAAATGAGCCAACAACCAAAATGCTCATAACGAAAATACGTGATGTTAGCATTTCTGGTCGGTGTTAAGTGAACTCCATCTACGTACCGGATGATATTTGGCAACGCAACACTTGCTCGATATAATTGGAGTCGCAGAGTAAATATCCCATCCAACATGTCTGGGCCAACCCCGCAATTGGATAGTTACCAACTCCTTCTCAACGAGCAGACGCTGATTGTACCGCTGAAGCAAGATACAGAAGCCTAATGGCGCTCGGTATTAGAAAAGCTCTCCCACTCGCTCCTTTTGTTCATGCCAACACACCTAGCAATGTCAAGATCCTTAGGAGCATTCACAGAGAAAAGTCATAGTGAGCTTGGTAGATTATTGTAACAGTGGAATACTAGTGTTGCAGTCAATAAGGCGTATTCGCGCCCTCCATGGTGGTGTGCCGGAGTTGTCCAGGCGCAGTTCGATTCTGCATCTCATTTTTACGAATGAACTATGTCAGTACGAAGGGCTTTACATTGTTGCCCTTCCTCTGTCATACAATGAATTCACTGGAAATGGCACCACGGATACGTGCCAAAAAAAAAAAAAAAAAAAAAAAAAAAAAATCCCCCGACTTTCCCTAATCATCATTTGTTAAGCGATATAATAGGCTTTCAGGGGGGAGAGAAAGAGAGAAAATAAATAATTAAATAAATAATAAAAATATAAATAAAAATCATATATTGTCTAAAGATTTAATTTTGTTTGTCTTGTTTGAAAATCATATGTACCAAACCTCCCCCTTGCTCCACGGCTATTGCTATAATCAAAGTATTATATCAAATTCCGTTTATTGCCGGTGTCGTTCCGTTGTAGTGGAAGGGTATACGGGTGTAAATCAGAGTCGCCTCCAAAGAACCCAACAACAGGAAAAGACCGGATAAGGCGCTGACTGAAGTTAAGAGTGATAACATATTACGATAGAAAGCGCCAACCTAGAAGGAGAAAAAAAAAATTTGTAACGAAACGAATGAGGGTTCCAAATGTTGTCAATGAACACCAAAGGTCTGTGGCAGTCCCACCAGGTATAAATTGCAGCGATCAAGAATTCCTTTGACAACAAGCAACCAGCAGGCTGCCCATCAGCCAAAACTGACTGGAGTCTCGAGGACTCTATATCTACATGAGGGTCGGTATAGAAGGGGCATTGGAGCAGGCCGTCATGCTGACTGGTCCACGGTATGGGGTGTACCGTACAGGGTCAACAAGAGGAACACATGTGAAGACGATGGATGAAATACCGAAGATGATTGCTTTGTGGAAATAATAAACTTGGATCCATGGATGAGCAACAGGGCCGGCAGTTGTTCAAAATCTTGTAAACTTTTTTTTTAAGCAAAACGTGTGCCAAATGTGAGAGTCCCACTGTCTCATCAGAAAACTTGGACATCTATAGGGAAAGTGATGTAGATACAGAACATTAGATGAAAATGACTATTTAAAAGTGCATACATGTAAATAAGACCGATGACATTATGCACATATGAAAACCGGGAGAATGAATCTCATAGAATGGGAAAACTGTAACAAAATTTCGGACTACCAAAAAAGTTTAAGATGGACGAGGAAATGGAGAAATATGGAAGAAAGGAAAGGAAAACAAAGTTTAAAATTAATTAATGAAAGGGTAGAGGTGCGAGGCAGGGTTACAAAGGAATAATACTACTAGACTTTCCAACTTCAAACGAAAATGCATCATCTATTATCATTATATGCCTACGTACATTCAAACGTTGCTTTGGAGGGTAATATAATACATATCTTTCCGGGGAACATGGATAGCCACTTGTATCCCGCTCATTTGTCTTCCCAATTTCCAAACATTCCCTTACCCAAACCATCGTCCCTATGTCATCGAAAAATTCATCCTACCTCAACGAGATTCCCGATGTGGTACAAATACGTACGGAAATACGGGTGGTTGTAGTGATTAGTTCGTGGATGGCGGATGTTGGTGAGAACAAGCAAGAAAACAGCAGAAGAAGATTTTAAATAGAAAAAAGAGAAAAAGATAAAAAGATAAAAATAAAAATAAAAATAAAAGGAAAGGAAAGGGTGATTGGAGATGTACAAGATGTACAAGTGAAAGAAATATATTGGGGAGGTCCTTTATCGCCTATATTCTAACAAGGTATCTTGGGAGGGGTATTGGGGTGGAAGTAGAAATAACAATAACATAGAAAGACAGGGGTAAAATTTTTACCGATACCCATATCAACGTGACACATGAGTAGGGAAACTGACCAATGGATCAAGAAGAGAGGAAATAAGTCATCTTTAATACATTTTACCAAAGGACATGAAGAAAAATTTAAAAAATTAAAAAATTAAAAAAAAAAAAAAAACTTTTGGAAGAAAATGGTTCTACAGGAAAGCTATCAGTCCCAAAATAGCCAACAGCAAACTTACCGGCAGCATAAGGGACATAGCTGCATTGGGGTTTGGTGTATTGGTTGCTCTGATGGGGGTCGGGGAAGCAGAAGAGCTGCTAGAAGTAGTTGATGAAATGGTGGATGTTGTCGAGGTGAAACTCGTTGACAAGGTGGATGAGCTGGTGATGGTCTCCGTTGATGTGCTGGAGGATGCGCTGGTGTCGGTGCTGGTGCTGGTGCTGGTGCTGGTGCTAGTGTCGGTGCTGGAAACTTGGGATGAAGAATCGGTGGTGGAACTGAGGAGCTCTGAGGTTGATGTTACGGGACCATTCACTACGAACCTAGGGGAGAAATTGCTGTTTGTTGGGTCGCCGGTGGGGAAGATTCGAAAGAAGTAGTTGTCCGTCGGGCTGACCGAGGGGAAGGTGAAAACAAACTCGCCATTGTTGGGGAGGTCGGCTGGAGGGAGTGTGGTGTTAGATGGATTATAAACATGAATAGTGGGTAGGTTTAAGCAGATAGATTTATAAGTTAGGGTAACAGTCCACTGGTCGTGGTTTGCAACCATTTTCGAGTGTTTTGCGCAAAAGAATGAATGGGGAACTCTGGGGAAATGAAAAATATACGCGAAAAATGCAATTGAAAATATAATGACTTACTTCCAAGTAAAACACCATCACTCGGATTGGTACTATCTCCACTCTGCAGGAAGAGGTTGACCGGGCCGGTGGTGGTTGGCTTCCAACTGACGGTGACTCTGTCTCCGCCATCGAAGCCATAACCACCTGGGGGGACTTCGAAAGGATTATTATTCTGAGCCACGGCAAGAGCAGCAAAGATGCCAATAGAGAAGTAGATGATTGAGTGCATGGTGAATGGTGTATATTATTGGGATCTCAAGAGAGGATGGATTTTGCGGGATAGAAGTTCCGGGCTGGGCTGAATGAAGGGCAGGAAATTTTAATCTTATTTCTATGCTAGTTTGTCGAGTTATTTAGCTCTGTGAAGGGGCCTTGCTAACGAGCGTAAGAACGTAGGGAAGAGGGCGAGAAGAGAAGAAAGGAAAGTGAGGGAGTGTGGCAGGATGGAGCGAGGGGGGAAGAATTAAAATGAAGAAGACCAGAAGATGAAGAAGAGATAAGCGTAGGGAAAAAGGTTCTCCTCAAGAGCGAAACAAGCCACCCATGATTCCATAGACGCGATGAATCAGGGTCGGAACAAGCCAATCCCCCCCTCTCACAAGCCCACAAGCCCACAAAACCCACAAACCCACAATACCACCTGGCACAAGAAGCAGAGCCACCTCCTGGCTACAAATAGCGTTTCCGGCACATTAGACGATGCCCGCCACCGCTGCTTATGCTTGCGACGACGACGACCCTGAGGTTGGCTGCGCCACATCCACCATTCGCCACGTCAGATCCGGGCAAATGGACGGCTCGGATTGGGCTGCGTTAAAACTGAGAGGAACAATGCTTTTATTTGGGCCCACCTGCGCAATAAAACATCCACTTGGTTGCATGCAGAGGGGCCTCCCAAGGGTTTGCAAATTGGCGTGCATTATCACAAATTTACTTCAACCACGCGATGTGATTGGCTGGTTGTCAGTGTCGTTGGTATCAGATAACTGCATGTAACCGTACGAATTTACTAGCAGGAGTCGAACATGAAGTATGAAGGTGAGCGCAACTTTTAAATCATGTTCAATTAATTAACCAAAGAAAAAGAAAAGGAGGGGAAAAGGGGGGCAAAAAAAGGGAAAGAGATTTAAATCCATGTAGGCCCAGTGACCGGAGTTGATTAAAAGTGAGGCAGGCCTCCACTGCTTTAAAACCATGAATCAACTGTCACCTTCATTTTAAATAAACACAGTGCTCTGCTACTCTGCACATAACTAACACCACACATATTACTATATACATCTTTATCCAACCTCGCCGCTCTCAACACGAGGTTGGGGTTTAGGATTAGGATTAGCAAAGGATAAATGATACAATCACTGCCGTAAAGAACAGAATGAGAGTTGTAAGTGAGATAGGTGTTAGATATGGATAGTTGTGTACAGTATTTTAATGGGAGAGTGTCATGATTTTAAACCACGCCAGAAATTTAAATCCAGCATTCAATTGTGTTAAACCCCACTTTCAACTGCAACGACCAGAACTGATTGTTAGTTTTAGAATGGTTGGGCTCAACTTACAAATCATGTTCAACTTTAAGCCGCAACTCAGAATGTGTTTCAACCTTAATTTAGCTCGACAATTTTCAGATCGGGACCTTTTAACCATTAATTACCCTCAAACTAGCCGAGAGATCTAAGCTATATTTATATATTAATATGGGAGGCACGTGATTAGAGAGGCCCATCATGACAGCTAGCTGAGCTCAAATTTTTTAATTTTTTAAAAATCTACATTAAAATTGAATCAAAACAATCAGACTTTGACTTCTGAACAAAGAAGACATTTGTACAAAATAAAACATTAAAATTTAAAGTAAAATTCAAAAATATCTGTTAATTTTATATTATCATTTATATTTTATTCATTAATTATAAAATTAGATTATTTTTATTAATTTAATTTTATAAAATTTGTAACGGGTTGAACCCTTTGTCGTTCTCAGGCCCTGAGCCTTCGAAACTTTCTTTCCCATTCGGCCCAGCGCTACTCCTGAGTGATGCATATTTTTCTTTCCTGAACGTGTTCGCTGTTTTTCCTTCTTTTCTCTTTCTTTCTCTAAGCGATTCTTCCTGTACTGGAGCCACTGTCACGAGCGAACCTCCTCGGAAGTCTGGCCGCTGACAAAATTAAACCAATAGATATAAATATTATATTTATTTATCTTATTTAATAATATAATAAATAATGATAATATTTATTTCATTATATTAAAATTTAATTATTTTATAAATTTAATATATAAATATAAATTAAAATAATATTATATTATATTATATTATTTTTATTAATAAATAATTATATAATTATAATAATATAAAAATTTTATAACTTATTTTATTTTATATAAACTTTATTTAAAATTTAATTTAAATTTAATATATTTTAAAATAAATTAAATATGAATTATAATTTTAAAATATTAATAAATTTTTTTATTAATTTTTTTTTTTTTTTCCTTCAATAAGTGTATGCAGTCTAAGACTATGACACTATATTATGTACTATGAGGACACTTAGGATGAATGAACTGAGTGTCAAAAGGGAGCGTGAGAAGCTCTATAACTAGGATCGTAAGAGGGTAGGTATATAGGCGCGGTGAGCGTTACAGAAGGAAGAGGATCGCGATGGATGAAAATGTATGTATAGGATGGAATAGTAGCTAACCACTGAATCCCTTCAAGAACTTTTGGGATTCAGGGTGTTTATATACATGAATGAGTAGCAATAGGTTTTTATCTCTAGCCTTTCATGAAAGTGGAATTTAGTAATGTAATGGTCTGATTCCCCATGAAGTGCTGATCCTAAAGGACTGATTTTTGATAAGCAGTGTGGTAAGCAGTGTGAGGAGCAAGGAGCTAGTCTAGAGAGTCTTGGCATCACATTAGCTTTTCTTTATTTTAAAATTATTTATTACTGCATTTCTAATTTTCTAACTTATATACTATGATTTAAATTTTTTTTATGATAAAGATAAAATTTTTATCTCTTTATTACTGTTATCAATAATGAGGATATTTTAATTTATTTTCATATTTTTATTTTTATTTTTATTTTTGTTGTTATTTTCATTGTTATTTTTTATTTTTTATTTTTTTATTTACAAAAATTATGGTGGTTAATTAATAATTAGTTAAGTAAGAAGATGAATGAGATTCTACATAAATTTTTATCATTTTATATTTTGTCATGGCGTAGTTGATTTTTGAATGCATGGAGGCCGAGTCAATAACGTAACCTTCCATGCACGCGAGAAATTAACTACTGGTGTCGAACGCCTTCAAGGGAAGTTATTAATAGACCATTCTAACAGGCGGAGTGCGGACCTGGGAATTGCGTGTCGTGAAACCAACCACCTTTTCGCATTTCCTAGACTCCCAATACGCCCATGCCGTTTCCTATCTTGCCTTACTCGGGATCATGGACTTTTATTCCCAATTGTTTTGACAATGTTCTGTTTGGCAAAGCGGGTTAGTTACGCCCACACGTTCTCTCTTCCATTGATGCTTGATATAACGACGCAAAGTGTTTGTTTTCTATGGAAGGATTCACTGCGGCAAGTTACCCTCTAACTTAAAAATGGTCAATGAATTAAGCTTTCAGTCTCTAAAAAAAAGCTACTTTCCACTTCCATCGTTTGGGCCGAGACTTTTACGAACTGAGATGCCCTGGGCATGTCCATCGTCAACGGGCATGTTCTTGTCTCTTGCAAACTGTAGTTACAGGTTAACCCCCGCATATATTTGGGCATACATTCCCGGCGGAAAGAGTTCCTTTTGCATGAAAAGGGAGTATCCTACAAGTTCCCTTTTCCTAGAGTAGTAACATGCAAGTGATGCAAGGGAATGCTCCCATGGGCAAAACTGTGAATGCCCAGAAATATATAAATATAAATACAATCTTTCAACCCTCTGCTTTTCAAAAAAAAATTCTCGCAAGAAGCAGCGTCCAGAAGCAACTTGAAACACGAAGATGTTTGTCTGAGCCAAAATTCAAAAGAATAAGTTCAGATCAAGCCTCCTCCCATCCTTTGGTTTAGCTACATTTTATATCGCCTGCCTTCATACCTTTTTAGACAATGTCCCCTACCTTTCCCCATACATCCTCCAGCTGGAATTCTCAGCGTTTATTCACTTGTTGAAGAGGGGTATCAATGCTTCACTCCAAAATCATTACAAAAGCTTTAGCAAGGCTTATTTGGCAACATTATAATGAGCTAAATAAATAGCAACCTTAGGTGAGTGTTAAGGAAATTTTCTAACAAATTTTTTTCCAGTGTTCGGTCAGGGGATGGCAGACCCGTTGAACGCAGCCAATGACGAGCTGGAATTCATAAAATCCAGGCAACGAGTCATCTAAAAGAGATTGACGGCAAAGGCCATAACTAGCTAGTTAGAGGAGATGGAGGTTAGGTTGGATATATATGTCGTTTGCTAATTCCACATCATTGCTATCTACTCTATACTCTTTATTTCCTACGTTACCAGTTAATAACATGTTGAAGCTTGGCTCCTAACTGTTTAGTTATTTAATTAGTCTCTGGATTAATAAGTTAGGTGGCCAAAGACTTTAATGAAGACGGTATTTGATTTCGATTCGATGCACGCAAATTAAATGTCAGGGCGGGAAGAAAGCTCTCTCGATACAATAGATACATTATCAATTCTTCTTCTCTTTTCTTGCTCTCTTGATTCATTGTTATCAATAGTAGTTTGTCTAGTATTCTGCAGATTTTCTCAGAACATTCTTTTCTATCATTGCTGTTCTCTATTCTTTTTCTTTTCAGATTCTATTTCTATAACTTGATGTCATGTTTTACAGCTGATAGGGGTGGACATTCTATTTCACGCATACCGTCGCTGAATTTTTTGTTGTTGGCCTATATTTTTGTAGTCTACAATATATTCTTCGGGTCGAAGGGTTTCTTTTCTCATATTCGGGTTTAATGCGTTTAATTAATTTGAGCAAGAGTAAGATGGTTATATTCTTAAGCACTTGCATTGGTCGCACTTTAAATCATTCAAAGATCACATTTTTGAAGCTATTTTTACCTTGAGGTAACAAATAACCTTTAGGCATCATAAAGGCTGTATTTAATATTTTAGACATGGATTTGGAAAAGGAGTTCTTCAAGTTTTTCTGCATATCTGTCGTTTCCACTGGGCAGTCAACCACAATTACCCTAGGGCTGAACAAATCATGCGATCCCAGATTCGATGGTTGCGGGCCCGCAAGGACGGCAGGCATTGCTCCCGAGTTCCAAAATAGTTGTGGCTATTCTTGAGATAAACGTGAATGAGGTCTAGGGCAAGGGATACTGGCAGTTGGGAAACTGAATCACTCGAGGGGAAGCGAACAACTTGATTTGGCCAATCGAGGCCGTGATGTCCCAATGCGACGAAGTTCCCAAGGTTCGCATAGTTAAGGAAAACCATCATAATTTCAACTTGGTGGTCGCCTTAATGGGCTAAACAGACAGCAATCAATCCACTGACTGAAATTCAACCAATAGTTGGTTTGCAAAAGGCCACACCAGCAGTGCCCAGAAGAGATAAGAGGAAACTGAGGTTGACTGTGGAATTTATGGGACGGTCATGTAGTTAAGTAGTTCAGGGGTTGGATGGCGCCTGGATGTCATCAAACCCAATTTACATTATCCTCAAGTAGGCTTGATTCTTAAGGTCATGAGGTGTGAATCACGGAGAGTTTTCATAGTATCTGTAGTCCTCAGAAAACTGTCAGCACCACCGCTCAGATCAATTTCAAATGATTGGTAATTTCCCCCCTAAACTCTATTAAATAATTGGCATACGCCGTCGCTATCTCTAGGACGAGAAGTGAAAAGGAATCTAGATATACAATACAAGTATGCTTGAGAAGTGGGGATCCGAATCATAGATTAGGAATTTTCTTAGATATACCCATCATGAAAAAACGCAAGAAGTCCTGTTTCCCATTTTTGTCCCTCATTTGCCTCACTTCAAAGGATCATCAGGACGTGCACGGAACCATGCGAGAGCTAGGTTAACCTCACCAGCAAATGCTGCCCTGGTCTTTGCAATTATGCAGTCGTTGGCGCATCTTTAGCTTTTTGCGAGGGCTCAGTCACCGGCTCATCTAAAATACCACGCTGCCCGAGCAAAAATATTGCCTGCATTACTTGTCGATCTTCCTCTTCTTTTTCGCGGCTTACAAGCTATGTAATTCTGTCAGTAAATTTATTTAAATTTGTTATAATTTGATCAGACAGAGAGGTGCTTTTTAGCACATATAAAGGAACGAATTGAACTGACCGTCTGGAACAACGTTTTCCTCCCTGTCTTTTCGTGGATAGAAGCGGGAGGTTTAGATGCAACTTTGGCTTCATCTGAGACTTCGTGGAGGAATTTACACTTATTGCCTCGTCGACAATCGCCTGTTTTAGCAAATTGACGACAGAGGTTCTTTGGCTGCCGGGTTAGTGGAAGGACGCGATCAGGATGCTCTCTACGGGAGGTTGTTTGCTCGGGCTCCAAGGATGAAGAGTCGCTGTCTTCATCATATGATTCTGAATCGCTCGAGGAGCTTTCATCGTCAGAATCGTATTCGTCGCCCGAGGAAGAGGACAATGAGGGCCCATTGTCGCTGACTTCTGGATTAGATGGGATGGTCTTATCGCTTATCGCATCTAAAGGGGTATTCGTGTTTGTGGCGGAGGATCCCTCGGTCATGTCACCGTTTTCAGTGGCTATACTGGTGAAATTGGTTACAGCGGGGTCTGTGATGGTAGCCTGGGGGTAATCCTCATTTTCCTTTCCAGGCGTTATTGTTGATGATTCTTGCTGAGACTTCTCGATATCCATGTGGTCACCGATATTGTTGTTTCCTGCTTTGATAGGCTCGGACTCTTCCGCTGCAGTATCAGGGTATTCAGGTATAGGCGCAAGCTCCATCACGGAAGAAGGCCCGGTATGAGTTTTGGGCTCTACTTCAAGAACTCCATTAATCTGCTGCGCTTTCGATGCTTCAGCCCAGAGTCTCGCCTTCTCCGCATCCGCTTCAGCTCTAGCGACACGTTTCTCTTCCTTCATGAGCTTCCGTCGAAGCTTTTCTGCCTTCAACTTTGCTTTAGCGGCAGCATCTGCAGGATTAAGTGACAGTTGTTCTTCCTTTAAAGCCTTCTTTTCCATTTTATCTTTCTCCTTCTTGGATCTAGCTTCCTTTTGAAGTCGTCTTGTTTCTTCCCGCTCCGCACTTTTCTGCTGCCTCAGCGCATTTTCCCTTGCCCGTTTGGCATCTTTAGCTTCCCTTGAAGCTTTCTTTTGCTTTTCTGCTTCCTTCAAACGCTCCTCTATCCTTGCCCGGGTCGGGTATCTCTTTTTGCGCTCATCGATCCAGGCCGCAATATCGCTAGGCGATTGTAATGACGATGTTTGTCCTTTGTAAGTAAATTTAAGCTCGCCTGTGGCGACAGTTTGCGAAAGTTTTGCCTCCTCATCAACGTCATCCTCCTCCTCACTTGATTCGTGCTCTTCAGTTTTGGGAGTGAGTCCAAGTTGATTATACTTCCTTTTCTTCTTTTTATGTTTCTTGGTAGCGTCCACAGAGGGTGGAGGTTTGGACGGAAGCGGATTTCCAAAGCTTGGGGCCGGGAGTGGGGCGGGTGTTTTTGAGTTAAGCGCTTGCGATGTGCCAAATGCACTGGAGTACGGGCGCTTACTGCCCCGATTCACAAATTTGTCACCACGGCTAAACCGGTTTGTTGAGGGAAATAAATTATATTCCTGGGGTTGCCGGGGCCCATGGCACTCATGGGACTGGCGTGGCGAGTAGTGGGGTTTTGAATCGCGCATATCGGGATAAGAGAAGTTTGGGGTTCTTGGGTCTGGAGGAGGGTAGAACGGGTTTTGGTTGGCACTTTCAAAACCCCAGCGCATGGGAGGGCTTATTATAAGAGATCGTGGATGGTGATTTGGTGGCGGACCATGTTGTGGAACCGGAGGAGGTTGGTTATATCCCAGGGGATGCGTCGCAGGACGACGGGCCGGGTAAGGAGCAGGCAACGGTTGGTGATATGCATTGTGCGGAGACGGTAGGTGTGAAGGAGGGGCGTGTGTGTAAGCTGCAACAGCAGAGTAATTTGGCTGACCTTGCGGAGGAGGGTAATGCAGAGGCGCTTGGGGGTTATAATGAGGAGAAGGGTTATTCGAAGCGTGAGGGTGAGGGTGAGCACCATATCTGCTACCGCCGCCAGTAGTAAAGTTCATACTATGAGGAGTGGCACCATGGCTAGACCCCCCCGAATGGCTGCCTCTGCCACTCCTAAGCGCACTGCCCCTCCCGCGGCCTCGCTGATAGCCCCCTGTACCCCGACCTCTCTGGTTTTGGCCGTATGGTGTTGGCGCTGGGAATCCAGGTGTGCCAGTTTGGGGAGGCGGCGGAGGGGGAGGTGGAAATGAAAAACCACTAGAACTCATAGTATAAGACGAATTGGCAATAGTGAACTAAGCACAGAAATGCGGCAGAAAGGTCTCCATCTTTCAAAGGCCCATTCCGGCTGGTGAAGATGCGGTCGTTATTATCCGTCGTCATCTCACTCATTTGATGTTAAAACAAGTTCTCAATGTTTCAAGGGCAATACGTTGATCCGCTCCGACCAGTGCGTAGGATTAGGTAAACCGATAGTTAGTTAGCAGTCCACGTGAAAAATATCTAGCTAATTAAATCGGGAGCTTCAAAATTCAGCAAGACGAGGAGGAGGATGAGTTGATATTCTCTTTTTCTTTTTTCTGTTTTCTGTCAGTTTTCATCTTTTCTGTCTGACAGATCATAAATTTATGATTTGGGTTGCCTTTCGATCATTGTCGTCCATGCGTTTGTACCGCTGAAGCCTCTCTCCTGCTGCAAAGAAAAAAAAAGGCTGTGGAAAATGAAGAGGATTGAGCACTTGATAGATTTCCCAACTTTCGTTATCCGGTGATATTTCCGTGCTGATAGCACCATGTTTATTCTCGTACGTTCGAGATTTGACACAATGGATAAGATATTATTTGTCATATTTCTATTTGTGGGACTACTAATACTAGATGTTGTTTTTAGACAACTATTTCCGACCTAGTCCAAATTTCCCCTGAAGATTTTTCAAAGCTGAGCGCCGTTGCGATTGAGGATAATATCAACGAAAAGTATGCAAACAAGGTATTAAGTGTCATTCCAGCCATTCTTCGTTAAGAGATTCCAAATGCTAATCCGCTCCCTAGGTCGTCCAAAACGTCGGCCTATGCATTGGATTTTACGACTTGCTCGAGGCATCTGATGGCTTAATTGGTCATGGCACTGGCCTGGTCAATGTTAATGGTATGCATTGATGTACAGCGTGCAAATCGAATCAATGTCTTGGACATTCAACTTATTTGGACTGATATTTGAACCAGTTAAATTTCGATTAATTGTCTTTCGTCCCTTCAAGGGCGAGATTATCCTGGGCAAGATCACCAGCGGTACTGAGAATGGCATCAGAAGTGCGTTCTGAGTTTCTCCCTGAATAAAATTATTGAAATTTTTCTATTGACGGAAGGCCCATCATCAAAACAGTCAGCGTTGAATTTTTCAATGACATTTTCATCCCTCCCAGTCTCTTGCTAGACGGTGCTAGATTGTATGTTTTTTTTTTCTTAACTGCTAAATGCCCAAACCTTCTCACAAATTAGGATTTTATTTTTAACTCATATTCTTTCTCTCATTCTTACAGCGACTTCACCGATCAAGTTTGGATCTGGGATAACGGAGAAGGCGCTGTTTTTTACTTTGACATAGGTGAGACGGTGCGTTTTCGAGTCGAGGCGGAGGAGTGGCATGATCTGGTCCCTGACGGCCCTGATGCTCAGCAAGGGGAGTCTGTGGTGGAGAAGAAACCACCTTATTCAATTATTGTATGTTTCCCTTGCTTTACGCCCTCGTTTACTTCTTTTCCATTTCTGCCAATGTCTGTATGATTTCTTGGACACTGTTCTGGCTAACCCATACAAACTAAAAAGGGATCCATGCAAATTGCGGGTCTTGGGCTTGTTTCTTGGTGGTCCTAATGTTGTTCTCTGAAGATGAAGTTAAGACAAGAATTTGACTGAAAGATACCCAAAATATTCCCATCCCATCTGCAGGTGATAGTGGTTTTTTTCCCGACCTGATATTATTGAAATGTTTGTCCACCTAGAAAATTTCCTGTACGGTTAAGTCTCTGCCTGCATTACCTACGAGCCACGACCAACTTTCAAATGCAATTGCCATAAGTTTATGCAACGCAATTCTCTCAATTATATATTTATTTGGAATGTGAAATATCCCTAAACCACCAGGTTCGTCCTCGCCCACTCCTCTGCCGTCAACGCATGAATCCCCTTCCAAAAATTTTACGTCTTCTCCAAATCCCACGCAACTCCCTTCCCCGCCCCAAAAACCGCGTCATATTTCAACAGAGCATTACCATGGTCCTTCTCCAGCGCTTGAGTCGTTAAAACCGATCTCTCCACTTTCTTCTAGTAATCTTCTTCACCAACTCTGCCACAAACGCATAACTAACAGTATCCCCACCGATAAAAACGGGCGCATTGCCACCAACCACACCATCATCCCCAAACGTATTCTCCGCCGTCAATTTCCCAATATCCTCCGGCGCCGTGACAGTGACTCGATTCTCCCAGCTACCCAACGCCCGAACTTTTGCATTCTTTCCATCCCCGCCCCCAAACTCCACAATGCCAAACCCAGCATCAAACAAGAAATTCGTAAACATCTCCGTCAACACCGCTGTCCAACTTGTCTTCTTCTGCGTTTTTAGCAGGTCGTGAACATCTAACTGTTCATCGAAGAGATCATGCGCAGACCTGCGGCAGATAGTGTCGTAGTCCACGCCAACCTGCCAGGGGATGAAGAACGGCGCTTCTGCATCTAGGACGGCGCGGGCGATTTTCAACTGTGTTCCTGGCCCCGCGATGAAGCCTGTACAACTTATATGAGGTCGTAGGTCTGGAAGAGGGAAGATGGGGTTGATGGGGAGTCGAGGGCTATGTCACCCGGGACCAGATTTACGGTCCCTTGGTATGATTGGAGGAGAGCGGAGAGGGCTGGTTATGGGGATGAGATGCTGGATGGACGGAGGAGGAGGAGGAGGAGGAGGAGGAGGAGGAGGGAAATGGAGGCTTTGTTATGGGCGCGGGAAGGGTGTTGGAGAAGTGAGGTAAGGACGGCGGTGCCGAGTTCACCAGCGCCCAAGACGAGGATGTTGATGAGAGCCATTGCGTAAAGTGTGTAGGTGTGGTATAGAAGGCGAAAAGGGGGGGTTATTTGCGGAGTTTTATGGGAGAATGTTGATGGTGGATTGCAGTAATGAAATCATTCAAGGGAATGCTGATGCCCATGTAGTTATATATTTTCTGACTGGTCCCTTTTTGTTTCCTTCTTTCGATCTCTTTCTAAGCATATGGGGTGCAGTGGTTCTTGGGCAACTCCGCAAGTGGATGGGGTTTTCGGATGTCTAATATCTAAATACATGGAGACCTACTGATTAAAAGTAATTATTCTGCAAAGCAGGTAGAAGCATGGTTAACTGGTTCCGCGACAGACATTGTCATCTATGGGCGAAAATTATGTTTGACCTTCATCAGGTTCGTCCCTCTGTAGAATGTTGGGGGTTTATTCTGTAGAGTAGTTATCCATCTTGTAGGCAGCATCAGTCAAGCACCCAAGAACGTATCTCGAAAATTTGGCCTACATGTAGTTACATAACTACCCTTGCATCGAGAGGATCATCCAGAAGAGTATATCTGCTGCAACGATGACCCAATGAATGGATTCTTCTGGACAAACATCCTGTCAGATATCAGCCTTTGGCAATGAAGCTATTTCGGAAACACCAGTTCTCACCACATCGGCACTTCAATTGATATCTCTTAGTTATATGAAACCGTCACTTACTATATGAAACCTTCTTTTTTTCTTTCCCTTTTATCAGGAATAGGGTGATTCAGTTTCCCAGTATATAAACGTGGTTCAACCTCTCATACAACTTAGTTCGAGGAGACAGCAGCATGTACTTACATAGCATACATTTCTTTCATACATCCCGATCTCGAAGTGAGCATGACGTCGCCACCTCAGTTACCTAACTAACTATAGTTAGTTGTTGGAGCATTAGTTATTAATAGCGGCACCACCATAGTTAAGAACCTCAGTCAGCAGCCGCAGTCACCATCAGAGTTGCGATGATGCTCTCTCTGATTGGAGTCTGCCGCATTGGTGCAGGGCTCACTGGCATTGAGCAAAGAGGTTGGCAGTGTCCAGCAGGGGAAGATGCATATCTATGGCGCCATGGCAACGCTGTCTGGGTGGCGGGTGTGGTTTGTATTTTGCTGCGTGTTTGCTTTTCTTTGCTCCTGTTGCTGCATAGTTATTTTGGCGCTTTTGCAAGGTGGTTGGTTGTTTGTGGAGATTCGAATTAAAAAAAAAATGGGTCTATCCATTTCGATCCTTGTACGTTGCTTGCTGTTTTCTGTTCGGCATTTGAAGATTCCCCATGACATCAAAAATCCTCCTCCCAATGGTTGAGATCATAATTACCCAAAAATAGCCGAGAGTTCCAAGATTTGAATCCGACGATGCTGGCGAATGATGGCGTGCATTTGTTGTTTATGAAATCCTGAGGAATCCAATTCCGTTTTGTCGCAGCGTCATCAAAAGAGAACTGAGCGCAACACACGATAGGCATTTATAAGCGTAGAGAACAATCCCCTTCAGGATACGGTTCAGTCCATTATATATTTGGCAAAATTCCTTTCATTCCTCCCAACTCCACAAGAGAATTCCATCCTACTGCCATCCCGTCGTCCGGCCAGTCACTCTCTGCAATCCTCTCCTCTTCCTCTCTCCATCTCCCCCAATTCTCAAACGCCAAACGCCAAAACCCCAATTTCACCCCGCAAATTCTTCCCTATCCTCATACGTTCGAATACCGTCGTCGACAGCGTGCTGATTTACAGAAACAGTCACAAGGCATACAACCATGACAGCCGGTATCACCTCAAAGTCCCTTTCCGAGCGGGATGGCGGACCTATTGAGACACCCCTCCGAGCTCCCTCCCCCATCCACCAATTCGGCACATTAGCAGTGCATGCGGGTGCGCACATAGATCCCACAACTGGTGCTGTAATTGCGCCGGTAAGAGAGATGCACCTTTTGCAAACATTCCCCCGGTGTTACGGGATGAGAAATTAACGTCTTCCGTCTAGATCTCCCTTTCTACAACCTTTGCCCAAGTCGGTGTTGGTAAACCCTTAGGGCAGTACGAATATATAAGAAGCGCAAACCCAAACAGGTTCGTAGACCGGCCAATTAATCCCCGATTTTATGCTCTTTGTTCACGGATGGGCCGGCACTGACAATTGGACTCAATTTGATAATACAGAGACAACTTTGAGCAAGCCGTAGCGGCCCTCGAACACGCCCGATATTCCCTGGCCTTCTCCTCCGGCTCTGCAACCACGGCTGTCATTCTCCAGTCCCTTGCCGCCGGATCTCATGTCATATCAGTCTCCGATGTATATGGCGGAACCCATCGATACTTCACCAAGGTCGCCGCTGCCCACGGCGTGCAAGTCACATTTTCCCCTAGCATTGAGATCGACGTTGCAGATCTGATCCGGCCCAACGACACCAAACTGATCTGGATCGAGACCCCATCGAACCCAACACTTAGTCTTGTTGATATCAGAAAAGTAGCCACCGTAGCCCACCAGCACGGCATCAAGGTCGTCGTCGACAATACATTCCTAAGCCCATACATCCAAAACCCCCTCGACCTCGGTGCGGACATCGTCATGCATTCCGTCACCAAATACATCAACGGACACTCCGTAAGCACTTAGCCCTAAATGCTCAATTCCCTTCCTCATATATATCATATATATAAATTTTCTAACAGACTCGACAGGACGTCCTCATGGGCGTTGCCGCCTTCAACTCCCCCTCACTTCACGAGCGCCTTTCCTTCCTCCAAAACGCCATAGGCGCCGTCCCTTCCGCCTTCGACTGCTGGCTCGCCCACCGGGGTCTGAAAACTCTCCACCTGCGTGCCCGCGAATCCTCCAAGAACGCCAAAGCAATCGCCATGGCCCTCGAAGCCTCCCCGCACGTCATCGCCGTCAACTACCCGGGCATTAAGTCGCACCCGCACCGCGAAATCGCCCTCAAGCAGCACCGCGACGGCATGGGCGGTGGCATGCTCAGCTTTCGCATCAAGGGTGGTGTGACGGCGGCTGAACGCTTCTGCCAGGAGACGAAGGTGTTTGTGCTTGCGGAGAGCTTGGGGGGTGTTGAGTCGCTGGTTGAAGTGCCGGGGAGCATGACGCATGCGGGCATCCCGAGGGAGCAGAGGGATGCGGCCGGGGTGTTTGACGATTTGGTGAGGGTTAGTTGTGGGATTGAGGATAGTGCAGATTTGTTGGAGGATGTTATGCAGGCGTTGGAGAAGGCGGTTGCTGCTGCGCAGATTAAATAACGATTCAGTGAAGGGGTGGGGGTGTGATCCTCTTCTTCTTCTTCTTCTTCTCTTTCTTCTTCTTCTTCTTCTTTTTGGCTTGCTATTTTTATTTCCGAGGATTCCACTTGATTTCACCCACAGTCCCACGCTTATCAATTTCCTTTATTTAATTTTCTCTATGGTGTCTTGATGCTGTTCTTAGCTCTCAGCAGAGCTACAAGGAGATGCCCAGTTGTCTCCTATTTCCCCCGATATTACTAGACTAATTCTCTTTGGATGTGGCAGGTATGAATATATATCCTATACACCCTTATCTGGCGGCCCGATATCTTTTTTATATTTGGGAATGTCTTACTGGACTGTTGATCTTCGGTGTTTCTGCTTGCCATTCCATTTCACAGCGAAATATATCTCGTCCATCCGCATGTCCTATATAAAATTCGATACAAAAAAAAGGTTTCAACCTCCTCCATTCTTTACTGGCCATTTTCACCAGAATGTTTTTCCCTTCTTTTTGCTCTATGCTTCAACAAAACATAGATGTATATATGAAGTGCGGTTAATCCCTGTCCATCCATTCAACGGTTCTTCTGCGAATATTAAATACAATTTGTTTCTAATCCATCGATACGGGGTTTGCCGATCGAGAATTAATATCCTCGTTTGATTCAATCCGCAACGCAGTCCCTAACAACTCATAACACTCACCATACCTCCCTGGACAGCCTCCACGTACTAAGTGAAATGATCCGGGGAAAAGTCCATGACAATTGTCTCGCTCTCCGATTCACGTCTTCATCTCGAATTCAGAAACCTAACATCTCAGTGAAAAGCTGATTCGCTGGGTATTTAATCCTCTCCTCAGCATCCTCTTGTCTTCCATTTCACCCGCTGGATTTCATATCAACATATTCTCTCCCCACCCAAGTTCACCATCCCTGTTCTGGCCAATGGGCACCCCTTTTCAGGAGAAAACCTCGGCCTTGCTCTTGCAAAAAGATACAAAACATTTTCGTTTAATACGCTTGAAGCACCTGGGCCTAGAGAGAAGTGTTGGTGTGGTTAACTCTGCTATTATCCCTACCACCATCCATTCGAATAGGTTATTAACTACAACCACCCCGTTATATAATTGGTTAGTATAGAGCAATTTTATGCACGGATTCGTATACAACATCCTGTCAGCAGCCTGTTCTATATATATTTATTTATGCTTTATGCCTCTCTATCTGCTCTATATCTATTTCAACCCGGTGTCTACCTTATGCTAAATCTTCTGCAATCGCTTTCAAGTTAAATAAGAAAACATCAAACCGGACTCTTCTTTCTTTCTTTTTTCCCCCTCTACTGCTTTTCCTTGAACTCACTTCACTTCTCAATCAATCTGCTTCTTCCTCTTCAATCCTTCCATCTCTCTCAATCTTTCAATCCCTAAATTCACCCCTTAATTCCTTCTTGAAATCACCATGCCTGCCATTAACAAGCAGAAGATCAAGCTCCATGATGCCGTTGATGAGCACTTAGCTGGTTGCCAACAATATATCTAGCTTCTGTTTGCGACCGCTTAAAACACGCCTAAATACCACGGAACGGTTGGTCAAGGTTCTACCCGTCGCGATGTTGCGATTTGAAGGGCTGGCGACGCATTCGACTCTCTTTCATCGTCATCATCATTCGAGGATCGACGTAAACCTCCGTGTATCGAGTGTTCCAGCGCAGGTTTCGGCTAGTTATTGTATTCTGTTCTTGAGAGCATCATTCTCCCTCCTTTGTTATTTACACTTCCGGTTTCCTTCCACAACTTATCGAGTGATTCTAATTCAAAATATAGATTAAAATAATAATAATAATAATAATAATAATAATAATAATAATAATAATAATAATAATAATAATAATAATAATAATAATAATAATAATAATAATAATAATAATAATAATAATAATAATAATAATAATAATAATAATAATAATAATAATAAAGAGGGATATATAACAATCCCCCTTTTCTCTGAATTTCATGAGCGCTTTTCGGTAGAAGAATAGCAATTGAGGATATATTCGTTTTCTCGGACTGTCCGGTCCAATTCAATAGAGCAGCAACTCTCCTTCAGTGCTACTGAAAGGCGGCAACAGTAGATATGACTGAAACCGCGGTCCCAAGGAGGACTTCGCATGGGGGAAGGGAGCATAGATGCTTGGAATACTGGATTCCCGAGTACGTAGCTTATGCTGGGAAACTTACGGTTGACACCACATATTTTCTGCCCCGCACAATTGCACATAGAGACAAGATTGGGGAGCGAGAGTGTAATAGATTTGATTTTTTGTTTCTCCTCTCTCGAAATTTGTGGCGGATCGGAAACGGAAGATTTTAGGACCGCCCTTCGGAAACACGTGGTTTCCGGTCCCGTGGTTTTAAACCCGGGTGCGTGCCCCGTGGAACCTCAATTGCTGACCGGGTGGTTTTGCTTTTCTAGATGTTTGATAAAAAAGACTCTCTGACGATTAGATAGTTCATTTAAGAACGGGCCTTTTCTTTTTCTTTTTCTTTTTCTTTTCTTTTCTTTTTTTTTTTTTTAACCTTGCCGTATTCTCTCAAGGTCAGGGCTTCAAATACCAGTCTGATGATTTCTCGGATTTAACTAAGAGTTTCAACGTTTTCTCGAGTTTTTCTTTCACTTTGGTTTTCGAATCCCCCTTTTGCATAGCAGCCAAGGTGCTTCCCGTCACCGTCTTTCGCTTCTTCCTCACCTGCTGTATATCCATGTATGAGGACTCAGAATTAGAGAAGGAAGAAGAATAAATTCGAAGCAAAATAAGGAGACGTAGCGAATCCCCCCATCCGATGTCCACTTTTACATTTGGCTTCGCAGGGGAGGATATTGAAGATCCCGATCTCGAGGTCGACGAGCCTGATGCTAGTGTAAGTGCTGGTATCCGCGAGCTAGGCATGACAGATGACCCTACCCATGGCAATGCGCAAGGGCAAAAGCAAGAACATGTGGGAGTTCTGAGTGAAGCAAGCTACTGTCAGCTTGATGAGATGGTATGTCGCTTATGTTTTTCCTTCGTTCATTTTTGTCATAACCATATATTTTTTCTCTGAAGATCTGATTTCTTTTCTTTCCTTTTTCTTTATATTCTCATATCAGAATTTCTATTTGTTTAAAAAAAAAAAAAAATTCTACCGAAAGCTTTCCCTTTGAGTTATGATTAGAGATGCATTAGAGTGGGCCTTGGTTAAAAGATTCATGTTTGCTATTTTATTTTATTTTTTGATTTACCCTTTTTCTGGCCTATCAATAGAAATGGCACCAATGTGGCAATGTATTGTGCCGTTTGAAACAAGACTGCATCGATCTCGACCTGGTGAGCGCCTCTTACGCGTAGCTTGATGTTGTTAGTCTCTTGTTATGGAGGTTGATCGTGAAATTTTGGAATTTACCAATCGAATTCTTTTAGATTTTGATTTTTGCTCTATCTGGTTATTTTGACCTCCCAAAATGGGGGCTTCGCGTTTGGGTAATGCTACACCTGCCTTCCCCTTCTTGCAATGTTTGGCCGAAAGTCTTTTTCAATGCCGGATGTCAGATTTGTGATTGAGAATTCCTTCACCCCGCTAGAATCTACATGATATTTTGTATGTATTTAATGTTAACATTAGAGGGGCATATTGCTAATGGATACATACAGCTTGCCACACTTCCCTCTCAAATATCATACAGCATGCTGCCGATAATTTCCCAATCATCTTCTCTAGGATGTCCGGGCCTTACAATCCCACGACGGGAAGTCTTCGACATTCGCGCCCAACTGATGGCAGAAGATGATGTGGCTTCCAACGAAAATGCAAAGTTAATATTTGGACTGGAAAAAGAAGATATCAAACCAACTGTATATGAGGGCGGCTTGAAGACGTGGGAGTGCGCTATTGACCTGGCTAAGTTGCTTGCTGTCGAGGAGATGGATTCTCTCCTATCAGAAACAGCGAAAGAGGACGCTGAGGATATCCAAATAATAGAGGTGAGATACTTGAATCCAACCAAATAAGTTCTTCCGGGATTTGCAATGGAGATATCTAAACTAAGTATACGGTACACAACTGATGGCGGAACGATAGCTTGGAGCTGGAACTGCCATACCGTCCCTTTCCATTTTACATCACATCCTTTCACAACCTCCCCCACTGAGTCCGCCTCACAGGACTATCCGTTTTGTTTTTGCGGACTACAATGCTGCCGTGCTACGACTGGTTACTGTTCCAAATATACTCCTCACGTGGCATACTTGCCGCAGCCGCTTGCACCAACCCAAAAACCTCGTGGAGAATGTCCACCCTAACCCTGAAAGCCGAAACGACATCTATTATAGCTTTAATCATAATGAAAAGCCAAATAAAGTAGCAGACAATGACGAACAACCTGACCTAGACCTGGATATCGACCCTGCCCTCATCTCCTCTTTCCAGGATGATCTACGGGCTCGTGGTATATCTCTATCGTTCATCTCAGGCGCTTGGTCACCTGCTTTTGTAGAACTAGCCTTAGCAACACACCCCCAAACACCAGATGCATCAGCGCCATCCCCAAAGAAATCGAAGCTCCTAATTCTGGCTAGCGAAACAATCTACTCTCCCTCCTCCATCCACCCATTCTCGGAAACTCTACTTACCCTCCTCCATCGAGGGGCATCCGGTTCTGCCTCCGCATCTGAGGCGGCTCCAACTGGAGTTGATTCTCCGTCAGAATCTAAATTTAAGGCGCTAATCGCTGCGAAGAAAGTATATTTTGGCGTCGGGGGTGGGATTGAAGAGTTTTTGGATGTTATGAGGGATGTTACGCGCCGGCAGGGGGCTGAGAGTGATGGTGATGGATTTTTTGTGAAAGAGAGGGTTGAGGTTAAGGATAAGGGGGTTGGAAGGGTGGTGTTGGAGGTTGGGGTTTGAGCGAGATGTCTTGGTCCAAGAATGCCAAATAGCCCATGTAGCGGGCATTGGGCGGGATTGAAGGAATTGGTGATTGGGTAAATGTGGCGATGTTATTCATGAAAGGCTGTATTATAAAGTCCTGGTTTCTTTTTCCTTTTTATCTTAGGGCAGGAATAAATGGTTATAGAATCGGAGGCTTAAAAGTGAAGGGAATAACAATATCATAATGATATCCGTATACATATATTAATATATATTTTTGGCATTTTAGCCCTCCTCTTGCGTTGGCTGTCCCAGGAGCATTCTCTTCCTTCATGGCCTGGTTATACTACGATTCAGACAGGGTAACAAGAAATTCCAAATCCATGCTCATGAGTTAATTGCGTGAGAAGGCTTTTAACCTTGAATCCTAATCCTATCAATGGGAGAGCATTTCAGGAGAATATATGCTGGGTTTCCGCCAGATTGTGCGCTAGAAGTGTAACGAGGACAAGGAAGCTTGTACCACCGCGCTGCCTTGATTCGATATGTGATATCCACACATAGACATATCATGTTGGTGTCAGCGGTGGCATTAAACATATACATAGGTACACATAGGTACAAAAAAAGGGGATTTGAACTCTAATGAAACAAATGAAGTAGGCAGAGCAGCTGACCGGCCAAATTTGGGGAAGAAAAAAAGGGCAAAATTAAAAAATTGACCACATCAGCGCCTTTTTGTTTTTGTTGTTCCTTCTTATCATATATCTATTAAATTAGAAATATCGATTATCGTCATAGATCGAAACTACCTTCCCATCCTTCATCCGTGCAACACGGTCCTGCTCAGTCTTTTTATTCTTCGCGTTGTAATGCGCAACAACCGCTGTTAGGTCCGCGGAACCGTTACCAGCAGGAACATTCATGGGCGATCCGGTGTTGAAAACCCTATTTAACAAAATAATTGTTATTTCAATTGCATTTTTATTTTTAAATCTATTTTTTTATTTTTTTTTTACTGCTTTGAAGCTGAACAAGAAGGCGGGGGAGCCAGTTTCATGGTCTAGCAAGGTTGGGGAATGATATACTCTGGAAAGCTCAGTTCGAGGTTTAGGGAGCCACTCTGGCTCTGGAACAGATGTCTATCAAACGCGGCCTGCTCGATCGCAGCTGTATGAAGAGCATTCTTGCTTTCCCAGAGACTCTCTTCGGGGAACCATTTTTCAATTAGACGAGTCATCCATGGCTTGCTGTGAGGATCTGACGTGGAATATTTGTACAAAGCCAGGCCTATGGGGACGGATGCAATGAACATGTAGAAACCGCGCTGCAGAAGAAGTGAAGTATATTAGCGTGTGGATCAGCATGGAGCTTCCATGTCATTTCAAGAACAGGTTAAATTGGAGCCCGGACGCCCATGGCTTGACCGATTTTGTCTGCCTCAGTGGCGTATATGCCTATCCGAAACACAAAACAATACGCCAAGGCGAAGTTCAAAGTATAAGGGAGAAGTGCTTACGCCGAAGTTCTCGTTGACGGGTTCCGCAGCGTGCTGCTCTCCATGAGTTGTGGAGGAGCCAAGGCGGCGAGGTTGTTGATGACGGAGAAGCCCCCGGATCGGAGCAGCGGCTCTTCGAGAGATAAGCATAGTGTGAGGGGGCCGACAATTGGGCTTCCGCAAACCGCAATTCGTCGAGATAGAACTGTTGATGTCAGTTGGTTGCTGCTACTGCATCGTTTGTCCCGTAAAGGTGAGGCAAAGGGCACGTGAAGGCATCGCCCGATTGGGGTTAGGGCAGTGAACGCGCAGTATTGGCCAATCGCTCGGCAACAAAGTGAACACCAGGCATTCTTCGCTTCACTCAGTTAGTATATCATCTCAGGTTCATTTAGTTAATTTTTTTTTACTTGGAACCCTTGTTCCCACAGTAACCCAGTGTCCCAGCTGGCCGCTGCTCTGAAGTTAGCGGGCATGTTCTGAGTGATCCCGGCACAGGTTCCAGGCCGCCTTAATTTGGCATCAGGAATTTCGTATCACAGCTGCGGCTCTATCCAGGTAGGTAGTAGGAGAATTGCTGGGATATCCAGACCACGTGGATTCAGGTTACTCCACCTGAAGATCAGTGCTTTTGCAGACACAAGATATAAGGCATTATTATGAGGCGTCTGCTGTCGATCCAGCCACGCACGCTATCACGGGAAGCGCCTTACTCTTCTCTCGAGCACCGTTGGCCAAAGAAACTTGATTACATCCACGCTTGATGGGCTAACAAACCATATTTTTCGCTTGGTTGAAAGAATTGCTGCGGACCAACCTCTCGGGAGAGCTCCTCTCGGCGTCTAAAACCTCTGTGACGCTAGCTCTGATGTACAAGTGAATTTTTTCGGAAAGATGAAGAAACTTGCGCGGTAACTATCGTACTAATACATGTGACATTTTGTCATGAGCGATAACTAATAGTTATACGTTGCATGAGCTCCAGCAGCTAGATCCTCACCGATTTAAAATAGGCGATAAAATTACTGGCAGATGTCTTTTTGGCTGGGAAATTCTTACGACAGCAGTTTAGTGTTTTTCAGAGGAAAAGCAAAATGAACCAGGCAAGGCGATTATCCCGTCTATTCTGATTCTCAAGGTGTGCCACAACTATTTTTTTATCAAACTACATTTATTCTCTTGTTCGGGCTTCAATCTTTGATGTATTTCTATTTGGCGCCGCAGAGTGTATTGGCCACTTGCCCTTGAAGTGCCATTTTTAACAGAACAAAAATGGTCTCATAGTTCGATCTGCTATCTCTTCTCCTATCTACCACGGCGAGATCCCTCTCATGATACTTTGAGGCGGTTTCGAGATAAAACTAAGCCAAGCCTGTTTACAACGCAAAGGTCTTTCTTGCTGTCCTGGATGAATCAACCTTCCCACTTCCATAGCAGAGAGACAACGCCTGGGATTTCTACCTGAATCGTGCAGTCGAGATATCCTTCCATTTTCAGGCCATGCTTCTATATTTGCGAATATGCCCACAATTACAGGATAGGCTGGGTGTACCCTTGCCAGAGTGATGTAGCCTGTGAAACACACATTCGAGAAGTCTGAAGTGGTGTGTTGTACGATCCAACAGGAGGAGCTTTATAACGAAGGCCCTATTGGGCATTGCGATGAGCAGGAAGAGATGTAACCCCAACGGGGGCCTAACTGCCGAACAGCGGTTGGAAATGGGTAGCTGTGAGAAGGGTCATCCTCCAGCTCTCGGAAAGACAAGCCTCTATTTCTGGTGCAAGTTATTGATTTATGTCTCATGCGAGACCTTTTCTGCCTCCAAGCGTCGATGAAGAATAAGGAGACTTGCCATACTGATAGAGCTTCTAGGGCTTGTCAAGCACACAATTTGCTGGATCATTTTGGATTCCAGGTTATAAACTTAGTAAATTTTGTAGTTCCATCCCGATGTTTGGGAAATTCTCAGAAGAGTGTTTTTTATTTTATTTTATTTTATTTTTTTCATTTTCTCTTTTTGATATTTTTATTTTGGGATCGTTACCTTCGTGAATTTTATTTGGTCTTGATCTCTGTGGAGAAATGACGCATTAAAATTTTTATACAATCAGCACGTCTTTCTTTTCTATCCCTTGCTATATTAATACCTTATCCCGCCATCTATGTCATTACATTCATCTTGTCCATTTTGCTCTTTTCTCAACTAGTTCTCTCTGTGTCAGGAACTTCCAAACAGCCATTCTTCGACTCCTCAAAGCGGTCTGATCTATTACTGGCTCCCGGTCCTTAGTGTCCTCGAACTAACTGGCCTTTTAGCGTCGGATGCCCTCTCCACCCATGCTACCATGCATATCCCATGATGAAGAACCACAACTCACAAATTCCTCGCCTTGGGCATTCCACCGCACCTCCCACCCACTGCAGCATACTCCATAATGCCTAAATGGTGCGTTTTGCTTTTTGGGAGGGCGCCGATTGCCAGATGCTTTGCGCCTATTTGCTCCGTCGCGCTCGTTTCCACCATCATTAGTCCCACATGCCAACCATTATTCAACCCACCAAGCGACTTGTCCCCATTCTCCGGGCTCCAGCCTCCAGTCCGCTTATGTGTTCGCTGCTCGGAGAGCACACGCAGGTCCTGTTGCTACCTGACTAATGCGGACACCTGGGCGGACAGATGAAATTAGACACTTATTTTGATGCCCAATATGCACACAGACAACCTTCCATTGGCCTCCTTCCGGCCTGGTTCTGAAGAACCATTCCGGCCTCGTTTTATTTTAGCAATCCTCACATGGGAGGATTTGCCAGCCATCCCCATTCGGTTTTCTGCGTTTCCCCCTCAGCACTGATTATCCAACGTGTTTTTCGACTTTGTATCAATTATTATGCGTACGACTTGAGAAACCAGCTTATTATTTCTGGTTACATTTCCGCTTTCCCAGTCTCTCTTCGAGAAATACTTTTCTTTCATGCATCCGACGCCAGTTTGCTACCAACTCGCTGACCTTGGTTTTCACTCTGTTCCATTATTTCTTTCGTCTTTGATTGCTCCACAATACACACCACCTTTTCCCTTTTCTGCCATTGTTTATATCCATTTGCATACACGCCGTGTCTAGCTATTCCAATTCGAACGGTTTTCACATATCTTTACTGAGACTCACCTCACCCCCCTCGTGCGTGTCGCCTCTAAAGGACTTTAACCACGAATTCGTGTCTTCACTTAAGTGCCCTCATCTACCTCACTGCCGCATGCCATGCTTGCAAATGTTTACCAGTCATATATGTGAACATCTCCAAATTTGGTTCTTCTCTATCCAGAACAAGGATCTTTAATTCCTTTTTAACTGGGACCACGTTGTTGCATGTCAGGTGACAGCAGGCGTATCGAATTATTTGATATCGTTTCTCGCCGCTACGATGCCTTCAGGTGGAGGAAGTGCAAAATCCCGCAAGGCAAAGGAGAAGGAAGCCAGAAAACAGAACAAAGGAAAGAACGGAAAGAAGGAAAATAAGGCACAAAAACAAGAATCTACCCCAGAATCTCAGGCATCTCCACTACAGTCACCTACTCTCGAACCTCAGGAACCTAAAGCACCCCAAGGACCCGAAAAGCCTCAAGAACCCGAGGGACCTCAAGAAAAGGAAGAGCTTGAGGATTTCCAAGAACTCGAAGAACTTGACGATCCTGAACAACCTCAAGAATCCGATGAACTTCAAGTACCCGAAAAACCTCAGGAACCTCTAGAATCCCAGGAACATCAAGAGGCGGACGAATCTCAAGCACGTCATAAATCCCAAGAGCTAGAGGAGTTCAGAGAAGCTCAAGAGATCCAAGAGACCCAGGAACCTCAAAGACTTCAGGAGACTCAGCATCCTCCACCGACCCAATCTGTCATAGAAAGTCTTCCACCTTTGCCAGATTCTACCGGATCAAGTCCATCAGCGACTCCTGTGAGCTTCAAACCTGCCAGTATTTCCTGGCCAAATATTTTCACTGCCACACAACTTGAAAAGCAGTCAACCGTTGACACACGTGTGGACGATATCCTCGATAAGGACGACATTGAAGACGAAGACAACGAGAGCGAACCTGAAGAACCTCGAGAGCAATCAGCTCCATCACCCGCCAGTGCTATATCTTCTGCTGGGCCCGCTACTCCAGCTGCTGTAGTATCAAACAACCCATTCGATGCACCCGATAACACGAGCAGAGCAGTGGAAGATTCGTCGGCGCCTCTAAAGCACCCACCATTATCAGCAGCAGAAGTTCCCCCTCCTTCTCCTTCTCTATCCGAAGTGAAGCCAAGATCCAGCCCAGCTGCATCTTGCCAATACATCCACTGCCCTTCACCCGCTCCAATCGTTTCACACCATTATTCATTTGGCAGCCCTGTAGTGCATCCATATACCCCTGCCATGATACCACCACACAACGGAGCACCTGTCGATCCCAAGAGTATGGCGGTCACCCCTCCAAATTACCATACCTCTATGCTCTCGTCTACTATGAACTTGCCATATAACCAATACTGCCACGCGACAAAGAATAGTCGGACATCATTTGGCCGGGGATATGCGGATCCTTATTACAACCATTATGGATCTGTCAAAGAACCGGCACTAGTCCAGCAACCGATGATTGAGAACGTAAAATCTGCTTCAAGTGGCGAGGGACTCAATGTTAGTCTCCTCTCAAGAATCCAAAGTATCATCCCAGATATTAGTCAACTAGTAGTCAGCTATCGAGATCAGCAAAGTCATATGTCTGCGCGTGAGGCAGAACATAAGCAAATCGAGGCTCAGCATGAGGAATCCCTAATGCGGAAAGAGTTCTACATTGAAGCTCTCCAGATGCAAATGCAGAAAACTGCCAACGAGAGTGCAAAGGAATGCTCTAAATTAAAGGGAAGGATCACCGAACTCCGATTCGAGCTTGGCGGACTCCAGGAAATAAAAAAGGATATTGAGAACAGCCTGGCTGAGGCTCAAAAGGAAAACAATGAACTTTCTCAAATGCGAGAGGATCTCCAAGTGGAAATTGATACTCTCCAGCGCGCCATCCAGGGAGCGAAAGAAGCACACGAGCAAGAATTAGAGAAACAACAGGAAAAGGAGCAGGAAGCTTTGGCTATCCAGAAGCAAGAATTGGAAGGCTATTTTGAGGAGATCAAGAACGAAGATGACAGACTCGCAGACGAACAGCTAAAAGCCCGTGAGAAAGAACTTATGGATGAACGTGACTCACTCAAAGCTGAATGGGAAGCTGAGAAGCAGGCCCTGGAAGAGGCGAAGGCTGCCTTGGCCACCGAGTACGAGGGTAAGTTGAAGTCAAAGCAGGCTGACTTCGACGCAAAGCAAGCAGATGTTGATGCTAAGCAAAGCCAATTGGAGGCCAAACAAGCGGAGTTAGATACGACACAGGAGAAGCTGATTGCCTTGAAAGGGGAATTGGAGACTATTCAGGGAGAGCTGGGAATGACGAAGGAAAACTTGGTGACCACTCAATGCGAGTTAGAAACGAAGAAAGGCGAATTGGAGACTATGGAAGGTGAGCTGAAAACAACAAAAGGCGAGTTAACGACCACACATGCTGAGCTGGCAACTACGAAAGCCGATTTGGAGACTACTCAGGGCGTGCTGGATACCACTAAAGGTGATTTGGTGACAGCTCGGGACGAGCTAGAAATGAAGAGGGGAGAGTTGGAGGATAAGGAGAGAGAGCTAAAAGATAAACAGGGAGAACTTGACGCTACACAGGGTGCACTTGACTCTAAGCAATCTGAATTGAAGGCAAAGATTGCAGAACTTGAAGGAAAAATGAGCGAGTTGGACGTGAAGAACACCGAGCTTCAAGCAAAGCAATCCGAGCTGGATTCGGTCCAAAACGAATTAACGAGCAAGCAGACTGAACTTGAATCCAACCAGGCAGAGCTGGATACGAAAGAGGCCGAACTCAACGAAATGAAGAAACGTCATGTAGACGAACTCGACGCCCTCAACGAAGCCCACGACAAGGAGCGTAATGCCGCTGCACAGGAAGCCGCGGAGAAAATAGACAACTTAATAAACGAGTATCAACAAAAGGAAGAGGCCTGGCAAAAGGCTCGAGAGGACCTAGAAACCCAGCTGGCTCAACGAGCGGAGGATCTGAGACAAGCAGGGGAGGAAAAGAAGATTCTTGCCAGGGAGGGACAAGTTAGGGAGGATCAGTTACGGAGTGCTATAGATGGTATGCGGATTTCGCAGGAGGTGATGGGCAGAGAACGAGACAGATTGAAGAAAACATTGCATAGTCTCGGGGAGGCAACTGATATGAAGATGAAAGGGGACGGCTTTTTGTAAGTACCCATCTGGGTTAGCCTTTGGAATCCAGACCATGGCTCTGGATCTCTTTGCATATTGGAGCGCCGATCTTCTGTCCTTTGTTGATTTGGTTCCCCCTTTTTTTCCCCCTTTTCTCTTAGCCTCTACTTGCCGTAAAGGAAGTAACTGCAAAAATGTTGTTTGATTCGTTGTTCAAAGTGTTTCTCTTTCCTATAGACAACTTCTAATTGTCTCTTTTTGGTATTCTAGCATTCAATGCTTTGGCCAACTCTTGCATCTCATTGTCGACCTCTCGAAGGAGCATTTCGGCTACCTCCCTATCGACCCACCATCAGATATCATCGCTAAGATCCCCTCCGAGATTCCTCAATTCCTAGACAACTCGCAAGCGTCTCGAGAACTCCGATCTGCCTACATCCAGCATGTGATTTCCAAGACACTCAACTACAGGATCTTCCAACCGTTCTTATTCACACTTGGTAGACGCTACGATAAAGCAGATACCTTCTTCCAAATGCTATCAATGGATATCCGGTGCAAGTCCGTGAGACGCGAGGCCTATTGGAGAAAACAAACTCTGAAAGCCGCCTACACAACATCTGATGCCAAGCAAGCCATCAATGTGGTTGCTGCCGTTATCGTCGACGAAATCATCGACCACATCCGCCACTTCGCAGACCCCAAGAACCTCGACACCCTGCTCGTTGGCGTGCGGAAAATCGTTAAACTTGCAGCTGAGACATGGCGCCTTGCCCGTGTCGAGCGAGAACTCATTATTTCAACCATGCCTTCCGCAGAGGACGAACAAACCACGAACCAAGGCTGGAAGGAATTTAACTATGACACTGCCCCATCACCACCAGCAGAAAACACTGGCAATGGTGCCTCCTCTCCCACGATCCGCAAGCGACGAGTTCTCCTCCGTATGTTTCCTCGAATCTACCGCGAGCCTGCGCACGAAGACTTCACCGAAGACGGCGAACAGGGCACTCGATGCGTTTACCTACCTGGTGTTGTCCTCTATGCCGACTCACCTTCTGTCCTTGCACGGAAAATGGAACTCTCCAAGAAGATGGCTGATCCGTCGGGATCTAGATCTGGTACCCCTGCCGTTGACCCTGCGGCTGATGATGGCGGTGTTCCCCCTGGTGCTTCTGATCTTCCTTTAGACAAGTCTGCAAATGAAGATCCAGCCAGTGCGGAGGCGGATGATGATGATGTTGAGTGATCTGCAGAACTGTTGCGCAAGAAGCTGCTGAGCAGGTCGAAAGAAGATAATTTCCATGGATGGTTCGGATAATTGGCCGTCATTACCAACCTATATTTTCATACTTTTATTTTCATTTAGTTAATTTATTTTTCGGAAGCGTCAATTTTCTTCTGTGCTCCTCCACTCAATTGATTCATCCGGTCATATATTGACCAGATGGACCATCATTCGGCGAAACACTTGGTTGAGTCAACGCCATTACTACTATAATTTTCTTTCGATTTTGTTTCCCTTAATTTAACACTTCTTGCTCCTCTAGACACATTCTGCTTGCCAGTTCCCTCTCACTTTCTTAACCTTTTTTTTTCTATTTTTTTTCTTTTCCTTTTTCTTTTTCTTTTTCTTTTTTTTTTTTTTTAATCCCGGTCCTCGTTTCTTTCTGCATTCTCCCCACTTCCACTTCGTTTCTGTATGAACTTGTTACCATGATAGAAAGCATTGTTGTATGATGGTAGTTTTCTTCTGCTTTCCGTGTATTTGTTTCACGACTCTGACTAACTTGAGAATACATGGCATCCCGCTCTGTTTCCCAAGGACGGGACTTCTTATAATTCCTGCTGCTGCTACCCCATTTTCCTCATCCCAGCGTCTTTCGATTGCTTTTATTTAAGGGTGCTGCTGCTTCAAATTCATAACCTGAATTTTCCTGGTACTGTGTTTTGCTCCTTTCACGTTCTAATTTTTCTCGTATAGTTATTTCTACTTAGTTCTTATTACATTCTTGACCCTCCATTCTTCCCCTCTTTCTCTTTGATCGAGCCGGTATCAAACCTTTCTCTCAAAATTCCTGCTTTCCCCCCTTTCTCACGTTCTTTTAATGCATCCAATTTATTTGTCAATTATCCACCCATTCGGATCATCTCATTAGAATCATAGTATGCAGCAGCAGAGTTATACTTAGCTCGAGGCTCAAGTAGCAATGAAACAGTTCTCCTCAACCATAAACAAGTTCCCATTCATTGTCATCGGGCATCTGACCATCACTAGAGACCGCACAATATCAATATGTGTAAAAGAATATCACTAGATTCCAATGAAGTACCGCAAGGAATTATTTATAAGTGGGTTTTTGGCCCAAAGATAAACTTGTGAGAACGGAAAGCTGACAGCGAGCGTGGTGGAATGGTAGGTATCTAGGCACAGCTAACTGACTGAAAATTAAGGGCATTTTTTTTTCTACGTTCATAAGATATATTATAAAGAGGATGAGAAAGGAAAAGAAGACAAGGAGACGATGGATAAAAAAAATTCAGAAATGAGGAAAAAAAAAAAAAAAAAAAAAAATCAATAAAAGCCATGCGGCCAAAATAAAAACAAGATCAACGAAAAAGTAAGCATTAACTAGTTAGTTACTTAAAGCTATTCTGAAATATCCATGGGTAAGTCAAAAGCTTCCCCCCAAAGAACCACCAACTACGGCCTAACCAACTAACAAGTTAAATACTCCATACGAACCAAACCTCAGAGGAAGTTGGGGAAGAGTCCAGTCCCCCCCCCAATGTCTTCAAGGTAGTTAGGTAACACTGATAAGTTTACAATCGAGGATCAAGCAAGTCAAAAACAGCCGTTGATTAACTTGATCGACGAGGTAGTTATTATGAGCCGGAGCCAACCGCGGTTTCATTTAACTAGGTATTGGCTTCTCGGGAAGCACTAACTTCATTGACGATAGCCAGCATGCATAGCAGCATCCTTGAAGGCTGACCGTCAAGGTGTATCGACGGGCTTTCTTCTAAATCAGCCGCATGCTGCGCCATGGCCGTCTCGGCACGGAAACCTGAGTCCGTCGGGCCCATCATGGTCTCTTGAGTCTCTCCTCAGTGCACTCCATCGTCGTCCCTTGTTTGCAGTCTTTTTTCGCACACACTTGGACGACAAACAATCTCCATCAGTTAATTCCTTCTTGCTCGCCTCTAGTGTTCGAAAGTTCTTTGCTTTCGTCACCCGCCGCCAGGTGCCCTCACCTAGCAACCACAGTCGACGAGCTTCCCTCCCCTCCATATGTTCTTAATCGCAGCGGCGGGGGTTCCAACGACCGCATTTCACCACCACAAACAACATCATTTATATTCCCGAACAATCCCCTCCGCAACACAATTTTCCAGCGGCAGTTTACACAGGGACATAAACACTACCTCAAGCAGTCTGCGGGTTGTAGTTCCAAAGCTCTCCCTCCCTCCCTTCCCTCCCTCCCCCCCACCACCCGCTTTGTTTTGGAATGTAACAGGTGCGAACGACCACTATCGTTTTGCTTTCCTCCAACCCAACGGATCTCAGAGATCGGAGAGCCCTGGGTCGCCTTGTGCAACATTGGGAGTAGGGTGCTGCCTCAGCCCCTATACGAGAATTTCGCAGTGTATTTTTTCTCCTCCCTACTTTATCTCGCGACTTGCTGCAGCCGTTCTCCGCCCTTTTACCTTCATTTTCGTCCAGGTATCCGGCAATCTGTTTCCTCACTCATCCCTAAAGTTTTATTCTTCTATAAATTATGTCGGCGGCAACCTCATCTCCGCCATCTATTGAAAATCTCTCTCGAAATCTTTCTGCCTTCAACGGTCAAATCAACAACGGTGACCACTTCGTTTCGAATCCCTCAAACGGCGAGGAGGAATTGAGTCTGAATTCAAGGGGTGATTCGGTTACAGTAAACCTTTCTGTGTTAGAAATTCACTGCCCGAGCGATCATTTATCAAGGAAGGACTTCAATACCCACTCACTATCCGTATCTCCGATCAACTGCCCTCCCCTGGATGCTTCCACGGACGATCCTACATACCCGCAACCGAACACAAATCCAGCAAGCAACATTTACTCCCCTGCATCCCATCAAGATTTCCTAAGTCCCTCCGGTTACGCTGATAACGGATATAGCGATCTCAGTTGCTACGGCTCTCCAGAAGTTGACGAACCCTTTTTCTTGGAGCCCGAATTTGGCCACCATCTTGAATTCGAGCAGTCTACACTGTCAGTGTCGAACAGCTTTCAGCGTCATCCACCTCAACATACGGGCCCTGTAAAGTTAAGGAATGAGCGCAGCTTAGAAACAACAACTTCAGCATCGCAACTACTGAGTCCAGTGCTTACAAATACACCTAGCCCTCCGTTTACCGTCCAAAATCTAGATTATACTGGTATGGGTGACGCAAAAGACATGGCGTACAGGCCTTCAAGACTGGATATTCCAGCCCATCGCTTTCAACAAACGCCTACGCTCACCACTACTAGTCCGTGCAGTGACACACTTGAAGTTAATAGCGTATTCCATGGCGATCGAGCTACCAGTCCAATAGTTAAGGTATCGAGCTACACCAGAGGCGACTCTCCTTCTAGACCCGACGGGCCAGTGAGTCAAAGGCCGGGCAAGAGAGGTCGAACAGTTTTGTCGTCGTCTCATCTTGCACCATCCGACAATGGACACGAGCACGAGGACGAGTCCGACGATCACTACTTTAGTTTGCACTATAAGTCTATTTCAGTTCCCGCTTCCTCATTACGTGCAGATGATGGGTCTTCGATTGCAAACCCTTCTACGGGCCAAAGCGGGCTCGAACCCGCTTCACAGGGAGACGCGTACGTCCCAACGATCAAGGAAATGGAAGAGCAACGCAGACGAGATCAAAAGAATGCAGATGTAGAACTGTGGTTGTCCGTCAGCGAAGCTAATAGCGAAGTCGAGGATAACAGTAATCTTGGACGCCGGTCTCGTCGGAGACACAAGTCGATAACACTTCGCCGTAGAGCTAGAAGCACTGGAGATCCATCTGGCACTGATTGGCATATATTTGATGATTCTAATATCCCGGGACCTGGTGTCTTACTTGATGAGAACACCGGCTTGGAAGATACAGATGACGACACCGATGCAGACTCTTCAGTCAGCGTTCCAGAATCTCCCCCGGCAAGTATGGGTGTGATTGCCCCAGTCGAACTAGACAACACAGAGCCCTTCCCGCCAGCCAAAGACATAGAAGTTCAACATAGGGAACCTCTTCCCCGTCAATTCATTAGAGCTCGGCTTTGGCAGGACCCACCCAATAACTCTCGCTTTGGCAATACAAATCATCAGCCACCAAGCTCGAATGCCGCTGTGATGCGATTTTTAAGTGCCTCCCAAAATATCGAAACTGCATCCCGAACTGCGACATGGGGGACTCGAAGACTCAGTGAATCAGACGCCAGTAGTTTACCTAGGGGCTCTTTTAATTCGTTTTCTTCTGACAAGGAGAAAAAACACACTAGACGGGGCAGCATTCTTGACCATGCGAGCAAACTTCTTCTACCTAAGAGGAGCAATAGCAGCGCGAAACGCAAGTTAGCCGAATCCGTCCAACAGCAACCTAGCACAGAATCTGTCGATAAGGCAAAAATTAAAGACTCAAGGGATGGTGGGATCTCCGCATCGTTACTACCGCAGAGGAAGCCAAGTTTCACTCGTTCGACAAAGTCTCCTTTAATAACCGGAAATGCAGTTCTGGCTATGACAGGACATATAGCCGCTGTTAGCGGTCGCTCACCAGTCGGGGTATCTTCTCCTAATTCTTCGTCGACTCCTTGGAATAATTTTATGCGACGCAGTCGTAGCAAAAGTGATCTTACGAAATGTTCCAGGTCACCTGCATCCGGAGGACTGGTGGCACTCATGACTACCTATGGTGGCCCGCCTGTTCCCACTCTCGCTTCTCCCCTCCAAGACATCACACCTAGTCCAAAATCAAGGAGGTGCTTGAATGAGGATGAGGATGAGGATGATGAGAACGAAGCCATGGGAGATAAGGGTGTAGCTATGGATTTTACTGTCAGAGCGGATCCAATTGTCCCGACTCTCGAAGGTTTCAAGACCCAGATTCAACAGCTCAACCCACGGCTTCTTCCGGTGTTGGTGGAACGCATTGCGCAAGAGCAGGTACGTCGATACAAAAAGCTCGTCGAGCTTAAGGTACAGCATAATCAAGCTGTGCGCATGCAAAAGTGCAGTGCAGGCAAACATTGCTTTGATCAGGGTGGCGATGCTACCATGCTGCCTCCGAGAATCAGTTCCAAAGATCCAGACTCCACATGCACGCAGTTCCAAGTGCTCGGTTCTGCTGATCCTGATGTCAATTTTAGCAGCTTCGGTGAGAGCGCTGTGACTGCTGCACTCTTTCCCCCTGCCGTTCCACTACCGCCGGTTAAACGCCTTCCCGCACAATTCGAATGCTCCCTTTGCTTCAAAGTAAAAACGTTCCAGAAACCTTCTGACTGGACGAAGCATGTTCATGAAGATGTTATGCCATTCACATGTACGTTTCCCAAATGTACTGAGCCGAAATCGTTTAAGAGGAAGGCGGACTGGGTGAGGCACGAGAGTGAACGACATCGACAGTTAGAATGGTGGACTTGTAGCATTCCGGACTGCTCGCACACTTGCTACCGGAAAGACAATTTTGTTCAACATCTCGTTCGAGAACACAAGATGCCAGAACCTAAAGTTAAAACCTCCAGAGGCCGTGGAAATGGAAACGGTAAACAGCCGCACAACCAGAAATTTTTGGCTTCTGAGCAGGGGCTAGATCATGTGTGGAAATTAGTTGAAGAATGTCACCATACCACAACTAAGCAACCCAAGGACGAGGCATGTCGGTTTTGTGGTAACGTTTGCAACAGCTGGAAAAAACTTTCTGTACACATGGCTAAGCATATGGAGCAAATTGCCATGCCAGTCTTAGCACTTGTCACGCAACGGACGGCATCTGCAGATACTATTATTAGCCCCATATATATTGGAAACCACACAACGCAACGGCAACCTGGCGTCGCACACCCGCCAACGAGTCCTCTCCCAGGCGGAGGAACGCATTATTCTCATTCCTTCCAATCGGATCAAGTTACAGCCGCTAATATAGATCATTCAGCCTTCTACAATTCAGTGCCACAAAACTCAGAATTGTATGCAGCCGCCCAATCTCCTCTGTTGTCGGGCCATCTTCATCCCTACAATGACCATACCGCTGTCCCTAAAGGAATGGGTGGAAGGTCAGCACTGGACGGTGGACTGAATTACAGTCTCTCTCCTTATTCACAGATTTCACAGACAAGGTCACCGTCACCACATGGTCGTCCAATTACAACTGATGGCCATCACCAATTGAGCCCTCATTTTGCTTCTACTCCATACCCACCTCCATACAACGCGATGTCACGCCGAGATGACGTATCTTTGCCGGACACAACTCAGGCTCCTGTTGTTTCAGCGACCTATGGCTTGGATATTTCGGCAAATGTTTCCGTCAGCACTGCCTATGATAATCACCAACAAATGTATGCCTCACCAATAGAAAATCTCGGGTACGTGTATCAGCAAGGGCAAGACCCAATTGACCAGTCGGGAGGTTTACACTACACCGAGGCCCCAGCTGGGATGCGGTATCTAGAGATGTCTGGACCTAGTGACGGGGCCGCAGACCTGACAGAAGGGTATCCAATGCAACCTAACAGTGGTCAAAGTCAATGTCAGAATCAGTGATACTGGCGACATCTGTTTATATAACTTGTGATCCAGCAATGATCGATTATTCAATGGATTTTCAGGTTTTGTTTACTTCAACTTTTTTTTTGTCAACCTTTGATTTTGATGTTTCTGTCTTTTTGCATTTCACCTTCGTCATGTCTTTTTGCTTTCTCACCTCTGTGATGTCCAATATCCTCCCACGTAGGTTCACTCGTCTCAGCCTGATTTCCCCATACCCATTGTCTTTTGTGTTTCCCGTGACCACACCTTCATACTACTACGACATTTTATTTCCCCATCTTTGTTCCTTTGCATCTTGGCTTTATCTCATTTACTATTTTCCCCCTCAATGACCATTTCTCTATCGTTACACACCTCTTGTTTCACGCTTTTTTTTATGACTTCCTCAACTCTTTGAAGCTGCATATTTCCTTGATGTTTGTTATTTATGAGTTTACTTACTATGCATATATGGACATGAATGTTATATCCTGGTCTGTATGTCTGTTAAGTTTCATTAAATAGATTTATATTTTGATGTTTTCTTTACCAGTTTGGATATGCTGTTTATATTGGGATGAGACAAATGAATATCACAGAATTTCTTCCCCTCAGTACAGCATATCTTACGAGCCTTGGGTTCTCTGGTGTTGGAAAGCTAAATAATGGTAGCTGGTTCCGTGCATGTTAGTATGCATATTTGTTTGTAATCTGATTTTTATTTTCACTCCGAAAATGAGCACTCTGCATAGAATGATGCAACATTGCAGATTACATTCAATCTTCTGAATATGGGATCAGATCTCCAACTATCCCGAACCCCTTCCTGGACTGAGCCAACCTTCAGAATGCTGGTTACGCTAACTTGGATTTCTAGACTTGTTCTGCCGGCGAGATTCAAATTTCCTCATGTTTGAAAGTTAAGTGGCACCATGTTATTTGGAGGAGTCTGAATTTTTCACTTTCGATTTCTACCCCCGCTCCCCGGTGAGAGCATCCATCCTCGTCCACCTCCACAACCATGAAACAGGGCTACGATTTGGTTGGTTATGAAGATGGTGCTGCGGAACCTGATCAGGACTAAAGTATAACTACTTATCTTTCAGGCAGCAGCAGCAGAGCACAAGGCTCGTATCAGAGCGTAATACTACAGCGAAATACCTCTCGCAGGTTGGTCAGCTCTGTATATTTGACGTACGCGAGAGTAACCGCCTTGTCGCAACACATGACTGGCTTAGCCTCATCACGCAACGCATCAAATTCTCCCCCAGCAGAACATCCAAGAACAGACAGAGATTATTCTCTCCTCTACATCTTTCAGAAGCTACTAAAAGAGGTTCGGACAAGATGCGTATCTAGGCTCTCAACGAATCATAGAGAACTACTGTGTTCTCTCCAATCAAGAAAACATGACTCTCGGCGAAGATGTCTGGCATCTCGTATGATTGACGACCAGTCCAAATAGGACACAACCCTCCTGCGCCCGAGGGGCGCCCACCGGTGCTGGGAAGTATTTTCTTTTCCCTCCGATGCAAACCTAGCCGGTGCCAGCATGAGGTTCCAAAATTCCAATGTTCTTCTATTCACTCAACCTTTCGGCCATCCTATTTGCTCGTCTCAAACCCGGACCTTTGCCTCCTTTGCTTTTTATTCACTTCTCTCCTGCTGCTGTCCCACTTTTTCTGCAGGTGAGGAACAAAAGAGCGAATCGGTACATGTAGATCCCCAAGGAAGTGGTTTGCTAATCGATCATCTTCATTTAATTTCTTCAACACATGACAGGGCTTGATGCCACTTAATCATTGTGCTCTCTGGGACTATTCTATCCGGAGTGCTAGCACACCCCTATTCTTTTTACGGGTTACACTTTGCTTAATTGCTCTAACTTTCCATCCCGTTTTCCCCGTCGCAGGGTTTGTGGACGAACGATTCCTTGCTGGAAGTCCGACGGATCGTCGGGAACGTGTAAGGACACCAGAGAGCGAACGGACCTGTCCCATTTTATTTCCATCAAGAATTCTCGTTTCTCTCACACGCAGGCCCTTCTTGCAGCGCCACGTTAAACTGTGGACAACCTGATGAAGGCCTCGAGACGATAAAAGACAAGGAGGGGAAACGGGGAACCCATAAGAGGCCAAATCCGGCCTCTCGGCTTCAAATCCGCGAGATTTTGCATCATCCAAAGAAGCATAGGTTGTTGGAATAAGCGGAGTATATTTGCGGCTCCTAAGTTTGAGGGCAACATCCATGTCTTGTGTTCACTGGGGTCACCAATATCGTTGTTCCCCCGCTCCACTTGCTCTACTTAACTGTTACTCCTCCCCATCTGATTAGCTTAACGTTGAAGTTCTGTCAGCCTTTTGAGCCCGCTGCCACGCTCTTTATTGTCAAGGTCTTTGCCCCCGCACTTTCAAGTATACCTCCTTAAGATATCCTTATCTTTGTCCACTTACCTTTTGTTTGAGACCGTCGCCGCACCACCGATCTTCCAAGCTCTTCCTTCTCTCGTGTTTTATGGGCTGCCCCTCCTGTTCTCTACCTGAAGTGATAGTTTTATCTTCCCCGCCATAATTTTTTCTACATAATTTTCTGCCGCACAGCGACCAGTTCATTCCAGCACGTATTCACACTGCAAACGTCCTCCCTCCCCCTTGCCAGTATTCCATGCTCCTAAATGCAAAACAACAACAACGAAACCCTGGTTCTTTCACATATTGTTGTTTTTCGAAATGATCTTGACTCTTTAACCTCAGTTTTGTGAAACGTGGTTAGGGTTGTTGTAGTCATGTCTCAAAGTTATTCTTTACCTCATTCTCGTGGGCGACGGAATGTTTACTTTACTGTAAGAATAATATATTCTTCATCTAGTCTTCTCTTTCTAAAGGGATTGTTTTTTTTATTTATTTTATTCCCCCCCTCCCCTCCCCTTTTCTGATTACCTGCCTAAGCTACGAGAGTAGCTAGCGAGTTAACATTGCTCTCCTTCGACGTGAAGCAAAATATATTGTTATGTTGCATCGTGTCTTTTGCTGATAACTAATGCATTTTCTTTATTCCCCCCAGGCTCCCGGTGAGAATGCACCGATTAACCTCGATGGCAAAGCAGCCTGGGACATCGGAGATGTTCTTCAGGGGATAATGGATGTGCGCGCTGCTGGTCCTATAGATGTGTCTTCATATAACTCTCTACGGCCTGTACCGGGATCTTCGCCCTCTGACATAGATTTACAAGCACATGCTGCAGCTACACCGTCATGGCGCTTTGTTGATAGCCGTTTTAATGGCGATTTGTTAGAACAACATCCCGGGTTTAATCTCACCTCCACCCATCAGCAGCCATGGAGCCCCGTACGAGTTACTGGAGTTGCTGAAAACGCAATGCCCCGAAGTAATCACGAAAGGCAGAGGAGTGGTGTCCGTGGTACAAATACATATATGTCCGGCAATTGTCAAAATATACACTCAGATTTGGTTAGTCAAATCAATGGCCCTGCCATATCAGACCCCGGTTATGGTACCAGAAGCCCAGCAACGACGTCCGCTGTAAGCTCCTTTCAAATTGAACCCACCGTTCATCCATCTATCATACCTTCGTATGGAGACCCTCCACACAACTATCCACTATTGCACAATCAACCTACCCTCAGTCATCAGCAGAAGGAGCAGAGTTGGCAAGGTGGTAGTGAGGTCACTTCAGAAGCAAACGAAACACAGTTTTCCTGCGACGTAGGGGAGTGCGGATGGACTGGAAAATGTCAATCAGATAAAAAGTAAGTTCCAGGGGCAAATGGGAACATGGATGTGGCTGATATTAACTTCATAGAAAACATATGCTGCGTCATCAGAAACGTTTCCGTTGTGAGGAGCAAGGGTGCAGTCGAACGCAAGGCTTCGGGACGGTCAATGACTTGGAAAGACATCAGAAATGCATTCATGGAATAGAGCCCAAGCATGGAAACCACAAAGAGTTCAAGTGCTTTGCGGAAAATTGTTCCAAGAGGGAAAAGATCTGGCCTCGATATGATAATTTCAAACAGCATCTTAAACGCATGCATAAGGACGAAGATACGGACCGCCTTATCCAGCTGTAAGACCTGTTTTTCTTTTGACATACCCCTTTCTGTTCTCCGGAGCGAAATAGATGAATTGACTAACCCTAAAGTTAGCTCGCTACATTGGTTCGAATCCATAAGGCGGACTACTGGGAACACTTTCCGGGAGAATCAAACGCCCACTAGTTCACATCCGCAACGAGAAGTTACTGATCCAACTACCTGTAGGTCTAGAATTCTTTTTGATAAAGGCCAAATCAATAATCATCAGTCCATCCGCGCCGAGACCGTCGGTATGGGTAATGGTGCTGTGGTCCATGGTTCCAATTATCCATTGCATATTCAGTTAAATGCCCAACATTTTGTTAATCAGCCTTTCAACCACTCGATCAATTCTGCAGCTTCATCTCAAAATTGCTCTGGCTCTTTGGGGGATGGTTGTATGAGGGAAGGAAACAATGAAACTGGCTGGGACTATCCCCCACCCGAGCAAAACCTTGGTCAGTGTTTTGAACGTAACGGTGGAGATGAGCAATTGTCCTCTTTTCTTTTTAGTGGAATGGGTCAAGGCCAAGAATTTCTGTCTAGCAATGACTCTGTCACAGAGGTTGTGTTAGGTTTGTTCAAAGCATTGGGAGGAGAAATGTACATTTCACCTCCAGGACAATTGCAGGAAGAAATTGGCACTGACATATCACCTGCTGCTGCTGTCCATGTTTCACAACAGCAGGCTGACACTACCCTTCCCTCATCCATCGAGCTCCTTAATGACAGGTCAATTGAGTCCAGAGCGAAGGCGTTGCGCAAGTTACTCACCACTAGTCTGCAACAGTTAGAGATCTGGCAAACCCTCCAAGATGCACCGCCTCAAGAATTAACTGCTCAGCCTCCTCAGAACGACCCCCTGCCATACCTCAGAAAAGGTTGTTTTCAATGTAGATATAAAGACTGTACAAGAGAGACAGAACGACTCTCTGAGATGAAGTATGACTTTATATCGGATCATGAAATTCCTTTTTCTCCCTCCGAGTATCGTGCTTCGCTAACAGTAAACTGCTCTAGGAAACATGAGAAACGTCACTATCGGCCGTACGGATGTACTTACCCCAGGTGCTTCAAAAAATTCGGTAGCAAAGATGACTGGAAGCGCCACGAGAATACCCGGCATTTCCAGATCCAGTGCTGGCGTTGTCCAGAAAGAGGTCATCCAGCTAGGGCAAAAGAATTAAGCAACAAAGACGAGACGTTAATGGAAAGACCAGACCATGAGGGTTTTCCCGTGGCCTTCTGTATGAGTAGTTCTCAATTGGATTGTGCCCGCATATTTGATCGGGCATATAAATTTTCTCAGCATCTCCAGTCCGAACATTCTTACGACGAGGCAAAAGCTAAAGTGATCGTGAAAGAGAATAAAATTGGACGGAATGGACAGTTTAAGTTCTGGTGCGGGTTCTGCCGCAAGCTCATCTCATTGCACAGCGAGGGTTTGGATGCTTGGGATGAGCGGTTTCATCATATTGACAACAAGCATTTCAAGATGAAAGAAGAGATTGCTACTTGGCTTCATCCAGAGGGCCATCTTACCAAACAAGATGAAGAGAAGGAAAATACAACCGGTAATGCATCGGATGACAGCGAAGAACTGGAGAGGTATGGAGACGAGGGAACGAACAGCCGAAGCTGCGATGGCGGAGAAGAACCACCAGAAAAGGCTCCGGGACCTTCGGCTCCTACCAAGACAACCCATATGAATGTGAGTGCATCGATTCAGCGACCTTCCACGAATTCCAACCTTGGGCGCCCTCGCCGTTCTTGGGCTGCAGTGAGTCAGATTCCAACTCGGAAGACAGACGCATCAAGTATCGCTCTACCCACTAAGCGGACGTACGATTCCGTTACATCGGGATCGTTTTCGAATGCTAGTATGCTCACTCAACCCTCTTCGAGCTCCGACCCGCCGGCGATGATCTTCAATTCGCAACAAACGGTACCAGCGGCCACTCGACCCCGAAGAACCAATCTAAACAACCTCGGTTTACTTGCGCCGAATAACTATAGCTTTAACTTAAATGGACTCATTCCTATTGAAAACAAGTTTCCAGAATCGACGATTATTACATGTGTAAGCCCAGTCTACCGTTTCACCTGCAAGCGTTCATTTTACATGTCCTACTTCCCTTGCCTCTAACCAGAACTTCAGTGTAAATGCCCCGCCGGCACAAGTGAATATATTTTTCAAAACACTGAAAGGTGTATCGGATGCGATCACGCTCCTTGTCCCACTTGTACATACGACAGCCCCCTCAATGGGCCACCTACTCGTGGCTTTTGATTTTTGCGAACTTTCTTCGGCAACCTGCTATTTCGATTTCTTATCTATATGTATGTTTCAATTTAAATTTGCTAGGATACCCCCATTGACAATTCAAAGGAGTCACGCGGTTAAGTTAATTATCCTCATGGTCCCTTTGTTATAATTTTTCTTGGTTGAGGGTTCGATTACCCATATATAAAAGGTGCGGGAATGGGTTATATCTTCAGCCCACGTTGAAATTTCGTTGGGTGCCATTAGGTTGAAAATACAGCATAGTTGTTCGATATTTTGTTTCATAAGATATAAGGATACGACGACTCACTTTCTTGTTTTTATCTCTTCTGGTAGACCTCGTTATAAATCATTGTTGTCTTATAACTATATGACAACGACTTTTTGGGCCCGAGTTTATGTTATGCTCTCTTCCGTATTCCTAGCGTTTGCTTCCTCAATGTGGACTGAGCTGCCGAGAAGTTTCTTCTCCAGGTGGAACGAGATTTTGATGAAATTCCCTCTGGCTAAATTTCACCTCCAGTGACCTCCTGCTTAAGGTGATACGTATGTTAGATGCTTTGGTATGTGCTGCCTAACCTAGAAATATATTTCGCCATTCCTCTTCTTTCCAGACTTCAGGGAAAGAATCCTGTAAAAAGATTAAATTCCACATAAGAACCCGATCCACCCAACCCAAAGTTACAAAATTCCAATAAAAGAGTACACACAAAACACATTTATTCACAACTTCGGCCCCTCCGGCTCCCCAATCAAATCCAAAAAACTCCTATGAACTTCATCCGTCAAATCACTAGCCTGCATACTTCTCCCTTTTGCTACAAACGCCTTCCTCGAACACTCCCTTGTAATAGCACTCCCGGCCCATGCA